TCTCTTGATGCTTTCATCTGCATGGGCTTCACACAGAAGCAGGCTTTTGTCACAAGGTAGCAGAGATAGCAACTAGTAACCAAACCTTTTACCTAGTAGTTCAGCAGAAGTTCAGGGAGGACTCTCCTTGGCCAGGCTCCATGTCAACTTCTGGAGCCGAGAAAGACAGGTGATTCTCCTAAGGGAACTCAGTGCTGGTACCAGAAGATGGGATGGTGATTTGGCTGGTGAATCCTTTACAGGAAGATGATAATGCTTTATCCATATCCTGGGATAGACAGGCAGGGGACCAGATCCTTCAATGGAAGGAAGTCATTCAGTCCTCTTCAGTCACCATCCAGACCACTCAGCATCCTTACCCTGTCCTGAACACATAGGGATCACTTCCCTTAGGATGGATTTTTTAAAAATTCATGTAAGTTGTACAGGGGAGATACGTTGTAAGAATGATGTTTTAACAGTGCAGTCTCAAAATTGACCTTAATAAAGCCCCCAGTGTTTACTGCAGATTGCCAGAGCCCTCCATCACTCTAGGCTCCACCAGTCATGTTTCCTAGGCAGTGGGGTGGCTTAAAGATGTACACCAGGGAAGGCTTAGGGAGGGATAGTCAGCCAACTTCTGGTCTTTGCATCTGTCTGTTCCAAGGATTATAGGCCATGGGTTTTATTTGTTCTGTGTAGTAATTCACTGTTGCTGTTTTGGGCTTTTTTGTTTGTTTGTGACACTGGGATTTGAACTCAGGGCCTCACCCTTGCTAGGCAAGTACTCTCACTGTTTCTGTTTTAATGTGAATTAGTTTCCAGCATTTAAAAATCAGGAATTGTATTTTCAGAGCCAGATTTGCAGCTCATTTTTAAAACAATCTTAAGACCTAATATTACGAGATGCACATTCCCGTAGGACAACAGTTGATTAGCCCTGAATAGTGACTTCTCCCTTTAGACTGGGTGTGGACTTTACAACTCACTGTAGTCCCTGGTGGCCTGCTTTGTTCAAAGCCTGGCCTGGTAAGAATCATGTTGGAGCCCCCATTCAGCCCCAAAGCTTTGCTGGAAGGGTCTGGAATAGTATTTAGTCAGCAGCGTATTTGAGGGATACAGCGCTAGTGCTTAGGAAAAGTAACGACCCAGTAAAAGTATTTATAGGCAAGAGTGTGCACAACTTTGGTCTGTTTGTGGATGTGGTCATCTTTTTGCTGTAAATGCTGTTGGCATATCAAACCTCCCATCACAAATGTTCCTGCTGAAATAGTAACGTGTCCTTCTGTCTTATGAGTTGCCACCCAGTGAAGGAATCCCTCCCACTCCCAAGGGATGTTTGTCCAGCCTTTGCTTGACCACTTCCAGCAGCCAGGAAGCTTGTCACCTCCTCACATGGCACCAGTTTCATTGTAAAATTCTTCCTTATGTGGAGGCAGCTGTTGCCTTGGGACTGAAAGCCACGGAATGCCTGAGCTGGGAAGGGAAACTGACTTCTTCTCATCCACCCAGCATCCGGGGCAAGCTTGATCATCAATCACAGTGTTCTTTCTCACTGAGCTGGGAAATAGAATGCAACCTTACATTCGTTAAATTCTTTTAAAATTACAAAATTAGGCCAGGTGTGATGTTGCACATCAGCACTTGGGAGACTGAGACAGGAGGATCAAGGGCTCTAGGCTAAGTTCCAGGTCATCCTGAACAAGACCCTTTGTCAAAAAAACAAAAATGAAATGATGTGTTCCCTTGCATCTAATGAAACAGTATAAAGTATAAAATTTTATAGAGTATTAGTTAATTCTCCTGTCACTAAAGTAGCCAGTCTTTACAGCCTAGGGTATATATATCTTTCCACACATTTCTGTATACACATATGAAAATATTTAGTTAAGCTATATGTGGGGTTTGTATATGGCATTTTTGGTGGGGAGGGGGGTTGGGGTTTGAACTCAGGGCTTTGTACTTGAAAAGCAGGCGCTCTACTACTTTAGCCACACCTCCGGTCCATTTTGCTCTGATTATTTTGGAGATGGGGGTCTGGAGAATTATTTGCCCTTGCTGGCCTCAAACCTCAATCCCCCTGATCTCAGCCTCCCAAGTAGCCAGGATTACAGGTGTGAGCCACTGGCACACACTGGCTATAATGTGTCCTTTAAAGACAAAAACAATATACTATGAATGTTACTATGCATCTGGTGGACATCACTCCAGAATTTGTAGTTACAGATCAAACACTAGACATGGATTCTTGCTTTTTTCATCCTGCTTTCAAGATGTAGTTTTTTTGTTTATTTTGGGTTTATTTTTGTTTTCGCAGTGCTGGAGATCCAGCACTAGGCAAGTGCTGTACCAGTGTGCCACACTCCCAGGCCTAAGCCTGTTTTTTAATAGGCATAGTGTCTGTCTGCCTCAGTTACTTAATTGCTTCTCATTCATGGCTGTTCCCATTGCTCCATTTCCTTGGGATCTTTCTCATCCTAGTGCTCTAGGCAGTTACTACAAGTCAGCTGGAGTAAACTGTGAGTTGAAGCCCATTTGTCACATCTGACCCGAGCCGGCTCTTTGTCACACACATTGTAGAGAAGAGAAGCGGAGTAACTCCAGCATCAGAGAGAATTGGAGGCTGGAGTGGACTGGAGCTGAATTTTCTTGACTTAGTTTGCTCCCCACTTAGAGCCATCTACCTGGGTTCTCTCATCTGGAGTAAAAACCAATCTAATTCCTCTTGAGTGCACCATGTCTTCAACAGTTACCAATTCCAAGTCAGTCAGTTATGCCATTCCCTCGAGGCTTCTCTTTCCCTAAGGGGAAATTTCCTTAGTACCTTCAAATTTTTCTCTTAGAACAAGATTTCCAGATCCCACTGCCTTTTTTTTTTTTTTGCGGTACTGCGGTTTGAACTCAAGGCTCCACGCTTGTGAAGCAGGTACTTTACCACTTGAGCCACATCTCTGGCTATTTTGCCCTGGCTGTTTTGGAGATGGGTCCTCACTTTTTGCCAAGGCTGACCTAGGCCACCATCTTCCTGTTTTAAGCTTCCCACTGTTGCTAGGCTAACAAGTGCATACCACCTCTCGCAGCTGTTGTTTGAGATGGGATCTCGTGAACTTTTTGTACATCTGCCCTTGAACTGCAATCCTCCCAATTTCAGCCTCCCAAATAGCTTGGATTACAGATGCGAGCCACTGGTGCCTGGCTGTCCCTTTGCCTCTATCATCTTTTCCTTGTAGAAATCCCAAGTATGGCTTCCACACTTGCTTTTCTACTTCTTCATTTAATATTAACTGAGCACCCTCTGTGTTCCAGGTATTGTTCTAGGCTCTAGCTGACTATATAACTTGCATTTTGGTGAGGAGAAAGAAACATTTCAGAGTACTAAATTATGTAAAAGAAGTGGAACAGCATCAGTACAATTGTGTGATGGGGAGGTCTCCTTAATTCAGATTTTCAGGAAAGCTTTCTCTGAGGAAGTGACATTGAGCTGACAAATATGAACTAGCCTCCAGGGAAGAAGAATCGATGAAGAAGGAACTTGGTTCAAGATGAGGTTGAAGAGGCCACCAGAGTCCTGCAGGGCACTTTTGGCCAAGAGAAGTTTGGATTTACTTTAGATTTTAAGTGTAATGGGAAGTCATTAGAGAACTTTAAGCCAGGGAGGCAGACATTTGATTTCCACTTAAAAAGATTCCTGACGGGCCTGTTGAACTTGAAGTGGGCTTTCTTTTTGCCTCATACCTTTCCCTGCGGCTTATACCGAAAGGGATTGACAGCTATGCCCCGTTTGCTCTGATTAGGGTCCCACAGATCTGTGAGACCAGTCACAGCCATTGCCAGGTATACCTCAGCCTCTCAGCAGGAGCATGGAAATTCAGGGAGGTGGGTGTGGCCCCTAAGACTTGAGCCCAGTAAGTTCATGGCTCTTTGTATAGAGTTCTCAGTTGAGGGAACCTCTCAGTCAGAGGGGGATGGAGACAAGGTCACTGATTGCAGGCCACACAGACATAGAAAATGTTGAGTGGAGACTGGGAGCTGAAGACACTTAGAGAAAGGCCACAGGGTAATGTCCAGAAGCCAGTTCACTGAAGGACAGCTGGGCCATTGTTTGCCCAATTGAAACAATTACACAGAAGTTCTATGTGGTGTCTGTTTAAGAGAGGAATTTGGGAAATTTCTTGCTTGGGTGTCTTTGAGTTTTGAACTTTTCCCTTCCACACATGTTGGCGCCCTCTTGGCAGTTGGGTTTAGATGGAAGCCAAGGGGACTTCTCAACCTAGAGAGCTTGGGTCTGAAACAGACTTGAAGGAAATGAAGAAGAGGGCTAGGAGAGGTAGGGAGAATCTTAGAGATCAGAGCTGTGCCTTTTCCACAGTGGGGCAGTTGGGTTGATCCCTTCAGCCTGTTAGTGATCTTTGAACACCTCTGTCTCTGCCCATGCTCTAGGGCTGGCAGGTGCCCAGCCAGTAAGTGACTATCTGTGTACCTGAGGTCTCCACCAGGGTCACCACCTCACCATCCACTTCTGACCAAGCATTGTAGGTTTAGCTTACTGTAATTAGAGAGCCCTTAGGGTCCATTTGGCAGGTAAGCAGTCACTCTGTCCAGTTTTCAGAGGAGGTGGCCGGAGACAAGCAAGGTCAGGAGATGTGCTCAGGATCACATGTCTCCATTAATTCAAATATTTTCCCATAATGCATGCCTTTCTTATTTCCTATTTCTGAAAAAGTCTTACCTCTTTACGCTGCTTTAAACCTACCTCCTTTGCCCAATGATAGCCAGGAGTGAGGGGCCGCAACTTCTCAGTCTGTGGCATTGGTTTCTTGAATGCTAATCATGCCTTTCCTCTGGACCTGGAGGAGGAAACTGATTCAATTTAGTGTTGGCTTCATCCCTGTCTCAGGAGTTCCTCAGAACAAGTATCCTGAAGTAGGAAGACACAAGGCCTCCATGCGTCCCTCAGCCCACACTCACCAGGTCAGTTTCCACTCCTTCAGTCTCTCTGATCCCTTTCCTTCCTTTTCTAGGAGCCTGGAGAGGCGTGGCTGGACCAAGATCTCCCCAGATGTGAGCAGACTCCCTCCTCCCCCAACCACCTGTTGCTACCACGCCAGGGAAGGTCCTCAAGCCCTGGCCTTCAGGGGAGAGGTAACAGGAGCCCAGAGCCGAGACCATGTGACGGCGCTGGCCCTTGCCACCGCCGTCCCCCCCACCCTGGCCCCAGGCCCGGCACCATGATGTTCCGAGACCAAGTGGGCATCCTCGCTGGCTGGTTCAAGGGCTGGAATGAGTGTGAGCAGACAGTGGCCCTGCTGTCACTTCTGAAGCGGGTCACCCGTACCCAAGCCCGCTTCCTGCAGCTCTGCCTGGAGCATTCGCTAGCGGACTGCAATGACATCCACCTGCTGGAGTCAGAGGCCAACAGTGCTGGTGAGTCTCTGCTTCTAGCAATGGGAGTACAGGAGGGAGACCTAGAACAGGGGCCAGATGCCCTCAGAGGCCAACCAACAGTGTGCTGAGAAATGGGGTTCTGTGCTCATTGGCTGTCCTGGGACTATGATGTCTGTCTTCAGGTGTGCTATGGGGGACACAAACTGGAAGGTAGGTGCTTGTGTGGGCAGCTGAAAGCCCATAAGAGGAAGGATCAGTAGGGTGGCTTGTGTGGGCAGCTGAAAGGAGCAAAGTCATTACCTTGGAAAGGATGAGGATATCAGCTAGGAGGGAATTATAGAACTCCAAAATTCACAGATCATCCAGTACTATTCTTTACCCTGAAAGGAAGATTGGACTCAAAGCATAGACTCAAAGCTTCAAGAGAGGGATTTTTTTTCTTTTTTTTTTTTTTTTTTTTTTTTTTTTGCAGTACTGAGCGCTTGAACTCAACCTACACCTGTGCCAGCCCCATTTTTGTGATGGGTTTTTTCGAGATAGGGTCTTGTAAACTATTTGCCTGCTGGCTTCAAGCCGCTTCCTGCAGCTCTGCCTGGAGCATTCGCTAGCGGACTGCAATGACATCCACCTGCTGGAGTCAGAGGCCAACAGTGCTGGTGAGTCTCTGCTTCTAGCAATGGGAGTACAGGAGGGAGACCTAGAACAGGGGCCAGATGCCCTCAGAGGCCAACCAACAGTGTGCTGAGAAATGGGGTTCTGTGCTCATTGGCTGTCCTGGGACTATGATGTCTGTCTTCAGGTGTGCTATGGGGGACACAAACTGGAAACTGCCCATAAGAGGAAGGATCAGGTAGGGTGGCTTGTGTGGGCAGCTGAAAGGAGCAAAGTCATTACCTTGGAAAGGATGAGGATATCAGCTAGGAGGGAATTATAGAACTCCAAAATTCACAGATCATCCAGTACTATTCTTTACCCTGAAAGGAAGATTGGACTCAAAGCATAGACTCAAAGCTTCAAGAGAGGGATTTTTTTTTCTTTTTTTTTTTTTTTTTTTTTTTTTTTTGCAGTACTGAGGCTTGAACTCAACCTACACCTTGTGCCAGCCCCATTTTTGTGATGGGTTTTTTCGAGATAGGGTCTTGTAAACTATTTGCCCTGGCTGGCTTCAAACCACAAACCTCCTGAACTCTGCCTCCTAAGTAGCTAGGATTATAGAAATGAGCCACCAGTGCCTGGTTTCAAGAGAATTTTGAATTTAGTTATAGTCCTCATACTAGTTCCCTGAGCACCTGCTAGAGATGCATCCTGTGTCCCATGAAGTTGCTATTGGGATGGGTGAGCCAGGCTTTCCCCTCCCACCCCCAGTCATAGACAGAAGTCAGGCCAGAGAACTATCTTAAGGACCACTGCCAAAGTGTTCCTGGCCTTCTGGGCCTCCACAGGGCTGGGTGGAGAGCTGCTGACCCCAGTGACAGGTGAGAGACATGCAGGTGAGAGAAGAGGGAGGGTTGTAGATACCCGAAAGCTAGCTGGGAAGGGAACAGACAGGCTCCTTGCAGAGTTTGTCCAAATTAGTCACCCTCACTCTTCCCACCACCTTCTTCATAATAACACTTCTCATTGGGCCTTTGCAAGCCAAGTGTTCCTGTGTGTATTTACTAACTTTGAAAGCAGTATTCTTTGGTGGCACTGGATTCAGATTGTCTAGGTTGGAATCACAGTTGTCACTTGCCATGGACCCAAGTTATTTACTTCTGTGTTTTGGGTACTCATAAGAAGTTGGTGAGTGAATGTGTTTGGAGCTCTTACAGTAGGGCCTGGCAGGTAATAAATACCCAGTAATTTCAGTTGTCATTGTCACCACCACCCTGTGAGTCAGGTACTGTTTACTATCACAGGAGAGAAAACCAACATGGGCTTCAAGGATTGGGATTTGGGGAGCCACAGAGCTGCCTGGCCTCCCTCATCTCCCCAGACCTGCCCATCTTACCAACAGTCACCTTTATCTCTTCCTGAGTTTTTCTGTACAAGTCCCAGAAGCACCATGACTGTAAGGGAAGACAGTTACTCAGACATGGAGTCACACCAACCTGATTGCTAGCCTGGCCAACAAAGAACAGTAGGAGCCCAGCTCAACTGCACCCATTTCCCACCTGCCACCCTCCCCATCAGGGAATATTCCTCTGGTCTGGCACCAGGGTGGGAGTTCTGTTTGTGACATGGCTCTGCTGCCAGTGTGGGGGCTGCTTTGGGACAGATCAGTGTTTTACACAGCTCTGTTACCCCTCCCCACCCCAAGCAGGCAGTTAGATAACCTCTGGGTGCAGGTCTTGGCTGTTTATCAGATTCACCAGTGGTGCTTTCTGCTGGTGATTAATTAGAACACTCAAGAGTTTTTGCTTTTGTTCTCAGAACTTGTAGAAATTCAAGCTCAAATTTGACTTTGGTGTTCTTGACCAGCAACTCTACCCCATGGCATATCCGGGTTTGCTTTCCCAAACAATGCTGTGATAAGTACTTGTTAAGCACCTCTAGGATAAATTCTTAGGATCCTGTGGAACTTGTAGTTTAAATATGTCTCACCACATTGCCCATGCAAGCCACGTTACACTTCACGCAGACACTAGGAGGCCCCTCCCAGATGCTGTACATGGGGCTGAGGCCTAGCCAGGGTGGAGCACTGCTCTGCGAAGAATTGCATAATGAGTGGCTATATGAATCAAGACCTGTACATCCCCATGTCAGGTGGTGAGAAGTTTTATACCAAACTGGTACTTAGATGAGTGGAGAGGTAAGCAAAACTTAGAGAGAGTGGGAAGAGGGAGGGCTGTGATGTGCTCCACAGTCAGTAGGAGGAAAGCCTGCTAGGATTGGAGCAGAGCAAAGCACTTGAGACATGATCCCAGGGAGATCCTGTGGGGCTTAAATGCCCCTTCTTAATAGCTGCAAAGGCTTGGATACTCACTGTTGAGACTCGTTCCACTGTCAGGCACAGTCCCTATCCCTTACCCCTTACTGTAGGATAGGAAATGAGAGTGTGTTAAACCCTCACACCCAGACTCACTAGGTGAGAATTCTGAGGGGGGGAGGCTGGGAGGCTTGGGAAAAGTACCCAGGTTCTCTTGCCTACCGGGTACTATGAGAAATGATACTCGGCCAGGCTATTCACTTGTCATGGAATGTGGGACACATCGAAGTTCTAGATCCACATCTGCCACTGACACTCCTTGTGACCCGGGCCAGCCCCATCCCTATTGAGCTGTGGATAAATGTGCCAATGGGCAGAGGCATTGTCGAGTGTACTATTTTCTTTCTGGAGGGACCTAGCATATTCTTCTAGAGCTCTAGTTGGTAATATTTAATGTAAGATGGGACTGTAACTCAGTAGTAGAGTGATTACCTAGCATGCATGGTAGGTAGGGTTCCGTCCCTGGCACCACCAAATTTTTTTTTTTTTTTAAAAAGATTCAGTGGGATTGACCCCTCAGAAAACCTGTTCCTCTTTTCCACCCTTCCCCAAAAGATTCATACTTACCCCACTAACCAAATTTTGACTTCAGCTTGCCTGCCAGGCCCTTTGTGAACTGCCATTCCAAGAACTGAAGCCCCTCTGCACCTCCAGATCCTTTCAAAGCAGGAACCTGAGCAGGGAGGCAGGTGCCCTGTGTTGTTCTTGGGTTTATCTTCGTGCCCCCCACCACCCAACCCTGCTACTTCTCCAGTTCTGCATGAGACTCTAGGTTTAGATCTGAGCTGCCTACCTCCTGTTTCCTCCACAGAGCAGGGAGCACAGAGAATCTGACCTAAGCAAGTGGGTCCCACTTTGGGCTTCATGTCACAGTTCTCCAAGGACTTCCTAAAAGTCATGTGAAGTCTAGGTTTGTCCTAAGAGGTTTGAAGCCCCCTGTTTGGCTCTTGTGTACACCCAGTGAAGAACTATTTATTTTGAGGCTGAGGCTGATTCTGGGGGCAAGGGATGGTGGCGAGGGTACTGTCCTTTGACCCACTGGAAGCAGGGTGTAGGCTTTACAGCTGTGGAAGGGGCTCTCGCCTTCCTCTCAGTCCGCTGGGAGAGTAGAGGGCAGTGCCCCAGTTTCATGGAAGCAGAACCTGAGGCAATATTCAGGAACAGGAAAGCAATACACAGGTCTTGGAACAAGGAAGAGGAGGTCCCAGGTTTCCCTGTTGTCACCCAGTTCCTTCTCCCAGTGCTACCTTCCCTGTAACCACAATCCTGGCCCTCTTTCCCTCGGTGCTGACTGGGACCAATAGGTGTTTCTATTAATAGGAGGGAGACCAGAGGTGTGGGGATGCTCGGTTCCCCCTTCCTCCCTGGGCCTGTAGCTTCCTGGGCCACATTTCCTGCATCTCTTCCCATCTCCTGCCTTCTGAGTCAGTCTCTATTTGGCAGGCTTAAGCCCTTCCTTCTCTGGCTCCCTAAATCTGGGTGGGGAAACTGAGGTCAGGAGGGGGCTGTGGCAAGTGAGTCACCAGATGCCTCCACCCTCCCCTTTCAGGCTCTACTCACACAGTTCATCAAACAAAAATGTGAGCCCCTTGCCCTCCCCCTTGTCTGTGTGAGCTGGGGTGAGGCAGAGAGGGCATGTCTGGAGCCAAACCCCAGCCCCTCTGCCTGCTGCCAGAGGCTGCCACAATTGTTGCAACAGCCCAGCACATAAAAATGGGTTGGCTCTTATGACAGTCTCGGAGATATATTTGGCTCCTGTGATTTGCCAGGATCCAGGGTCATGACCTACTTAGCTCTGGTCACCTGGCCAGCCCTGCCCTGTGGCCACTGCATCAAAGAAGCACTCTACACCCAATCTCCCTCACCCTCACTGTGGCTGCAGAGTCCAGGTTGCAGCTTGGTGAGAGGCAGCCATTGGCGTCACAGCATTCCCTGCCCCCCATCCGCCCACCTCCAGAATTTCATCACTGCTCGTTGTGCCTCTAGCTCCAAGGGACTAGGATATATCTGGTTTTGGTAAATAACTGCATGAAATTCCCCACCCCTTTCGGGAATCCCAAGGGGGAGTCCCAGATGTGCTCTCCTAAATGAACTGCTCCCTCAGCCCCAAATCAGCCTGACCCTAGATCCTCCAGCAGGAGCAGTGACAATAGTAGTTGATGCTCTGAGCATTTGTGCACGTCAGGTGCTTTGTAAGATTGTTTCATTGACTTTATAATGACCCTGTGACCTCACAGCTTTTACAGTCACCATTGCACAGACAAGACCAAGGCTCAGAGAATTTAAAGAACTGGTCCGTAGTTGCATCAACTCAGGTCATAGTGGCAGAGCTGGATTTCGAACTCAGGGAAGTTTGCCTGTTGAACTTGTGCTGTTACACAGTACACTGTGCTGGGACCTGAAGCAGGGTGACCCAAGGTTGGGGATCCTAGAAAGGGCATGTATTTACACATAGACACCACCACATTCCAGGGGACCATCTGTGTTCAATTGTGCAGGTATTCATAGGGCCCCTGCTGTGCCTCATCTCTGGGCCAGACTTTTCTGATCTGGGCAGGAAACTAGAAGTTCCATCTGCACCCGTCATCTGCAGCCCCAGCTGGGCTCACCACAGGGACCTGAAGCTGCGCAAATTCCTTGGACCAGTTCCAGTACTCATTGATGCTTCCCAGTCATGGGAGGCCCGCCCTTCCCACAAACAACACCACTCAGAAGCATGAGCACATATATACCCAGGGTCAGCCTCCATTCGTCCAAAACCACTCTCTCCTTTCTGGGCAGTAGAACAAGGTCCTTCATTGAGCCTAACCCTTGAAGCTGTTCTGTCACGTCCCCTGGCAGTACCAGAGGAGAAGCTGTGTCCCTTAGCCCTGGGGTCCTGGCAGTACTCTGGAGTGGGGGAGGGCCTAGACAAGGCTTCTTTCTGTCCCAGATGCTTCTGGCTACCCTGCAAGGCCTACACAACAGCGATTGAGAACGTCAGGGTAGGGATGAAGGGGTGGGCTCACTGCTGGAGGAGAAGGGAGAAAACACTCATCATTGAGCCATATCCTGAGTGCTTACTTTGGACAGATGCTGTCAGATGCTCCATGTGCATCGCCTCCCCAAATCTCAGCAGAGGAAGTGTATTGCCCAGGCAACTGCATGACAGCTGGGTGCAAGTCTGACTTTGTCCCTAATATTACTTCATTTCTTCTTGCTTCTCATCAAGAACTTAAAAGGTCAGGGACTAAGTCAGGGAGGGTACCAGGAGTTCCTCATATGAGCCAGTGCCAGAGGGACGGTGGGCAGAATGACCGGACTCCCTGACTCCAGGAGGGCTGTCCCGCTTTGGAAAGGTTTTTAGACATGGAAACGGCTTGAGGGACAGCCTTGTGGTCACAGAGCTGGTTCAAATGAAGACAGGGAATACCATCTCCTAGCTTTTTAGTGACAGATCTTGAAGGGGATCTGGAAAGCCAGAGAAGGAGGGAGAGGGAGAGTTGGCATTGGGAACATAGAAGGCTGTGGAGAAAATTTCTCCTGTCTGGAGGCAGACAGACCTGGGTTCAGGTCTCATCTTTGTCATTCACTAACTGTCACTTCCCCTTCCCAAATCTTGTTTGTTTGCAAGATGGAAATGCCGAAACAGGATTGAGGTGGGGATGAAGACCAGTAATGTTCTTAGCATAGTGGCAGAAATGCTCAGTAAATGCTCTTGCTGCTGTTACAGGCACTGCAATTGATACTGATAGTTCTGTTAGTAGTTTGGGCCAGTGAGTTGATGACTTCAAGTGAATGGATGAATTCCCAAGCACTTTAATGGGGGGTTCTCTAGAAAGCTTGAGGTAGAAAGGCCCAGGCCAAGAAAATGCACAGATTACATAGCCAGGAGTTGGGAGTTATGTGATTGATTCTCTTAGGGCTACAGGTTTAAGTAGGATTAGAATATGAATTCCAGGCCATAGATTTCCAAGCAGGTCATTAAGAGAAAGAGGGGTACAAAAGGGCATTTTTCAAGTCTATACAAGTGGCCAAGTGGCCATCCTGCAATGTGGGTGGAGACTGGAGGCCCTTGGAATCTTAAGGCCTTAATCTAAACTTGGTCTGAAAGACCCTCAGATGGTACCTAGGTTTTTGAGTCTTCCCTTCTGTGCGCCTAGTCCCAGCCTCTCTGTTTCTGGTTGGTTGGCTTGTGCCTTATTAGAATCTATATATTTGAAATGAAGAAACCCAAGAAAGACACTAACCACAATACTAGTAGAAGCAGCTGACATTTCCTGAAGACTGCTTTTATGCCACGGTCCCATGTAATTCCTAGCAGCCACGCTGGGTAGGGGTGATTCTCAGTTCCTCTTCACAGAGAAAGTAGACTGTGAAGTAATCACACGTGCCCAGAGCCACCTGGCTGGTGGGGAAGGGACATAAGCCATATCTCTGCCTACTCTTTCATCACCCACTCCAGTGGGGGGCTTAGCTTTGTCCACTTAGAGTCAGTTCCCCTGCTTCTTTCAGGACCTCACCATTAGCATATCTCAGAATCCTTGTGACGTGTTTGCAAATCATCCTTGGCTATAGATGTGAGCCCAGATGCCCAAGAGGAAGGACAGAGTTGGCCTTAGCCTTGCATGTTGTCTCTTTTCCCAAATGTCCTTGTTCTTTGTCTCTCCTTTGCCTTACTAGCATTATTTCCATCCTCTAGTCTGTTCAGCTCGTCACACAAGTGATAAGGAGGTTTTTGAGGGAGGCAGTCAGACGTGTAACTATTCTTTCCCAAGGCCTCTTTTTTGGGGATCTCTCTTATGGATGAAGGAGGAAACCTCATCATTCAGGCTGTCAGACATGGGATGGGAAGGAGAGGTCAAGAGCTCCATGGTAGCCAGGCTCCGGTGGCTCACACCTGTAATCCTAGCTACTCGGGAGGCAGAGATCAGGAGCATTGCAGTTTGAGGTCAGCCTGGGCAAATAGTTCATGGGACCCAACACAAAAAAAGGCTGGTAGAGTGGCTCAAATGGTAGAGCACCTGCCTAAGCAAGCGTGACACCCTGAGTTCAAACCCCAGTACCACTTTAAGAAAATTGCTCTATGGTATGGCAGAGCCAAGAAGGATTCCTGGAGAAGAACAGGTTTAGGCAGACCACAAAGAACATTGATGCCAGGCTCATGCCTATAATCCTAGCTGCTTGGGAGGCTGAGGTCGGGAGGATTACAGTTTGAGGCCAGCCTGGGCCTCACAAGATTCCCATCTCCAAAATAACCAGAGCAAAATGGACTGGAGGTGTGGCTCAAGCAGTAGAGTGCTTGCAAAGCAAGCACGAAGTCCTGAGTTCAAACCCAGTCCCACCAAAAAAAAAAAAAAAAAAAAGGAAAGTGACCCAGCATTTAGGATGTACTTTATAAATGCTTGCTGTTATTTTTTCAACTGGTCTAATTAACCCATCCCATAAACACAGACAGATTTATTTTCCTAAATCACACCAGGACAATATGTTCCTGACTGGGAATTTCCAGTGGCAACCTGTCCCAACAGACCTGCTCAACATCACCTTTGTTTCTAGGGCATTCCCTATGTCCTATACCTCCAGATAAAGACTCAGCTCAGGACACCCCCATCTTCTCTGGGGCTCTCTCTCACTGTATTCATCTAAGCTTCTACACTGAGGCTGAGATTTAAAGCTTTAGCCTGCAACAACCCCTTTCCTCCTATCCAAGTTCTGTATCTTAGCTTTCTTTTTCAATGTAATGCAAATCAAAAAAGTATGGAACCTGTCATTATGTAGGTCCAATACCAGTCTTCTCATTGTTCTAGTTGTAGTGTGTGTGCTGCTGAAATAAGCACCAAATTTGATGTCTTTTTTTTTTATAACTGTACTGTGGTTTGAACTCAGGCCCTACACCTTGAGCCACTCTACCAGCCCTTTTTTGTGATGGGTTTTTTTCAAGATACAGTTTTGTGAACTATTCCCCGGGGCTGGCTTCGAACTGCGATCCTCCTAATCTCTGCCTTCTGAGTAGCTAGGATTACAGGCGTAAGCCACCAGTACCTGGCTATGCAAATATTTTTAACTTTAATTATTTATTTTTCTGGTACTAGAGTTTGAACTCAGGGCCTACACCTTGAGCCACTCCACCAGCCTTATTTTTTTGGTGAAGGGTTTTTTGAGATAGGGTCTCACGAACTATTTGCCTGAGCTGGCCTCGAACCTTGATCCTCCTGATCTCTGCCTCCTGAGTAGCCAGGATTACAGGTATGAGCCACCAGCTCCTGGCTTGGTTTGTTTTTTGAGACAGCATCTCTCTGTGTATCTCAGGCTGGCCTTGAACTCATGCCCCTCCTGCCTCACCTTTCCAAGTGCTGGGATTACATTCCATTCTTTCCATTCTTTATTAGCTAAGCAACATTGTGAATTGGGTATTGTAATTATCTTCCAAATTATATAGATGAACAGATGAACAAATACTGTTTGGTGAGGTTCAAGTTGACTTACCCAAGGTCTAGCTTATAGGTTGAGGAGTCTAGATCATTCATTTCCAGAGCCCAAGCTTTTAACTGCTATACCCTGTTGCTTTCCCTAGTCAGGGAAAAGTAGAGGCCATGAAATAGAGAGGGCAGTGGATATAGCGAAAGAACAGGCCTGCGGGCAGCAGGAGAGCTTAGTTTCCAGAGTGGCAAGTAACAGGAATGACAGAAGCAGGAAAAATTAGAAGCAGGGCAAGTGTGTTTGATCTCAGTTACTTGTGAAGGACAAGGTTAAGGTCATGAATGGAAAAAGTGAAGTAGCCTGGAGCTGAGGCAATAGACCGTGGGTAGCTCTCAGGTTTATGGTGGTCTCCACTCAGTCCCTCCTGACATTCCCTTTTATCCCCTCTCTAGCCATCGTCAGCCAGTGGCAGCAGGAATCCAAAGAGAAGGTGGTGTCCCTCCTGCTATCCCACCTGCCCCTGCTTCAGCCAGGCAACACAGAGGCCAAGTCAGAGTACATGAGGCTGCTGCAGAAGGTGCTGGCCTACTCGATTGAGAGCAATGCCTTCATCGAGGAGAGCCGTCAGCTGCTCTCCTATGCCCTCATCCACCCGGCCACCACATTGGAGGACCGTAATGCCCTGGCCCTCTGGCTGAGCCACCTGGAAGAGCGGTTGTCTGGTGGCTTCCGCCCCCGGCCAGAGCCCTCCTACCACTCACGCCAGGGCTCAGATGAGTGGGGGGGACCTGCAGAGCTGGGCCCTGGAGAGGCAGGGCCAGGTTGGCAGGACAAACCACCCCGGGAAAACGGACACGTACCCTTCCACCCATCCAGTTCAGTGCCGCCAGCCATCAACAGTATTGGGAGCAACGCAAACACAGGTGAGGGGACCCCAGAAGGCTGTACCTCCCTGAAAATGGTCAGACTGCTGTCTTCACTCTTTCTGTGCAAGTCCCATAACCTCTATGGGCCTCAGCTTTTTGAGGTAGTGCAATGTTTTGAATTGGCATTCCCAGAGCTGAATCTGACCTACAGACATGGCTTATTGATCCCACCTTTACTTTAGTTTCATTTTTCTGTTTTTAAATAAAATAATTTGGGGATATAAAGTTTTCCCCTAAAAATCAGATTTCCAACTTCTTTCAAAAAGTCCAGAGCTGGGAGGTGTGTGTGGCTAAAGTGGTAGAATGCTTTTCTAGGCCTTGCTTGGGGTCAATCTCGGTCCAGCAAAAAAAAAAAAAAATCCAAAAATCTGGCAGCTCAAGGCCTGTACTCACAGTAGCAGTGATAAGAGGGAGCTGAAAAGCTGCCCCCTTCAAACCCTGCCATGCGTCACAGTCTGCCTCTGAGTCACCTATTCCCTGTGAGCATTTTTGATATTTCCCTGACCTCTGAGGGCCTTGAGTTTGTGACCCGTGGTAGAGGGGTGGACACCATCCTCTGAGGTCCCTTCCAGCTCACTTTGCAAAACTCAAGGCTTCCAGGCTTCTGAGAAATGTGTGTATAAACTTGTCGATATAAAACATAGCCCATACTATAGAGTATTAGTTATAATAGGTGACATTTTTGAGCATTGATTATCTGGACACTCTCATAAGTACTATTTCAGATATGATCTAATCTTCCTCACAATTGTACCATTAGTCCCATTTGACAGATATGGACACTGGAACTCAAAAGAGATGAAGCCACAGAAGTTGTGGAACTGGCAGGCAGTCTGGTGCCAGTCTGCCTCTGACCAGTGTTCTGTCCTGCCAACTTGAGAGGGCTCAAATAGCTCACTTAGTGACAGCCTGAAGACTGGGTGGACAGGAGGAGTTGGTGTCAATGTGCCTTTTTGAAATGTTCGTCAAAATGAACAGGGTGAGGGAGAATGGCTTTTCTAAGCCAGGGTGAAGTTGGCTTGACCTGACTCAAGGTAAATGGTCATGATTTAACCTCAGGTGGTCAGTGCCTTCACCAGGTCAAAAGAGAGTGACAATGAACCCTTGTTCTCTGGTGCTCAGGTCTTTGGTACCTGGTGCACCTCAGGTACCCCCTGAGCCTGTTTCTTCCCCCAGTTAATGTGGATTTTTAGTCAGTCTGCCTCTCTTCCCAGAGCTGGTGAGAACCTGGGAAGATGGGAGGGATAGCAGGGCATGTCCAAGGAACTCTAGCAAACTGAGGTGTCTTAGATAAGCCTTGCCTTCAGTCTTGGGGTGTTACAGTTCCTGGGTACAATGATAATTCTAGCTTTAAAATACTGAACACATAGACTTTGCTAGGAGCTATTCTAGCTTTAGTTCTTTGTTTGTTTGGTTTTGTGGTACTGGGGTTTGAACTCAGGGCCTCGTGCTTGCTAGGCAGGTGCTCTTCCACTTGAGCCACTCTACCAGCCTGCTAAGAGCTGTTCTGAGAATGTTATACCTGTAAACTCCAAAATCTAGCTGGGTCTCAGAAGTCACCTGCCTTACACAGTGTAGCCATAATTTAAATCTAGGCAGCATAGCTCCATAGCTCCTGCCCTGAACTGCTGTGCTACACCACCTCCACCTAAAAATGACCCTCCTAAAAATTCTCAGACCTTGGGGAGAAGCGACCCGTACAGGGTGATCTCCCCCACACCTTCTGGACTCCCCAAGATGGGAGTCCCAGCATGTGTTTTGTTTTTGTTTTTCCTTCTGGCAGTCCTGGGGATTGAACCCAGGGCTTCACACATACTAGGCAAGTGCTCTGCCACTGAGCTTTGCTCCTGGACACCCCCAAGCAGTTTTAAATGACCAAGCTTAAATTGGACTGGGGTTTGCACCCAAAGAGAGAAGGGAATTGGGCATACCATATGGTAGGCACAGCATGAGTGAAAGGCATGGAGGTAGCAAGCTCTAGGACAGTGTGCAGCAGGTCTGTTTGGGGTAAATTTAGATGAGTAATCTCAGTAGCAGATATTAGTGTTTACCACACATCCATTGCTGTGTAAAGGACTTCACATGAAAGTAGAGGTGGAAGTGAAGGAAGTGACCTGTCCAAGAGCACCCCGTTCTGAGGTGGCAGTACCAGGATTTGAACTCAGGTCTTACAGCCATAGTTTGTCTTGAAAGACAGGACAAAGTTTCCTCCTGTTGAAGGAAACAGGAAATGATTAAAATATGTTTGAGTGGGAAATGAAGATTGGCCTGGGAGGACAGGCAGAGTGGTTTGGGGTGCTGCCAAGGACAGGACAGGGTTTCTTGGAGAGTGTAAGGCCCTGGAGCTCTAGCCGGCATTCCTGTTGTTTTTAATCCTCAGCCTGCAGCCAATGTCCAGGCCAGTGCAGGGCCAAGCAGGGCAGCTCAGGAACTGCATGGTCACTCCAGTCAGGGTAATTTCCCGTCCTCAGCCTCACCTGCCCCCTTCTTGGCTGAGAAGGGAGGAAGGAGGAGGCCCGCTGTGGCAAGACAGAGACAAAGGCCTGTATTGAGGGTTCTCCAGCCCCAGGGCCCAGAGTGTGCCATCTTCTTCCAGGAGTCCTGAGCCAGGCAGAAACCAGGCTTGAGGGAATCGAGACTTGGAAGGAACCCTGTCTAGAAAACGTCCTGGGTAGGGAGTCTGAGACTGGCTCATGGGGTGGACTAGTGCACCGTCCTCTCCCTTGGGTGAATTCCTGGTTAGGAGCATCAGGATTGTCACAGATGATGACAGAAGGTGCTTTGAGACCTGCACTATGCTGGCCTCTTTCCTGGGCGGGGTGTCAGTGGAGCACTGGCAAAAACCCCAGCCTTTCCATCAGAACAAGGCTGGAGCTCTCTGTCTCTGCTCCCAGCTCCCTGTGGGAACTGGGGCAAAGGACTTCCTTTCCTGGGCCTTACTGTCCTCACCTACCCAGGCCTTTTGGCTTTGTTTCCTTCTCTTTTTCTCAGGGCTGATTTGGGGGTACTTCTGGATTCCCTGCACTGGGCTCACAGGCCCCCTTAGCATCCTTTGTCCTTCATGAAGCTTGGTTGGAGGGCTCCTCTGTGTCGTACCTGATGCTGGATGCAGAAATGGTTGGGACAGGTATCCATCCTGTACAAGCCCCCAAGCCCATCCAGTGCACAAGGCTGGCTAGTGTGGAGGACAGCAAGCACTGGGCTTGTGGTGGCTGCAGAGGGGGCACTTGAGCAAGGCATGGAGGCAGAGCAGCTGGTGGAGGGAGTGGGAGAACAGTGCAGGCAGAGGAACGCAGTGGGTGGGAAGGACTGGGAGCTCACCAGCACCTGCCTGTCTTGAGTTGGAGCCTTTAGGCAATCTCAGAAATGGGATGGATGGGTGTGAAATGTCCTGTGGAAGAGGGCCTGGATTCACCCTGAGCCATTAGGCTGCAGGGGTGGCCTGTTGGGCCTTGGTGTGGCCCAGTGATAAATGCTAAGGGAATTCCTGGGCCAGGCCCCACTATGACTATCAGGAGGATATCATGATATCTAAAGACAGGTTCACAGATCTTCAAGTCCTAGCAAAGGGACACAGTTAATAAGCAAGTAAACAAATGACTAGGTAAGGTAATTTGAGGTTGTGACAGGTGCGAGAAGAATGATAAGAGAGTAATTGGGGCTAAGGGTTGGGGCAGCAACTTCAGAGTGAAGGTTTAGTGTAGGCCTTAGGAAGTGACATTTGAGGTGAGATTTGAGGGAGCCTACTGCTAAGATTCAGGAAGATGAGAAATAGTGAATATGCAAGAGTGCCTGCCTAGCCAGTGTGAGGCCCTGAGTTCAAAACCCGGTGCCACCAAACAAACAAAAAAATACAACTCTCGGCAAAGAGCAAGTGTGGGCTTGGGGTGGAGCTCAGTGGTTGGGCGCTTGCCTCCCATGTGTGAAACTCTGGGCTCCATCTCCAGCACCAAGGGCAAAAGTCCCTTGGAACAAGCTTGAGTGCTCCAGGAGTACATGGGGGTTCAGGAGGGGTATGGGCCAAGGGCTGGGGTATGGAAGATGAAAGGTCAGTGCAGGGGGCCAGGGCCTGCAGAGCCTTCTGGGTGTGTGGAAAAGTTTGGATTTTGTTCTCAGCATGAAGGAAGCTGCAGGGATCTAAGCAGTGGACCAGCTTGGTCAGATTTGTGTGGCTGCTCTGAAGGAAAGGGACTGTAGGAGGCAAGAATAAAGGCAAGAAACCAATGAGGAAGCTGTATCCATAATGCCAGCCAGGGATGCTGGGGAGTTGGGTGGGGGTAATGGGATTTTGTAGTATCTGGTAGGAAGTTCCCCGTGGGCCCCAGGGTCCCTTTACCTTGAAGGATTGTGCGTCTTCGGGGCATGGTCTTTTACAGTCGGATCCCCAAGCCTGACCTCTTGCTTTTCCTTTTCTGGCCAGGTCTCCCTTGCCAAATCCACCCTAGCCCACTGAAGCGCTCCATGTCGCTCATCCCTACAAGCCCTCAGGCCCCTGGTGAGTGGCCAAGTCCAGAGGAGCTTGGGGCCCGGGCTGCTTTCACCACGCCCGACCACGCACCCCTCTCGCCCCAGAGCAGCGTGGCATCCTCTGGCAGTGAGCAGACGGAGGAGCAGGGCTCCAGCCGGAACACTTTCCAGGAGGACGGCAGCGGCATGAAAGGTACTCCTGGAGAGCAGCACCCCAGCCCTTCACCAGGGCTCAGAAAATTGCTCAGCGCTGCCACCTGAAGAGGGAAAATCTGAGGGGAGTGGGTAGTCACTGAGAGACTAATCCACCCTCACAGCCCTTGCCCTCACCAGTCTGACAAGGATACAGGTAACTGATAGAAGTTCTAGGACAATGTCAGAGAAACCAGTGACGTCATCCTTACAGCTCAGAGGGTCAGATGTCCCTGCCAGGGAAACTTCCTGAAAGAACACTGCTGGGCTTATGAAGAAGTGACTCACAGCCTCACCCCCTCCTGGTTTTCTGAAGATTTTAAGGCTTATGCTTGGTCCCTCCCCAAAACCCTCCCTCTGGCCACCATGATCAAACTCCTGACCTCTCACCCTCCTTTTCTGTAGATGTGCCCTCGTGGCTCAAGAGCCTCCGCTTGCACAAGTACGCTGCCCTGTTCTCACAGATGAGCTATGAGGAGATGATGACCTTGACCGAGCAGCACCTGGAGTCTCAGGTGAAGCCACTGGGACCAGCAGGGAGGCATTGGGGCCAGCAATTGCAATTGGCACTGCTCCTGCTGCCCAAGCCTCTGTCTCCTTGTTCCCTGTTGGGCACCTCTAGGTACTTCATGGTCCCATTCCCAGCTTCTTACCTCCTCTGTCCTTATCACAGAATGTCACCAAAGGTGCCCGCCACAAGATAGCCCTGAGCATCCAGAAGTTGCGTGAGAGGCAGAGTGTCCTCAAGTCCCTAGAGAAGGTGAGGACCGGGTTCCCCAAACACCGAGGCCAAGCAGCTGCCCAGTAGTACCAGTAAACCAAAGACTTTGGGTTTGCCTTGCTGGCAGCTGCCTTGGCTGTCTCCCTGGGCCTTCTCACTCCTCAGATCTGACCTCCAGTGGCCACAGCTCTGGGCACCCAAGTTCCAGGGGCCACATGCAAGTTGGCACCAAAGGACTCACTTGCTAGTGGCTAAGAGGCTTCCCGTCTTGTCCTTTGTAATTCCAGAGCCTCCCTGTCTTTTAATGGTACCCTTTTGCTTTTCTGACTATCTTTCTTTTTGATAGAAAAGAGTTTCTCTCTCTTTCTCTTCTCCCTCTCTGCATGTATGTGAGAGATCTCTTTCCACGTGGTTGCTTCCTGCCCACTCGCTGTTTGCATTTCTTTTTTCCCTGCTGCTCACCATATGGGTTTTCCTCCCCGCACGTCTTCTTGGTCTGAATCTCTGGTTCCTCCTCAGTGGATCCCTGAGGCCCCAGCATTACACTCCCTTCTCCTGAGTTCCTTGGGACTCCACCTTAGAGGAGAAGAGGAGTATGTGCATGAGTGTGTGTGTGCCTGTCTATGTAGAGCTGGTGGTGCTGGAACCTAGGGGCCACTTAGTCTTCCCCAGACCCTGTCTGATGGCACTGTGTAGTGGTTCTCTGCCTCTGCACCTGAGCTGTTTGTGCCTCCTGCAGGATGTGCTGGAAGGCGGGAACCTGCGGAATGCTCTGCAAGAGCTGCAGCAGATCATTGTCACACCCATCAAGGCCTACAGCGTCCTTCAGGCCACTGTGGCCGCCGCTGCTGCCACCTCTACTGCCAAGGATGGGGGCCGAGGGGAACCGCTGCTGCCAGGTGCTGAGCCTCCCCTCATCCACCCCAGTACCGACAAGGGCACTGAGGCCAAGGACCCTCCAGCTGCGGAGAGCTATCCCCCTCCACCAGCTCCAACTCCCACTGATGGCAGTGAGCCAGCCCCGGCTCCCGTCGCCGACGGGGACATCCCCAGCCAGTTTACACGGGTGATGGGAAAAGGTAAGAGCAACCAGAGCCTAGCCCAAAGACCTGAGACAGAAAGCCAGGTGACCCTGGGTCTGCGGGACCAAATCCAAGTTAGATGGTAGGAGCAGGGCTTTTGGAAGCTCCTGGAGACCAGAGCACTGCAGAGTAGCTGAGGCTGAGGTCGCAAGGCCCTGGCCATTGGACACCTACGCTGATGGTGGATGATAGCCCTTGCTTTCAAAGCCCAAGGACTGTGCTGAGCACCGTACTGGGACTCATCCTGCCTGAGTCTCCTGCTCTTCCTCCTGCTCCAGCTGGTTGGGGCCAGGGAGGCTGCAGCATGGTGGAGAGCATGCAGAGCTAACCTCCTGCTTTTTCCCTGTCCCTCAGTGTGCACCCAGCTTCTGGTGTCCCGACCAGATGAGGAGAACATCACCAGTTACCTCCAGCTCATCGAAAAGTGCCTGACTCATGAGGTAAGGCCTTTGCTAGGCTCCCGAGAAGGGAAAGTTTGCCCACCCTTCTCATGTCCAGCACTGCAATGGGGCCCCGCATGGCCTGGACCTGCCTGCCTTTCCAGCCCCTAGTCTCATAAGTGTTGGCTTCAAAGACTTCTGCTTAGAGCCTTTGTATAAACTCATAGTGGGAGCGGCTGCGCTCCTGCTCACCCCTTCTCTTGGTTTCCCAGAGACACTTCACCAACTGCGCCTGCTGGTTCAGGGTTCCTGTACTTCCTGTTCTTGCCCTTATGGGAGGGTGACCTTGCCCAGTAATCACTGATTGCTTGGGTGTCTCCCCAGTGAAGCCAGGAACACTGGGAGTACAGCCCTCTGTGCCCAGCATTGCCTGGCATAGAGCAGGCTCATGTTAGCAGTGAATGAGTGGAAGCAGATGTGAAAAGCACCAACCACCCTGTTCCCCTCTCCCAATTCTAGGCTTTCACAGAGACGCAGAAGAAGCGGCTGCTGTCTTGGAAGCAGCAAGTGCTGAAGCTCCTCCGGACGTTCCCGCGCAAAGCTGCGCTGGATATGCAGAACTACCGGCAGCAGAAGGGGTGGGTGTGCACCCTCCCTGGGTCCTTGTGGTGGCAGAAGGGTGCTTAGAAGGGTTGATTGTGGTCTGGGTGGGATCCCTGTTGTGCTTGGTCAGATCACCCAGAGATGTTCTCAGAATATCAGGTGCACTTCCCAGTATGCAAGAAAGACCACTTGCCTAACATGCATGAGGCCCTGGATTTCAGAAAGACAGCGTTTTTGCTAGTTGAGATAAGGATAGCTACACAGAGAGATTCCTAGCATTGCTTCCATGCACATCAGGGCCCTTCTTGCACCAAACAAGTAACAGAAAGTTCTCCTTTGACAAGTAAAGTTCGGAGAACTGCTTTGCATGGACACTGAAAACCCCTTTCATCCTCCCCATCTCCAAGCAGGGAGGGTGCCTGGATCAGGAGGAAAGGACTTGGGGAATCCTTGCTCAGATCAGGCTTGCATTCTGTGCTCCCATTGGGGTGGTGAGGGAAGGTGAGGTTAGAATGGACATGCCCATCTGTGTAAACTAATACCCTGCCTTCTGCTTTCCTCCAGCTGGGCGTTCGGCTCCAACTCGCTCCCCATAGCTGGCTCTGTGGGGATGGGGGTGGCCCGGCGGACCCAGCGGCAGTTCCCAATGCCTCCACGGGCCCTCCCACCTGGCAGGATGGGCCTCCTGAGCCCCTCAGGCATTGGGGGCGTCTCCCCTCGACATGCCCTCACTAGCCCCAGCCTGGGGAGCCAGGGCCGACAGGTGAGCCCACTGCAGACAGGAGCCCTCTGGGGTTGGGGTAGCAGTGCCCAGGATGTGTGGCTGTGTTTCTGCCCTCGGGCCCGTTTTGAAGAGAGAGGGTGCTCCTTTGCCAGCTCCACCACCCCCAGGCCTGGGCCTCTTCCCACTCATGCTGCTTTCTCTCCCATGTCCCATGCAGAATCTGTGGTTTGCCAACCCTGGAGGCAGTAACAGCATGCCCAGCCAGAGCCGCAGCTCTGTGCAGCGCACCCATTCGCTCCCAGTCCACTCGGCACCCCAGGCCATCCTCATGTTCCCTCCAGGTGAGCTGCCCGCCCTTGGCACACGGCCTGGCCAACCTTCTCAGCAGGCCTTTCTCTTCTCACCTGGGTCATATTCACTGTCCTTTCACCATTGTGTGAGCAGCTCTCCCCATATTTCTCTGCTTTGCACCTATCTTCCCCCATCATGGGAGAGTGGTTTTTCTGTTTTACTTTTACCTGTCAGGTCTTGCCTGCACTCTTCTCTGACCTTCTCTCACCCTTTACCCCCATCCACCAACACCTGTTACCCTTTCTCCTGTCCACCTCCACACTCTGTGCAGTGTTCTCAGTGTCCATGTTGGTCTCTGTCTCTTTATAAAGTCATTAACTACTCAGTTTGGAAGGGGTTAAGGGGTAAGAGGTCAAAGTGTGAGGTTTCTGCCCATCCATACCCCTGTGTTCTTTCAGAGGCTGGTGGCCACACAGGAATCAGTGACTATACATCTTAGCTGAGGGTCTGCTCCAAAGGTGTTGGGGGCAGTCTGTCCACAGACCAGTCTAGAGATGAGAGGTTGGGAAAGCTAAGTAAGTGGGCAGGACAGATCAGCAATGTACTTGTCATGGATCCCTGCCTCCCTGGATGAGGAGTCATGGCTCCTCCACCCTGGCTGAGCACTGCTGGGCACCTGCAGGCTGATGGTCTTCAGTGGGCTGCCCTGGAGAGATCTTAAATTTGTAGGCAACCCTAAACTGGCACATCCATAGGGATTTTCCATTTGTGAGAGAATGTGAACTGCTGTCTCTGGAGCCAGGAAGCCCCATCCATTGTATCTGTCCTAGCACAGGAGTTGGCACATGGGAAGGTATCTGCAATGTTAAGTGAACGGGTAGATGAACTGTTAAGAACCATTCTGCTTACTGGTGTGTGCTGGGCCAGCTCCATTAGGCAGCTCTCCTACACTGTAAAATGGAATCCTTCCAACTGGGAGCGGGGCTCAAGTGATAGAGCGCTTGTTCACACAGTCCTGAGTTCAATCCCCAGTACCGCAAAAAAAGAAAGAGAAGAAAAAGAAAATGGAACCTTCCAACTGCACAGAGGAGGTACTGAGACTACTCTCATCTTACCAGTCACTAGTGTGACACAAAGAGGTGACTTGTCCAAGTTCAAAATGTGTTTTTAGAGGAGACAAATACAGGATCTGGTTGGACCTGAACTTGGGGTCTGATGGCTGGTGGTGAGAGGGAGCCAGGTCCTGTAAGGCCAGCTCAAAAGCAGCTCAGACAGACCTCCTGACCACAGTGAGGAGCTGAGGGGTAAGCTCATGGGTTGGGGCCAGGCCTGCCAGGCGCTAGCATAGGAGGACCTTTTGAGAAGTGGCTTGAGCATAGGCCCCGGGGCTGCTGTCCTACTTTTCTCACCTGCTCAGCCTGCCTGAATTGCATCCAGTCCAGAGGAGCGAGTCCAAGCGGGAACTGGAAGGGGTATATTTTGCACCAACCACACAGATCAGAGCACCGGGCTGTCCAGTGTCCAGGGCAGGTGTCCAGACTGTGCCCAAGGCAACTTACAGTCCATGTCCAAAATACTCAGTTTGTGTGGCCTCCAAGAAAGCTCCCTCAGCTCCAGAAAAGCTTCCTCTTTTCTGCATTGCCAAGCCCCTACCCCTGCTATGGTCTCCCTGCTTGCTTTGTGATACCCCCAGACGTGTCGCCATGTCTCTGCCCAGTCTTGTCCTCCACCCATGTGTATGCATGCCTCTCAAGCTCTTGTCTCCATCCTTGACCCCTGCCCTGTACCAGCAGCTTCTGTCACCTGGTTCTCCCCTCCACCCAGTCAAGTCAGTCCTCCCTCACTGCTGCCATTCTCTCTCCTACCCAGACTGCCCGGTCCCTGGGCCTGACCTGGAGATCAATCCCACCCTGGAGTCTCTGTGTCTGAGCATGACAGAACACGCCTTGGGTGGTGAGCATTTCCTCTTTCCCTGACCCAGCTCCCACCTACCCAGTGTCTCCACCTCTGAACCGAGCAACTCAGAGTCCTCCTGAGGGGCCCGAGGGGAGGCCAGACTCCAGGGAGGGCCCGTCTGGGATGACAGGCTACATGAGTGCCTTTCCTTGGGCCTCCCGCCAGCTCCTGATCCTCCTCCCTTCCTCCCTTTCTTACCACAGATGGGACAGACAAAACCTCCACCATCTGACGGGACCCACAGCCCAGCGCACCCATAGGCTCCCTGGGCGGCGGGCGGGGCCAACCCCCAACGGGCTTCTCCGCACAGCGAGCGGGTGGGCTGGCTCAGCTACACATTCTAATATTTTTCTACTCTCTCACCTCTTCATTTTTGTTTAACACTGGCACACGCCTTGCTCACTCCCAGGCCCGTTGAGGGATCTATGCTGAGGCCGGGGGACAGAGAGGGCAGCCAGGATACAGGGGGCAGGGACCAGCCAGACTGCCTGCCCCTTCCCTCCCGCATCCTTCACCTGGTCCCATCCCATCCTCCCTCCTCCAGACTGCTGAGCACCTGCCTCTTCCTGAGGGAGCAGACTCCCCCAGAGATAAACTGATCAACACCCTGTGGAGCTGCTCTCCCCGCCCCCTGCCCTTCCCCAGTCCCATTGCTCCCCAGGACAGGAGCCACCTCTCACCTCTTGCCCTGTTTATCAGAGTTCTCTACAATTAATTTCTTAGGCCTATTTAAGATACATATTTATATAGTTCTTAACGGTTTTTCTCTCTGATCATTCCCTATCATTTTTAGCATCCCCAGGCCTCTCTCTGAGCCAAGACAGTGGCAGGGGGAGCCTGAACTTTATGAGGGGAGAGGGCAGAGCCTCCTCCTCCAGACCCCCTGCGCTCCCCACTCCCCAGCCCTGGCTCTCAGATGCAGAGGTTGAAGGTGTGCAGCCAGGGCATCGGTGAGGTCCGGAAGTCTGTTGCCTTAACGTCCCCTTCCCCCACCAACACACCGTTCCACTCCTAGGTCTGGTGGTGAAGGACTTGGGGGTTAGGAACATGGGAAAGGGGATTGTTTGGTTTTTGGGTTTTTTGCCCCCACACGCCCCCCCCTTCTTTCTTTCAGCCTTTCCCATATCCTCCCCCTTCTGTCATGACCTCATGTAAGCTGAACACTATATCATAACCCAGAGGTGCGTCCCAGCCCCAGAGTCACACAGACCCTCTGGTCCCTGATTCTGATGAGGGTTTGTTCTGGGGCCTACGTGGAGGGGAGTGGACTTGGGGGTTCAGACCGTGGGGAAGCCAGTGTCCCCCTATTCCAACCTCCTCTTACCCCCACAACTCACCCCTCTCACTGGGACATTCTCAAGCTTTTCACACCTAAAAGGAAAAAAAAATGTTATTTTTAGATACATTTTATGAATAACTTTTGTTATGAATATGGCTGGTAACCATTGTGTATGTTATTAAAGATACAAAATGTTGGGAAAAAAAAAAAAAAAAAAAAATTTCCGAAAACCACCGCCTTCCCTGCACTATCAGCCCATTCCCAGACCTCCTTGCCCTTGCCCTCCTGGTCTGTGGACCTCCCTCCACTCTGAGCCCAGGGAGGGGGAAGAAGCCAGGGGGTAGAGTGGCCCTGGGGACCTTCCTCTGGTCCCCACCTCCTCTCCCAGTGCCGGGCTGGGCGGGGTGTCAGGTGTATTATGTACCTCTTGCACACTCATCAACCTATGCAAGTCCCTGCCCCGGCCCTCCAGGTTTCTGTGCCTTTGCTCATTCCCCTCAAGCTCATGGGCTTCCCCAGCCCCTCCCTAGCTGCAAGAAGCGCAGTGGACGGACCACCTGTTTGGAATCAGCAGGGTGTCCCTCCCCTGGGACCCTCACCACCACCACCACCACCACCACCCACGGCGCCCCCCCCCCTCCGTCTTGTTCGCTTCCCATCAAGGGTGACTGACCCTGCCTGGCACTGGGAGGTGGTGCCTCCCACACACAGCGGGAGGTGAGAGCTGCCCCCCCACACCTGACAGCAGAGTGCAGGACGCAGGCGGCCCCACTCTGATGGGCAGGACCCTGACCCTCGCACCTCACCCCCAGGCCTTCCTCCATGATCCCACCCTCCCCACCCACTACTGTCCCCAGCCCCACTGGCAGAATCAGCTTTGAGTAACTGTACAATTTTTCTCGCTGTTGGAGAAGACTTATTTGTTGGAGTTTCAATTGTTTAATGGTCTGGGCTTATTTTGGAGAAAAAAAAAAAAAAAAGATTGCGACCTTTGTTACACTGCATTTTGTTGGAAACCCGGTGGCGTTGCTTCTGTGACTTGAGCTGACGTCCTAAACATCAGCTGGGGGCAGGGGCGGGGTGGGGTGAAATGAGACCAAAGGCCTCTGCTGGAGTCAAGAGAAGCTGGCTTTATTAACAGCAAAGGTTGTGGGGTGGGGAACCTGCAAAGTGGAGGGCTCACAACAGATGGCTTGAAAAGTGCCTTCCTGCTCTAAAAACTGTATGTGTTGCAGACCCCTTCAGAGGTCCTAGGGCTCAGTCACTGTCGCTGTCTGCATCACTAGAATCAGAAGCTGCGGCTTCACTGCCATCCTCCTGTGCAGAGTGCTCGCTGCCACTGGGGAAAGGGCTGGCGCTGCGGCTCCGGCTCTGGCTGCGGCTTCTCTGGCCACCCCCATCACTGCCGCTGTCCGAGTCATTGTCACTGCCACCATGGGCCTGTCTGTCCTCATCATCAGAGTCAGCATCATCCTCTGAATCGGCGTCACTGCCAAAGATCTCTTCTTTGTCCCGAGCAGCCCGGGCTTCATCCTCACTGCTTTCATCCTCACCACTGCCACTCTTGTCACTCGCCTCGTCCCTGTCACCCTCTTCCCGTTCACTCTCGCTGCCAGAGCGCTCGTCCTCGCTGCCCTCCTTCTCACTGCTGCTGCCCTTCTCCTGCTCCTCATCTGTGAGGGAGTGGGGACAGGTGAGACCCAGGGTTCTGTCCTCCCAGGTCTCCCAGGGCCTGGCCTCACCTCTCCTTTTACCTGAGCCCCCAGTTTCTTTCTCTTCGGTTTCCATCTCCTCCTCTTCTTCCTCCTCCGGTTCGTGGTTTTCCAGCTGGGCCTTCCGTGCCTCCTGGAAGAGGCAGGATTAGAAAGGGAGACAGGGACTCTGTCAGGCCTCTGTCCATCTCTACTTCCCATTGCCCTCTCCGTGGGTGCCCGGGGCTAGTGGTGCTTGTTACCTGGGCTTCTAATTCCTTCTCGTTCATGTCCCGGTGTTTGACCACAAGCAGGGCGTTGGTACCTGACTGGACCCCAGCCTTGGCACGGCGCTTACTAAGGCGGACCCTGCAGTGGGCAGAGAGGGTGGGAGATGGGGCTATAGACCCTGCTGGTGAGCAGTCTCCTGACATTCCCAGCAATGCATGGCCTATAGGACCCCAGGAGAAAGATTTTATATATGGTGTGTGGTTAACCAACACTTAAACCAGGAGGTCTCAAATCTAGATTTCTGACTTTTGAATGATAGAAATTTATGACCCCATTGGGCCTTTCTGCCCCCAACATAGCAATGGTGGGCAGAAAATGGGGTGTGGTGCCCACTCTGGTGTGGTCACCTAGAGTTCTTTTGATGCCTTTCACATTTCCTGTCTGAATTTGTGATCACTAGCTGGGTGCTACTGGTTTACACTTGTAATCCTACCTATTTGGGAGGCTGAGATTGGGAGGATTGCAATTTGAAGCCAACCTGGGCAAATAGTGCTGTAGACTCCATCTCCAAAATAACCACAGCAAAAATGGACTAGAGATTTGGCACAAATAGTAGAGCACCTGCTCTGCAAATGTGAAGCCCTGAGTTCAAACACCAGTCCCACCAAAAAAAAAAAAAAAATTTGTGATCTCTGCTTTAAGCAGAAAGTCAAGTCACTCTTTCCCAACTCTTACACCAAGGGCCCCAGCACAGCAGTTATCTTTCAGCCCTCAGGAAAGAGTCTGAAGCTAGCTATCAAGTGTTTCATTTAAAACGGATCTGCTAATCTTGTGTTTCACCCTATGCCCTGGCAGTCTCACTGGAAGTCTTGTACTAGTCCTGGGGCAGGTGGCTGTGTATTCAGCACAAAAGCTTTAAAGGTCCCCACCTCATCTGAAGATTTTCTTATTAGCTTCTCATATGAGCACCATCCAGCCCAAGGGGCCCCAGCAGGCTCCTGCTGGCTTGCAAACGCACAGGAAGTCCTGGCTAAGTGGGCAGCAGTGCTGAGTACCTAGTCTCCAGCTCATTGTAGTATACCCCGTCGCCCTCTCGGAAGATGAAGAAGTAGTTCTCCTCATAGCCCTTGCTGGCCTTGTTCTTCACATTCCAGTTGTACTCCCGAGCTATCTTGTAGTCATACCTGAGGGAAGGCAAAGTCAGCCTGTCTGTCCCAGGAGGAGACAGGGAAGGCTTCTCAGTCCCCACGGCCCGACCCCGGCCCACGAACACATCATCTGGTGCGTAGTCCATCTCCTCCTCCTGGTCCCGCTTCCGTTTCTTCAGTGTCTCTTCCACGGGCAGGAAGTAGGCCACAAACTGGTTCCCCTCCTCATCCATCATGCCCCTGGGTCAGAGAAGAGAACAGCAGTAAAGGGTGAGGACAAAGGGGCAAAGAGGAGCAGGCCAAGATGGTCCGCAGGACCACTGACCTGATCATGGCCTGAGACATCATCTCTAACGCAGCTGCACCACTTGTGTCCTTGGGGGCCGGGTCTGAGTCAAAGATGACCTGAGCGCAGGGGTTTATCCACATCTGTTGGGGTGGAAGCACCAGGGTTAGCCTAGAATGGACAGGCAGGGAAGGCCAACCCTCTGCCTCTGCCCTGGACCTGACCTTAAAGTCTGGGAAGACAGGCATGACCTCCACGGGTGTCACCCGGGGCTTGCTGTAATGTTGGGAGATCTGGTGGGTGGGAGGGCAGAAAACACAGGTGAGGAGAGGAGAAAGAGGAAGGGCTCGAGTCACACCTGTCCGCCTCTCCCCCGCCCCCCGCCTCCTGGGCCAGTCCCTTGATTACAGATTTCTGGGCGTCCTCAAAAGTCTTCTCAATGGCTGTGATCTGGCTGTCTCGGTCTTTATAGATTTCCTCCTCTGTGAACTGCTGCTTCACGGAAACCCCAATCCTAGAAGTAAACACAAGGCCTGTAAGGATCACTTCGCATCCTAGCTCCCTTTCCTCCTCCCGCCTGTCACGTACTTGACCTCAGGCTTCTCGTTGGAAATGCCATAGCGATTGAACTCTGTGGAGATGTACTCTGTCTTCCGCATCCACGGCACTACCTTGGCGTGCTGCTGGGACCTAGGGGGGAAGCCAGGCACCTCAGGACCCCGCGCAGCACAGGATGTCCTCCTGCTTGCAGAGCCCATCCCAGCCAGGCCCAGTGCCCACTTGGCACCCCCTCACCTCTTGGAGCTGGTGGGGGCCTGGATTTCCTCTTCCAAAAGCTTCTCATCAGCCGGATCCAGGAGCACTAGAGAGCAAGGGACCGAAAGACCATGGAGTCCAGGCCTGGCCTCTGCTGGCCAGGGACAGGCCCTCCCGGGTCTCCCACACACCATTGGGGTCGATGCGGTAGGTGTCAGGGTTGATGAGGTCGATGGTGACACCCAGGTCTGGCTCAGTCAACAGGTCATGTTTGTGCTGTTTCTCCAAGGAAGTAGCTTTGTACTGGACAAACCTGGGCGGGGAAGCATGCTCGTTTGTGGTTTCCGACTCCAGCCTCAGCCAGCACATCTCCTTCCCAGAGGCTCCGCCTAGGGTGTCCTTCCCGCCCCCCATCCCCCACCCGCTGGGAGATGCTTGGACGCTGCGTGCGCCCACAGTACCTACTGAGCACCTGCTAATGCAAGGTAGGTACTAGATCCAAGGCGGGAGCACCCAACGCCTCAGGCAGTCCTTGCTTTAAGAAGCTTCTGTTTCTTAGTAGCTTGCCCACCCCTGCCCTTAAGTCTCACCTGTTCTGGTCGAAGGGGTAGGTGATGAACTTGGGGTCGAAGGGGATGTCAGGGAGGCTATTGCAGTACTTCACTCGGCAGACCACTCCAGACCTAGAAAAACAGTGGCTCACAACTCTGCCGAGCGTGGTGGTGCACACCTGTAATGCCGGCACCAGGAAGCGGAGGGAGGACCGCGAGTTCGGGGTCAGCCCGTGCCCCATCTCCCTAGGAAAGCGCGGCGGGGCTCACCTCTCAGGCAAAGTCCGGTGGGAATTGGGCCTGGGGGAGGGGTGGGAGAGACAGGGGTAGCACGGTGGAGGGGGGCAGGGCAGCACGTCCCGCGCGCCCACTCCCTCCGCCCCCCGCAAGCCCCGCGCCCTTTGGTCCGGGGCAGCGCTCCGTGACGTCACGGCCCCCCTGCCCGACCCTTCCCTGCCGAAGCCCAGGTGTACAGGAAAGCGGCGCAGTGCCTACCTGTGGCCATCCTCCCGCTGGGCCTGGGTCTGGATGGTGGGCGCCATAGCGACCAGGCGACAGCGGCCCGGACGGGGTCCTTGCTGCTCCGCGGGCAGGCGCGGAGGGGCGTGCCGACTTCGCTGGACGCCTGAATGCGGGCGGGGCTGTGGTCGGTGTGGCTCTCCGAGGGGGAGGGCTGGAAGGAAGAGCTCCGCGGAGACTCAGGTAAACGCGCAGGCACCTCCGGCCACCAACTGCCGCCAAGACGCTGAGGACCCAACAGGTCTCCTCAGGCCGCTAGGCCTTCGGGGAAATAGAGTCCGAATCAGAGCCACGTGCGGATTGGCGAGCTGGTGGGTAAAGGGAGGAGCTAGAAAGGAAAGTCCTCTTATGATTGGTGGAGAGATTTCCCAGTCTGGTCGTCGGATTTGACACTGTCCGAAGGTGGAGCAACTTCTCTCCTTTTATTGGCTAAATTACCTGGAAGGCGGTGCTAACTAGTGAATGCAGCCTATGTACAAAGACGTAGAAATGGGGGGGAACGTAGTGACATACTTCCGGCACTGTAGACGAGAAAGATGGCTGCACCACAGCAGCAGCCTTCAACCGCTACTTCAGCTGCTGGCGTGTCAGGTCCAGGTTCGGCTGGTGGCCCGGGTCCCCAGCAACAGCCGCAACCGCCGACGCAACTGGTGGGACCCGCCCAGAGCGGGCTCCTGCAGCAGCAGCAACAGGACTTCGATCCTGTGCAGCGCTATAAGATGCTCATCCCGCAGCTGAAGGAGAGTCTCCAGGTGATTGACCCGGAGCCTCGAGGAGCGAGCAGAATTTGGCCTTTGCCGAGAGGCCGTTTAGCTAAGGAGAGATCGTAGGCAGGGGAGAGGAGTAAGAAGCTCATCTTGATTGATAGTGCGAAATGGGATCAGATGGGATGCCGAGGCTGGGATTAGCCGGAGCTCAGTGACAGGGAGTTTAGGGGCGAAATCGAGCTCTGGTCCATTTAAAGCCTGTGCAAAAGGAGTGGCCGACACGGTGATTGGGGGTGTGTGTGAAGTGTGTAGCGGGGAGGTTACATTTGATGAGGGTGCGCCTCTGGGAATACTGTTGGAGACTGCAGTGGGAATGGAGTTTGTGGAGAGGAGGCGCGAAATGGGGTGGATCTCAAGGAAGAGTGTAGATCTTCCAAAGACAGCCCCTTGTGTTTCTCTGTTTCCCACGTCTTTTTGTTTTCTCTCTCTTCTTTTTTAAAAAAACTAGACCTTAATGAAGGTTGCAGCCCAGAACCTTATTCAGAACACTAACATTGACAACGGACAGTGAGTCTCCCCTCCCCCAGTATATGGCCTATCTCGAACCCCCTCCCGAAACTCCTCCCCTTGCCGCGGCCCTCCTATGGATCTCCTGGCTTTACTGATGGGCCCTGAGTTGGTAGACAGTGGAGTCCCAGGAACTGGAAATCCATTCTTGAGTGTCCCTTTTCTCCCCGGCTGTAGAAAGAGCAGTGACGGATCCATACAGCGCTTTGACAAGTGCCTGGAGGAGTTCTACGCACTGTGTGACCAGCTGGAGCTCTGCCTGGTAAGGTGCCTTCTGTACCCTCGGTGATCACTGCCCTGCCTCATTCCCCAGGGCCTTAAGGAGCCCTTACTCAGCAGTCACCTCTCTCACTGGTCACCTCCTCTGGACCAGACCTGTACTTCAGCTGATGCTGGGAACACAGTGTTGCCCTGACTCTTGCTCTCACAGAGCTTTTAGTTCATTCAGCAGAGTGACAAATAAAACACCTAACAAGGACAGCTCAGAATGATCAGGGCTCTGCTGAGAGGAGTCTGGGAGAAGGGGGAGATGCAGGCAGAAATCAGGGTTAGAATGGGGGAAGCTCTGGATGTGGTAGCCTGGGGTGGAGGGGTGAGGGTGTGGCTAGACTGGTACACAGAATGGAAGAAGGGCAAGACAGATAGGCATGGCTGAATCTCAGATCAGACAAATGGACCGGTGAACCCTGGATTCCTCCTTTAAAAATGGGATTTCAGGAAAAACGCTGCAAGATTGTGCTTGGGAGGTACTGCCATGCCACTAGGCTAGGAGTGAGGCAAGGCTTTCTCATCTTAGATAGGTGTTAAAGGCAAGACAGAGCCTGAGAAGCTGTTAGTAGATGGGCCCCAATGGCTCACACCTGTAATCCTAGCTACTCAGGAGGCAGAGATCAGTAAAATTGAGGCTCGAAGCCAGCCCAGGCAAATAGTTCATGCGACCCTATCTTGAAAAAACCCTTCACAAAAAAGAGCTGGTTGAGTGGCTCAAGTTTATAGTCCCTGAGTTCAAACTCCAGTACAACATACAGAAGTACACAGCAAGACCTGTGCTGTATCTCACACTCTGTTCTCACCTTCTGCCAAAAGAGAAAACTGAGGCTAAGGGAGGAGCAGCCCTGTGCCCCACCCAGGTCACCCAGCAAGTGATTAGCAGGGCCTTGTTCTGCCTCTATGACCTTGGGGATCCCCAGGCCAGGCTGGCCCCTGGGACAGAAGTTAGGGGTGAGGCTGACACTGGGCCCTTGCCTGCTTGTTCACAGCGCTTGGCACACGAGTGCCTTTCACAGAGCTGTGACAGTGCCAAGCACTCTCCAACGCTGGTGCCCACAGCCACCAAGCCCGACGCCGTGCAGCCTGACAGCCTGCCCTACCCGCAGTACCTGGCGGTTATCAAGGCCCAGATTGCTTGTGCCAAGGACATTCACACTGCCCTGCTGGACTGTGCCAACAAGGTCACAGGCAAGACGCCTGCACCCCCTACTGGCCCTGGGGGCCCCCTCTGAGGTCTCTGTGGGAAGTGGGGCTGATAGGAGGGTAGGGAGGGGTATGGGAGGGTACTGGCAGAGAGAGAATGAAGTGTGGCCTAAACCAAAGCAAGTGGTCTCCGATTTCTTTTTCCCACTTGAGCTCTGTGGCCAGAAGCCACCAGGGGGCAGCAGAGACCTGTAGGCAATGCCAGCCAGGCTCTTGCTGCCTCCTGCCTCCCTCCCAGGCCTAGGCTGAACTTTGAACTGGGGGCTTAATCACCTTTGTTCCAGGGCCTACCTCCCCCCCAAACCAGGCTTGGGTGTGGCACTCTAGCTGGACACTTATTCAGTCCTTCTGGAGTCTGTTCCAGTGTGACTGCTCCTTTCTCTAGCAGTTCCTCAGTCTCCTCTGTTGCGTCTCTCTTTCTTCCTTTTTGTGTGTCTCTGCCTCCCTTTCTGTCTAAGCCCTGTGATCTTGTATCTCTCTGCCTCATTCTCCCAGCTCCCTTGTGCTGTCTTCTGCCCCAGCTCCCAGCTGTCTGTGAAGGGTGCTGAACCCTGAGTTATGTGGGACTCGGGGAAGAGACTTCACTTCCAGGGCCACAGCCAAGCCTAGAGCCCACAGCTCCTCCCATGTAACCCAGCCCCAGGATTTGCAGGCCCAGGAAAAGAAAAGTGGAGGGGTCTCGCCCTGACCTCAGCACACCCAGATTCAGGAGCAGCCCAGGCCCCCGCCCATCCCCTGCGTCAGCGGGACTCTAAAGAGGGGCATTGTGCAATGCATGGGGAGGCTAGGCTCAGCTGAGCGCCTGGTCCTTGTATTTTTAGCCCCAAAGGAGAAGTGAAAAGGCACTGGCAGGGGTGAATCATCAGTCCTGGGGAAGAACCCAGCTCCGGGAAGCAGGGCCTGGGGAGGGGGCCCCCACCAGCACCCCACTTCCCCACCAGCTTTGGGGAGTTCAGCCGTGGCCTTCAGGCCTGGGCAAGTGCCGGGCGGAGCCACCAGCCCAGGCCCAGCTGTCAGACTGTGAAAGGCCCAAGTGACTCAGCCTGGTTGGGGAACTGCCCCACCCAGCACCTTTGGTGCCCTGGTTCCCATGTCACCACCCAGCAGCCTCCTGTCCTGGACCCCATGTCTGCAAGGAAACCCTAGGAGCACAGAGACCTCTTTGATTCACCCAGAGCCCAGGCCCTACACCGGAAAACTGGGAAGGTGGCCAGCTTACGTGTTGTGTGTGGACATCCCAGGTGCGGGGCAGGATGGTGGTCCAATGAGGGAGCTCTTCAGGGAAGCCTTGGTACTCCCCGTCTAGCTGAGTCAGTCCTGCCCAGCCCCCAAAGACATGGGCCTTTCCCACCTACAGTCAGCTGACATGCACTTTTGTCACAGGAGGACTGCAAGTTCCAGGATAGTCTGGACTGCAGAGCGGCACCTTGTCTCAAAACAACAGAAAGGGCGGGGGCTCCTGGTTCGTCTCCTGTAATGCTAGCTATGCAGAAGGCAGAGATCGGGGGATCTTGGTTCGAAGCCAGCCTGGGCAAATAGTTCACAAGACCCTATCTTGAAAAAACCATCACAAAAAAGGGTTGGCAGAATGGCTTGAGGTGTAGGCCCTGAGTTCAAATCTTAGTCACACACACACACATACACACAAAACCAGAAAGGCCTTCATACAGACACCTAGGTTAGTGTGTGTGCTGAATAACTGGGACTGTAGCCCTACCCATCTAGTCCTTGTCATCTGGGCACCCCTATATACCTCCTTAACCACACTTAATTGCCAATAACTGTCATGGTTTTGCCTAATCAAATAGTCGTCTTGTGTACACCTAAAAAGGCACGAACTGCCCCCAGCAGAGCCCGCCAGCTTCCAGCTTAGGACACCCACTGCATGCTGACAGAGATGTGTCCATCAGTTCATTGTAGATGTACAAGAAAACAGGTACAGCTGGACCTACAAGGTGGTGTCAACACAACACACACAGGTTGGGGGCATGGGATCCCAGGACACAAGGATCAACCGCTGAAAGACACACCTGAGACAGGGCAGGGCAGGGGAGTGATGGATGCACATCCCACAGGAGCAAGAGTTGGAGGTCATCTTGGCCTACATAGCAAGACCCTGTCTCCAAAAATGAAAAACAAGACTTTAAATGATCTTGACAAGTCAAGGAAGGCCTCTGAGAAGGTGATAGAGCAGAACTGAAAGAGGGAGGGAATGTCACATGGATGTCTAGGACTCATTCCAAGGTGTGGTGGCTTACTCATGTAATCCTAGCTGTTAGGGGAGGGGCAGAGATTGGGAGGATCTCGGTTTGAAGCCAGTCTGAGCAAAAAGTTCACAAGGCCTCATCTTAACCAATAAGGTAGGCATGGTGGTCACTTCTGTCATCCCAGCTACACAGGTAGCTTAAATAGAAGGCTCACAGACCATCCTGGCTGGACATAAGCGCAAGACCCTGTTCAGATATAATTAAAGCAAAAAGAGCTGAGGTCATGACTCAGGTGCCTAGCAAGCACAAGATCCTGAGTTCAAATCCCAGTACTGCAAAAAATAAAAAAAAAACATTCCAGAGGGAACTGCAAGTGCAAAGGCCCTGAGGCAGGAATGCACTGTTGAGGTCATGAGCATTTAGAGGCAGCTTGGGCCATGATGAGGGAATAAGGGAACCAGGAGGGGACTGGTTGTTAGGCCCACACCGGGAAGTTCTACAGCCTGATGCACAACCACAGACCAGGGACCACACAAGCTCTTACCACCCCACCCTCTAGAGACAAGCACATCCAGCCTTACTACAAGGTGCCCGAGTGGGACAGGATCCTATCCACAGTGCCACAGACTCTTAAGGGAACAATCCAGACTCCACAACCCTCTAACCACAACTTAGCCCACTATCACCCCATCCCAGACTTTGCCCATCACTGGCTGACTCAGCCTTGCCCTCAGCCCAGTGGCAGAAAAGACCTGATTGGCTGGGGACAGATAAGAATGACCCAGACGCTCAGCAGCTCAGGTGCGGGTGGGTGTGTGCTACGTCTGCTGGGCCCACAGATGCAGACAGCGAGCTGCGACATGGAGCAGGGCGCACGGGCAGCCGCCCTCCCATCACCATCATACACACTGTGGCTGTGACGTCAGGCACCAAAGTTCACTAGTTTCGCTGCCTTGTGACTGGGCCACAGAGGAACCGCATCCAGACGCCACAGCCTCAGAGACGCCCACGAGCAAGGACACAAACACTACTGGCACTCGTGAGAACGGTGTACACTCAGCCACAGAGCTGACACACTCAGCTTCAAGGTTGTGTGCGCTCCGGCCTCTGTCCCATCAGTAGGCATAGTGCCTCACCCAGGCACCTGCGAGGACTTTTAAGTCACCCCAGATCCCACGGTGGCTCAGTGCTACACACGGGGGCGGGGTGGGGGCAGATGTGACACGTCCTATGAATGTCACCTCAAAAGCAACTGCAGTAATTACATTTGAGGCCCGCCCCATATAGAGACAGTTAAAGGCATATGTTATAGACACAGCCAGCTTGTTTTCACACACACACACACACGCCTCTGGCCTGTGTGTCGTACGCACGGGACACTGGGCACGATCACGCCCACAACTACTTCCCCGATCGTACACCCAAGTACCACCCTCCCGCCCCGATGCGCGCGCCATATCCACCTGCAGGTGCGCAAACACCAGGGTCTGCACACTGGCTGATCCCCGCCCGCCCCCGCGGTCGCACACACAGCCAGTGCCACCATGGGCCACCCTCGTCCAGGCAACCCCGCCAGACGTGCACACAACCAGGCACACGTGCCGCGAGCACTCGGGCCCCCGCTCGCTCGCTCGCTCGGGCTCTCACACCCCCGCATTTCCCGTCCCCGCTTGTTTTTCTGGAAACTCTGCTCTCCGTTCTCCTCCTCCCTCCCTCCCCACCCCCGCCGGAAGTACTCGCTATATTTTTAGCCTCTCTGGTTTCCGCCCCTTTCGCTACCCCCCCCTGCCCCCACCGCGCCTGCCCGCGACCTGGCCTTGCGCCCCGCCCGGGACCCTGGCCATCCCCTTCCCCACCGTCATTCCAGAGGGGATTCCCGGCCTCCGCCGAGCCGCGGATTTTCCCGCTGGCTACGTGCGGAGCTGGGAGGAGTCCAGCCGGGAACTTCCTCCTGGCCTGGGACGCTGAGGCTGGGGGAGACCCGGGCTCCTGGCTCTGAGGGACAAGGCACTGGGGCGAGGACCCCTGGGTCTGATGGGGCAGGAGCTAGGAACTTGGACTCTAGGCTCTGAACGGGGAGGGGTTCGTGTGTGTACCCCTGGGTCTGAGGGAGGAAGGACTGTGGCCTGGACCCCTGCTACCGAGGGGGAGGGTGTGGGCCTGGGGGATCTGGGGAGAAGATGGCTGGGCCCCTGGACTCCCTGGTTGTGGACGTCGGTGCCTTGCTTCCTGAGCCCCACAGGTCCGTCTTGGTTTTTTTGGGGGGCGGGTGTCGGCGCGCACTTCGATGACTCAGCAGATGGCGAGGGGAGGGGGCCAGGCTGAGTCACGGGCAATGCTCTGGGACCCAGGCCAGAGCTGGCTGCTTGGAGGACCCCAGGGTGCCGCCCACTGGCTTTTCTGTTAGTCTTACCAGCGGTTAGGGACTTGGAGGCTGGACTGGAGGCAAGTCCCTTTGCCCCTCCTTCCCCCCCTTTTCCCGTTGTCCTCGAGGCTCTGTTTACAGCAGACAGAAGCCCTGGTTACAGGAGAGGAACCGGGCGTCCGGTGCTCAACCTCTCCGTCACGGCTTCCAGGAAGCCCCCGGCCCCCCCCTCGCGAGGAGTCACGGGCAACGGGAGGCCACAACCGTTGCCAAAAGGCACTGCTGTGGCCCTGCCGCAGCTCACGGGACCCAGGTCCAGGAAGCCCCTCGGCCCCAGAAAGCTCACCACCCAGGGATTCCCCCCCCCCCCCCCCCCCCACACACACCACTCGGAGGCAAGGTGGGCACACAAACCTTGGCCTCTTGATCGAATCTCCGCCACCTCATACCGTGTGAGGGCGGCGTGGGCGGGGGTGCCCTGCCTGGGACCGGGGTGAGAGGTGCGGTGGGTGGGCATTCTCGTGGGGGGGTCGCAGAGCGAACGCTGGACGAGCATTAGGCCCGGGCGCGGGGATGCCCGGGGCGGAGAAAAAAAAAAAAAAAAAAAAAGGAAAAAAAAAAAAACGAAAAAAAAAGCGAAAAGAAAGCAAAAAAAAAAAAAAAAAAAAACCAATTAAATAGAATAAAGAGCCGTGGTGGGCATGGGGCAATCGGGGCTCGCACCGGGGAAGCGCGGCCCTCATTGCAAACACCCTTAAACTCCGCTGTGGCTTCGTGTAATAGTCCCACAACACCAATTTCTCACAAAACATCAGCTCACCAAGACCCTCTTAAGAAAATTAATTCTCTAATCCGCGGGTGGATGATGCCTTGGTAATCCAGGCATAGGATGAAAAACAAATTTTTTTTTTCCTTCCCAGATCTTTAACCGAGTGTTTTCACTTAAGGCAACCCTTTATATTAAAGACTGCCAAATATGGTATAAAAGACTGGGAAAGTGGCATGGGGCAACCACACTGTGAGTCCTAGCTTCGGGAGGTTAAGGCAAGATAAGCTGACTGTTCCAGGGTGCCTGGGCTACAAAGCCAGAACCCTGTCTCAAGAAAAAAAATAAAAAATTTAAAATGTTTGCCGGGGGAAGCACTGGAAAATTTAAGAACTTCAGTCCACGCATGCTCCCATTATGACACGATGCCTTCCCTTCGCTTTCTTTTTTCCCATCAAATTTTCATTCAAGGAGCTCTTCCTCCATGATAAAAGACCTCGCTGTTCAAATCTGAATTTTCTCAAAGGACAGACGTTCAATTTAAGGGCTGGATAGTAACTGCTGGAACTAGCAGAGTCACCTGATCTCTTTCTTCATCTGTTAAATGGGGTATAACATCGCCAATGAGTTGGCGTGGAACTGAGTTAATGTCCTTAAAGCACTTACAACATCCCCATCCTGAAGAAATGAGAAGTGACTTTGTCTGAATGAGGGCTAGGGGCTACACGCCCCAGTTTCCATACAGTCTTGCTAGGTATCCTGAGCTCAACAATCGTCCCCCTCCATGGAACAAAGAGGGTGTTCAGGTTCCCTCATCTGATGAAAGCTCTGGTAGAATCCCCTTCCCAGGCCCGTTAGTCTCCAGGGATTTTTTCTTTGCAGATGTGTCTGTTTTTCTATTTCAGGTTTTTTTGTTTTGTTTGTTTTTATGGTACTGAGTTTGAACTCAGGCCTTACACTTGAGCCACAACACTAGCTCCATTTTTTGTGATTTTTTTTTTTTCGAGATAGTCTTGGGAACTATTTGGCTTTGAACCTTGGTCATCCTGATCTCTGTGTCGCTGAGTAGCTAGGATTACAGGTGTCGCCACCCGCGGCCTAGTTCCACTTTATGTGATTCATCCCCCACCCCATCGGAGTCCTCTCTTGAATTTTGTCTCTCCAGAACTGCCTTCTTGTCTCCCACCTTCCCTCCCTTACCCGTCTGTCCCTCACACTGTATGTCTGATTCTCTCATTATCTCTGTCCTCCCACCGTGTCTCTCCCGCCCCGCCTGTTGTTCTGTCTGTCTGTCTCAACACTCATACGCCCTCTCGGCCTCTGCCCTTTTGGTTTGCCCCACCTCTGCCCCCGTTCCCTTCGCGCCTCAGTCTCCAACTTTGAAAAACTAGGCAGACACCTCCCCCTCTTTACGCACCCCATCCCCAATCCCTCCCCGCCGGTCCGCTGCCTGCCGGCCAAGTTCAGGGCATTGAGCCCGGGCGGGCGGAAGAGGATAGTAGGAGGCCTGCCGGCTACGCCACCGGCGCGCGTCCGGGAAGCGCCTTCCTGGCCCCGCCCCGGCTCCGCCCCCTCGGCCTCCTGGCCCTATAAAATGCTGGTGCTCCGTGCTAGCCGCAGCCTGACTTCAGCGCTCGGACTTTGGCCCTTTCTTTATGGCCACTCGCGCCACAGGATCTCACTGCTCTCTACGAGGTGAGTCTCGCGCAACCGTGGGAAACACATTCCTGATTCCTTAAGGCTCTAACACCGCAACTCCGGCGCGGGATGGGGTGCCTGCCTTCCTTCCCAGACCAGGCTCATTACTGGAGGTGAAATGGAGCTCGTATCTCCCGAGTTTCGGCCCAAACACGGGTGGGGCGGCCCCTGGAAATGAGCCCTGTTCTCAAACTAGGGCTGTTTGGAGACGGAAGTGGCCCCACACCTGGCTCACCCCTAGCTGCTGAGGGCGCGGTTTTGCGCGGAGGGCGTTTCTGGGGCTGAAGTTTCAGGGTGGGGGAAGCCGGCTTCCACCCTCATCAGAGTTCCCTGGGAACTTGAGATCCGGGCTCCTGGGTCGTCAGCTCTACCCGGCTTCTCCAGTTTTGAAACTGGGGAGCCTGGTGTGTGGTCACATCCGGGGAGGGCCGGAGGCTCAAATTGGGGAACAGTGGTATGTTGTCACTTTGGGGGCCCTTACTGATCCATCTGGGGAAGCTGGGATTCCTGGATTCCTCTGGATTGGCGTGTCATGAGGATTAACTCAGAACCTCCATATCTGGATCCCTCCCTGGGATCTGGAACCCCCGGGTTTCTGCGATCGGGGTGGGGCTCAGGCCGAGAGCCCACAAACCGGACTAGCCAGGTCTTGAAGTGTCCTGTAGTTGGGGCGGGGCGACGCCTTGGTTTTTCGGGTGCCCTAACCGAATCCTGTTCCCGCAGAGCCTGTTGTCGCTGAGCCCTGATCTGCCGTCCGACCTCGGAGGGACCGAGTCCTCGGCACTCTGGAGTCTAAACCCGTCTGACTCCAGCCCGTCTGGGGTCGTCCCTCGCCCGCCTGGCCGGTCCACCAGCCTCGTGGAGGGCCGCAACCATGGCTGGGTGCCTCCGCCCCCTGGCTTTGCACCCTTGCTTCCCCGCTCGGGCCCTGAGCTGTCGCCCTCACCCACCTCGCCTACTGCGACCCCTGCCAACTCCTCCCGCTACAAGACTGAGCTCTGTCGGACTTTCTCAGAGAGTGGGCGCTGTCGCTATGGGGCCAAATGCCAGTTTGCCCATGGCCTGAGTGAGCTGCGGCAAGCCAATCGCCATCCCAAGTACAAGACGGAACTTTGTCACAAGTTCTACCTCCAGGGTCGCTGCCCCTACGGTTCACGCTGCCACTTCATCCACAACCCCAACGAGGACCTGGCCGCCCCCGGCCAACCGCACGTGCTGCGACAGAGCATCAGCTTCTCCGGCCTGCCCTCAGGCCGGCGGACCTCGCCCCCGCCACCAGGCCTGGCGGGCCCTTCCCTGTCCTCATGCTCCTTCTCCCCCTCCAGCTCCCCGCCACCACCTGGGGACCTGCCACTGTCACCCTCGGCCTTCTCTGCTGCCCCTGGGACCCCTGTGGCTCGAAGGGACCCCACCCCAGCCTGCTGCCCCTCCTGCCGAAGGGCCTCTCCTGGCACCATCTGGGGGCCCGTGGGCGGCCTCCTGGCTCGGAGCCCCTCAGCACAATCTCTGGGGTCCGACCCTGATGAATACGCTAGCAGCGGCAGCAGCCTTGGGGGGTCCGACTCGCCCGTTTTTGAGGCTGGGGTTTTCGGGCCGCCCCAGGCCCCTGCTGCCCCGCGGCGACTCCCCATCTTCAATCGTATCTCTGTTTCTGAGTGACAGGAGCCAGCCTGTGACAGATGAGCTGGATGTCAAGAGGGAAGTCCTTGTGCTGTGGGAACCTGGGTGACTGAAATTAATCCTCTCCCCACATTCCGAAATGCATTAACCCACTCCCCTGATGGCCTCGCCGGGGCAGGTCCCCAGTGTGCAAGCTCAGTGTTTTATGGTGTTGGGGACGGGAGTGTTTTTCTGGAGTTCCCAAGATGTAGCATATTTGAGGAAGGCAGTGAGCCCTCCCTCCCGCCCAACTCGTGTCTCCTGCAATCTTCAGTGCTGTGAATAGTTGGCCCCCACGGTCCCCTCCCGAATTTTCAAGTTCCGCTGTGCCTGGTGGCGATTGGAGCCTCCCCTGGGGGACAATCCTGGTGCTCAAATTTCCCTCCATAAGCACGTAGCCAAAGCCAATGCCAAATCCCTCCTCCTGAACCAGTGGGCCCTTTATTTATGACGACTTTATTTATTCTAAGATTTTATAGTATTTATATATATTGGGTCGTCCTTCCTTGTATTTTTCTTCCTTTTGTAATAATGGAAACTGGTATAATTATTGGAAGTATAATATATTAATATATATATATTGTTACCTTCAAAGTCTATTTTTGTGGTTTGTTTTTTTTTTGGAATTTTTAAATAAAAGCAATCTCGAGTGCGAAGCGCAAGCCTGGCTTTTTCGCAGTGTCCGAGGCTGTAAGAGGAGTGGGCGGGTGTAGGGAGAGGTGACCTCCAAACATTCCCAGAGCTGGGCCACCCAGCCGCGCTTACCTGGCAGGAAGTGACGTCATCACCAGCCAGTTCACCTGAGAGGGCGTGGCCAGGTGAGGTCACCCAGGAGGAACCGGGAGAGCCAGTTCCCGGGGCGCGGGGGTGCTGCGCTCCCGCCCCGGCCGGTCGGGCTCCTTGACCCAGCGCGGGCGGGCGGGGTCGGGCCGTTTCCGTCCCCACGGGGCGCAGGCGGGCGGGAGGGCCGAGCGGGGAGGACGGAATGTCCCCGATCGCGGGCCCAGGCGGGCGGAGGCGCCCGGGATCGCGGGGCGGGGTCACCCCGAAGCCGGAGTCCTGGGAGGCCCCAGCACCCCGTGTCCTCGCGGATTTGAATCTGGGAGAGGAGGGGGTGACACTCAAAGACTTTGGCAAAGTTAGCGGAGGGGCTTTCAAAACGTCCAAGACTCCTGGAGTCTCAGCTCTCTAAAATCCCAAGCCGGGTCCCCTTTGGCGACTTCCATCCCAGACACTCGGGACCGGGCATCTGTCTTCCGGAACCCCGGAATGATGCCCTTTAGCGGGTCGCGATCCCCAAGTTCGGAGCTACGGGGTCCGGGCGTTTCCGGAGCCCCGGCTCGGGGAGCAACGAACTCCGACCATACAAGGCAAGAGGCGTCGCTGCCACCCCGGGGCTGGGGGGGGCCGCGCCCGGAAGCCGGCCCGCGTCAAAGCCCGCGCCCCGCCCCGCGCCTCCGGCTCCTCCCCGCCTCGACCCCTCTGCTCTGTCCTCCCCCTGTCCCTCCTCCCGCCCGCCCACTTCCCTCTCCTCCCCCTCCTCCCCCTCACTTCCTCCTCCCCACCCCTCTCTCAGCCCCCTCCTGTCCCTCAGTCCTTCTCCGAGTTCCCCTTCTGTCCCTTCCTTCCCTCCCCAGCTCACCCCACACACCCAGTTTCTCCTTTTCCTGGACAGCTCCTGACCCTCACTCTGGTCTCCCCCCCCCCCATCCCAGTGGCCCACTCTGACCTTTGGTCTTTTGGAAACTGCTTCCCTTGTGGGAAAGGGCTCAGGCCCCAGTATGTAGAAGAGGGTTTGGGAGAGAAACAGAAACCAAGAGATCCAAAGGCATCCTTTCCTTTCCTTTCCTTCCCTTTCCTTTCGCGCGCGCGCGTGCGTGTGTGTGTGTCTTACTAATGTAACCCAGGCTGGCCTCAAACTCTGAATTCTGGATCCTCCTGGATCACGCCCCCAGCTGTGGGTTTTTTGTTTTTGTTTTTGTGGTTTTTTTTTTTGCCCTTTCAAAAACACAAATAAACAAAACCCTGGCCCAGGGAGGTGGCTCCGTGGTAGAGCACCTGGTTAGTATGTACAAAATTTGGGGTTGGATTCCAAGACAAAAACTAAAACTTCATCTGAGAAAATGTCACCTACTACCAGGCTCAGCCCAGACACCTGGGACCTGGGACTGCCTGGTCTCCCCTCTGAAATTCACACCCCAGGTCAACAGCAGCTGGTCAGCTCCACTTTCAAAATAGGTTGACACACGGTAGATATGCAGCCCTGTAACCCACCCTCCAGGCCTCCTGTCGTCATCTCCCCCCACCTCCCCCCGCAGCCAGGACCCAGCACTTCCCACTTAGTGAGCCTTCATAGCACCCCCTCCCTGCCCTGCCCTCAGTCTCTTTCCCAGCACCCCTCAAGAGAAACCTAGGATACCTGAGTCACAGCCCAAAAAGTCAAAGTCCTAAGTACTTGCCACAGGCCACACAGCCTGGCTCCTAACTCCTCCCCTCCCCCTGCTCACACTGGGCTACCTGCTCCACCAACACATCTGGCTCGCTTCAACCACAGAGCCTTTGCACCGACTGTCCCCTCTGCCTGTAAACCCCCCCACCCGTGTGACCCCATGACTCAGGCCTTTCCTCAGGTCTCTGCTCAAAATACGATCCACCCTACTCCTATTGCAACTCACACTACCTCCAACTCCTCATCCTCTGTCCTGATCGATGTTTCTCACCACCTAAAATATAAAACGTGCTTAATTCTCAGGTGTATAGTAACCTGGCCCCTCGGTACAAGTCCTCAGGGATAGGGGATTTTTGTCATGTTCACTTCTGTATCACTCACCCCGAAACAGAGCCAGGCACATAGTGAGTGTTCAATATTTGTTTAAAAAAAAAAACAAACAACAAATGGATTCACAACCCGAGAGGCAGAGCCTTTGGTATGTGGAAGACCCCACAGCCGGTCGCGTCACTCCAGAAGTCTTAAACTGAGATTTGTAGTCGTCCTCGCCCAGAACATCTAATGAGAGGCGATGCTGCCACCTGGCGGCCAAGGTCTGAAATGGCACCTTCCCACAATACAGAAATTTGCCCCGACTGACCATCACTTCTGAGTCCCCAGATGCAGATGAAAACGTTCATTCTCTGTGATGTGGGTGTTTTGATGTATTTATAGGGTGTGTGAGTTAATACAAAAACTGATGAGAAGGCTAAAAATGCTCCAGGCTCAAGTACAGCACCCTGAATTCTGAGTTTAAACCCTAGTACAGCCAAAAAAGAAAAAAGCTGAGTGTGGTGTGTGTTGATGCATGCCTGTAAAGGCAGAACTCAGAAGGCAGAGACGAGTTCCAGGCTTTGGTTATATAGCAAGACCTTGTCTTAAAAACTCACGTAGAGAAAAAGGAATGCTCCAGGTGAGGATCGAACTCACAACCTCGGCATTGCTCCGCCTGCACTGTCATATAAGTACCGCGCGCTAACCGATTGCGCCACTGGAGCTCCGGCCGCACCCTTACGCCGCAGAGTCCTTCAGTTGTGTATAGCCACGTGACCTCACTGTCCAGCTCCGCCTTATATTGCATATGCAAATGAAAATCTTTTGGTTGCCCAATAGGAGAAAGAGCGTGGTCAATTCCGGATTCTCACGCCTCTCAAGTCCTTGCTGTAAAAGGGAAAAGTCCGCGCGGGGCTAGGAATGTGGGCTGTGGTTTGCCGGAGGACTCGCCTCCTCATGAATATTCAAACCATGGGGAGGCGGGGTCTTAACCCTTCGCTGGCGGGCCGGCCGGAAGGCGGCCCCTCCCCCCCACGGGCGGGAACAGGATATGAGCCGGGACGGCAGGGGGGGAAGGGAGGTCTCGGGCGGCCGCCCCCCACCCCACAGCTGGGACCCAACTCTCTCCACCCTAGATGTGGCGCCGCCGCCGCCACCGGAGCCCCGTGCCACCCGTCCTGGAACCTGAGGGGTCCAGAGTCTCGGACCTGGGCATCCGGAATTTCGGCACCGCATCTTGCGAGACCTCGAAGTCCAGGCCTCCGCGCCCCGACTAAGAGGCCCTCAGGGTTCCCAGCGCCCCCTCCTGGAAGAGCCGGGGGTCCCGGACATCAGCCCCGCGGGACCCTGGAGGCCGAGCGTCCCGCACCTCGGCTTGAACAACGCAGGATCCAGGACCTCACATCCCCTTCAGGGGGTCCTAGAATCCGAGCCCAAGACCCCCCCCCCGGGTTGAAGGAACTTGGGATCTGGACCTGTAGCACTCTAGCCTGTCCGTTTTGGGGTGCAGCGCCCATCACTTCAAAAGGACCCAGAAGTTTGGGGTCCCTTGCGCTCCGCTTTAGGGTGATTTAATCCCAGCTCCTAGTATTAGGAGAACTCAGGAATCCGGGTTCCCTCCCCCTCTTACAACCCTACCTTAGAAGACTCAGGAATTTGGGTCCCCAGCGTGCCCCCCCCTCCATCTGAGCCTCCCAGCATCTTTCACTTAGAACCCCAAGAAAGCTGGACTGCCGGACCCCACTCTGCGAAGTTCACGCCCCTGAGTTCTTGCACGGCGCCTCTCCGGGGGACCGTGTTCTAGGGCGGCTCGTCCCTGGTCCAGGGCTGGCGGCTCCCCGGGAGGTGAGCGGAGGCGAGGGGCCCGGGGCTGGGGGAGGGGGCGGCGCCGCGGTGAACAATGAGGGGGCGTGCCGGCAGGGGGCGAGCCCGGGCGCCGGCGGGAGCGAGGGGCTGGAGGGGGGCGGGAAGGCGCTGGGGACGGTGGGGACGGCGATCGCGGCGCCGAGGGACCGGCCGGAGGTGGTGGGGGGAGGGGATGGGGTGAGGGGAGGCTCGGGGCCAGCGCCCCGGCGCGCAAACCCTTGGCGCGGGAGGGAACCGTCTGTAAAAAGGACCCTGGCATCCGGTCCCCCCAACCTCCGCCCTCCCCTGGGACCCCGCGGCCTCCCGCCCACGACTTTTCCCAGCCCTGCCCCTGGCCCTGCGCTGCAGCCTGATCCTCGACGTTCCCAGGATCCCTGAACCAGACTGGACTCCTCCTGGCTTCTGGGACGCTGGCTGTTTTCAGTCTTCTTTGTCTCAACCGTTCCATCTGCCTTTCTAGGGTTTCTTCTTGTCCCCTTCCTGTCACTTTGCTTGTGTCTCACTCATTAGTTACTCCCAAGGGAGTAACTTCCTGGATTTTTAGACTGACTTCCTAATTCCCAGCACTACATCTTTTGAGTTTAGGGGCAGCAAAAGGGTCCTGTACCCAAGAAAGGGGGGGGGTGGTCTGTCTACAGGTCGCTGCTGTGCCATTCAGCCATGCCTGAAAGAGCCCGAGGACTGAGCCTGGCCAAACCCAGCCCAAGCCTCGGGTGTGGCCACAGAGGAGAAGCGTGTGACTGCTCAGCTGTGTGTGACACTCGGACAGGTGAGCGTCCCAGACAAGGGGCGGAGACTGAACAGTTTGTTCCTTTCTTCAGCCCTCTGTGCCTGGCACAGTGCTGTGGGTAGTACTGCCAACGCAGGGTGATCAAGACAGCTCAGCCCTGCCTTGGAGGACAGAGCTCCAAGTCTGACTGACCCATTCCTAGTCAGTCAGTCACAATGTAGAGGGGGACGACGACTGGGGCAGAGCTGTGATGGGGACCCCCATCCCCAGGGGAAGGCTGTTGGAGCCTAGTCTGGGAGGTCCTTGAAGTGGTACATCTAAACTGAGAATACAAGATTAGGAGGAAGGAATTGAACAAAACCCCTGAAGTATTCCATGAGCAAGAAGCAGTGTGCGCAAAAGCTCAGAGCTGCTGTTTTGAATCACTGAGGGAAGTTAAATGTGGTTGGTGGGAGGTGGGGGAGGGTAAAATGAGGTCTAGCCCTGGGAAACAGCTGACTGGAGAGATCCGTCAGGGCCACATTGCATAGATCTGAGGAGTTTGGACTTTAGTCCGAGGGCACGAAGAGGTTATACTTGTAGGACTGACAGGATCAAATGGATAGATTCATAAAGATCTTCCTGGTTGATACATGGAAACAATTAGAGGAATAAAGTCCAAAACCCCAGAGAGGATTATGGGTAGAAGAAGATGGGACTGGATCAAGACCGGGCATTGGGAGAGGAGAGGAGGAAGCCCATAGAAATCCTATTGGCCAGGTGTGGATGACTGTGGGGGCTGTGGGAGGGAACACTTGGGGAGAATCCCTAATTTTCCCCTCCCTACCCAGCAGCCCCTGCAGCCCCCGTCATGGCCTCCCTCCGAGCTTCTGGGAGCTCCACCTCACTGAGCACAGTAGGCTCTGAAGGGGAGCCAGCCCCAGGGCCTACCCCAGCCTGCTCAGCCTCCAGGCCAGAGCCCCTGCCAGGACCCCCCATCCGCCTACACCTGTCGCCTGTGGGACTCTCAGGCTCCGTGAAGCCCTCCCGACTGGAGCGTGTGGCCCGTGAGATCGTGGAGACAGAGCGGGCTTATGTCCACGACCTCCGTACCATTGTAGAGGTGAGGCGGGCAGACACCCTGGGAGGGCAGTGGGGCACTGCAGGCCCCTGACCTTGGTAACCCTGGTCACTTCCACAGGACTACCTAGGCCCCCTGCTGGATGGTGGGGTTCTGGGGCTGAGCATGGAGCAGGTGGGCACGCTTTTTGCCAACGTTGAAGACATCTACGAATTCAGCAGGTCAGGGGCTGGCAGCAAAATGACAGTGGGAGTAGGAGGGGCTGTGTCCTGACCCAAACCTTGGAGCCCTTAGTGTTCTGTCCAGACTGATATGGGGGATGTGATGACATCAGGCGGGGATCAAACTAAGGAGTGTGAGGACCCAGACTTGAGTGTGGGCCTAGGCTGAATCCCAGAGTCACCTGGGGCCTGGAGGTTAAGTGTGTTCTGATTTGCCCAGGGCTTTCTGGTTTTAGCACCACAAAGCCTTGGTCCTGGAAAACTACTTTGTCACAGACAAACTAGTGAGGAGGGCACTGGGGTCCTAGGTTCATGATGCCTTGAGATCTCAGAATCACAACAGGGTCTTAAGATTATCATAACTTTGGAGCCAGGTGTGGTAGTGTGTAGCTGTAATCCCAGCTACTCAGGACGCAGAAGTAGGAGGATTGAGAGTTCAGGGCCAGCCCAGGCAAAGTTAGCAAGATCCTGTCTCAAAAAATAAAAACAAAAGGGCTGGGGGCTTGGCTTAAGTGGTAGAGCCTAGCTTGGCAAGTGCAAGGCCCTGGGTTCAGTCCCCGGTGCTACAAATTACATAAATAAATAACCAATCATCCTAGCTTTAGGGGAGTCAGAAAAATGCCCCAACCCTCTTCTGTCTGTCTGGTGGCCCCCCTGGAGTCCTGTGGGGGCTATGGAGGCAGCATGGGTCTTTACCCTTCCTCTCCCCCACAGTGAGCTCCTGGAGGACTTGGAGGGTAGCAGCAGTGCAGGGGACATTGCCCAGTGCTTCGTGCAGAGGGTGAGTGCAGGCTGGGGCTCTCGGTCAGGGTGGAGTCTTGGCTATGGGACAGCAGGCCTGGGCTGGACTGCAGGGGGACCTGGAGTCTCCCTGATTCCCCTGTCCCCCGCAGAGCGAGGATTTTGACATCTACACCTTGTACTGCATGAACTATCCAAGGTGAGGGGCAGGAAGTCTAAGGCCAAGTGGGTGCTCACATCCCAGTCCACCTCCCTCCCCGCTCCAGCCCGCCCCACCCAGCTCCAGCTCCTGCCAGACTTGCAACAATAACTGACATCTCTCTAACTACCCTGACCATCCCTGACCCCTGGCCACTCGCTGACCCCTCCCAACCCTGCCCGCTGAAGCTGGCAGCTCCCGATGACCTGTGCTGTGTCCCCAGCTCCCTGGCCCTACTCCGGGAGCTGTCCCTGTCTCCGCCCGCTGCCCTGTGGCTGCAGGAGCGCCAAGCCCAGCTCCGGCACTCGCTACCCCTGCAGAGTTTCCTGCTGAAACCAGTGCAGCGCATCCTTAAGTACCATCTACTACTGCAGGTTAGTGTGGGCCGCATCTGTCCTTCCCTAGACTCCTGTCTGTCTCCTGTCACTCATTTTCTCTCAGTGGGACTGGGCTTTGAACTCAGGCCTTCACATTTGCAGAGCAGGCGCTCTATCACTTGAGCCACAACTCCAGTCCATTTTGCTCTGGTTATTTTGGAGATGGGGGTCTCACAAACTATTTGCCCAAGCTTAGCCTCAAACCTTGATCCTCTCAATCCCAGTCTCCCAAGTAGCTAGGATTACAGGTGTGAGCTACCAGTGCCTGGGTTCTAGTAAACTGAATTTTTTTCTTTCTCCTTTTCTTCCCCGCCCCATGTGCCTGGCGGATGCCTGGCAGGAACTTGGCAAGCACTGGGCGGAGGGCCCGGGTGCTGGAGGCCGTGAGATGGTGGAGGAAGCTATTGTGTCCATGACAGCTGTGGCCTGGTACATCAACGACATGAAACGCAAGCAGGACCATGCTGCGCGCCTCCAGGTGGCCCCAGGGTGGACTGGGCTGGCTAGATTGGAGTAGTGGTTATGGGGGGCAGGGGTAATCTTGGAGGGTTGGCTCACAGCACATCCCTGTCACTAACCCCCCTGTCTTGGCCTGTGTGTGTGCCGCCGACTTGGGCCTGGCTCTGCGCCTGGCGGGGTCCTGGCAGGAAGTACAGCGGCGGCTGGGTGGCTGGACCGGCCCGGAGCTCAGTGCGTTTGGGGAGCTGGTGCTGGAAGGTGCCTTCCGAGGGGGCGGAGGGGGTGGCCCCCGACTTCGAGGGGGTGAGAGGCTCCTGTTCTTGTTCTCTCGAATGCTGCTGGTGGCCAAGCGCCGGGGACCGGAATACACCTACAAGGGACATATTTTTGTGAGTTTGGGGATGGGTGGGGCCTTCTGTATACCTCTGCCTGTATACCTAAAGAGGGGTGTGGGGGACTACCTGCCTTAAAAGGGCTACAGTTTTTGAGTTCAGCAACGGGAAGCAGCATAGCTCACACCTGTAATCTCAGCTACTCAGGAAGCAGAGATTGGGAGGATTGAGGTTTGAGGCCAGCCCAGGCAAAAAGTCAGTGAGACCCCATCTCAACAAGTAAGTTGAGTATGGTGGTATGTGCCTATCATCCCAGCTACTGGGGAAACATAGGTAAGAGGATTGCAGTCTATGCCTAGCTCCAGGCAAAAACATGAAACCATACCTAAGAAATAAGTAAAGCAAAAAAGGACTGGTAGAGTGACTCAAGGTGAAGGCCCTGAGTTCAAGCCCCAGTACTGCAAAGAAAACAAACAAAAAAGTTGGGGAGGCCAGGGCTAGGGGTGTAGGGTACTTGCCTAGCGTGTGCACACACCACCCCTCCACACACACACAAATAAAAGTGAGGCCAGCAGGATGCAGAGAGGTGAGGCCTGTAGAGAATGGTCTGATATGTCCCTAAGATGGGTGCCTTCATAGAGGTGAGGGGTTGAGGTGGAGGGGAGGAGGAGGGAGGGATCTGGTGAGGAAAAGAGCAGAACCCAGCCTGGTGGGGTAGGGGCCCAGCATATGTACTTTGAAGCGCCTCTTTCTCTGGCTGGGGGGCGGGGGGGACGCTGATACTCCCCAAGGCCACCTTGGTCCCTGCGGAGTTCTTAGCTGGCTGCCCCTGTCTGCCTTTCACCAGTGCTGCAACCTGAGTGTGAGCGAGAGTCCTCGCGATCCTCTAGGGTTTAAGGTGTCTGATCTGACCATTCCCAAGCACAGGTACCTGCTCCAGGTGAGCGCAGGGTGGGCTGGGCTGGCTGGGCCCCACCTGATCTCACTTCTGCCTCCCTGACTCCATTCCCCTCCCACCCCTCCAGGCCAAGAACCAAGAAGAGAAGCAGCTATGGATTCACTGTCTCCAGCGCCTCTTCTTTGAGAACCACCCTGCCTCCATCCCTGCCAAGGTACAGCCCCTGCCGCAGCAGGGACCCTGGGGATGCTGGTAACGCCCATAGTACTCTGAGAGGAAGGGGATCCTCTTACAGCCTGGTCACTAACAGTGCAAAATTATGCTACCTGGGGTTTACGTCCCAGCTCTACCAGTGACTGCTTTGTGACTTGCTTGGGCAGCTTAATTTCTCTGTTTTGCTTGCTCTTGTTTTTGGCAGTACTGGGGTTTGAACTCAGGCCTTTGCACTTGCTAGGCAAGCACTCTACCACTTAACCAGCGCCCCCAGCCTGCATTGCCTTAGTTATTTTTCAGATAGAGTCTCACATTTACATACAGGCCAGCCTGGAGGTGATCCTCCTAGTTACAATTCCCTTGAAGCTGGGATGACCGGCATATGCTACTATATACTCAGCTGGTATTGCTTGAGATGAGGTCTTGTGAACTTTTTCCCTGGGGCTGGCCTTGAGCCTTAGTCCTCCCCATCTTTGCCTCTGGAGTTGTTACAATTAACAGGCATGAGCCACCGCACCGGGCTTTTCTGTTTTTATTTTAGTGGGAATTGAACCCAGGGCCCCCTGCACGCTGGCCAGGTACCAGTTGAGCCACTCTGGCCTCCCTCCTGGCACCATATGAGAATTAGTGGTCCTTAGCTACGTCGTGGGCCTGACCCGTAGAAGCACCCATTCCTGGGACCAGCTGTCTAACCCACAGACTCCACAACCCTCATGCTCCTCTTTTTCAGGCAAAGCAAGTTCTTTTGGAAAACAGCCTGCATTGTGAGTTGGAGTCTGGGGCTGGGGATACGTGCAAGTAGAACTGCTTCCAGCTGCATTACTAGCCCCAGACTCTTGCCCCAGGTGCTCCAAAAAGCAAGCCTATTCCAGAGCCCCCCACGCCCCCACTCGGGTCTCCCCGACCAAGAGATGGTAGAAGCTTCACCCCTGGCCGAAGGAACACAGGTGAATGAGATGGAATGCTAGGTGCCACACCCCAGCCCCTTCTTCCCCGGGGCCCTTGGAGCCAGGTTCATGCTGTGTTCTGCCTGCCTGTCCTACAGCTCCGTCTCCAGGACCCTCTGGTAGTCGCCGTGGTCGCAGGCCGTCTGGTGAGTACCCACACCTGAGGGTGCTTCATGGGCTTGTGGGATCTGACCGCCTGACATCACTGTGTCCTCCCCCCAGAGCCAGTGAAGGACCCTTACGTCATGTTTCCACAGGACGGTCAGTGACTGGTTCATGTCTGTCTGTCTGTCTCTTCCCCAGGGGATGCCCAGGATGGATGGGTGAGGCGGGCTGGGTGGCTGATCAGTTATAAGGAATAACTCTTATTCCTGTTTCTCACTAAGTTTTTTCTCTCTCTCTTCTCTCCAACCTCAGCTAAGCCTGGATTCAAGGTAAGAGATATCCTGAGACAGGATCTAGGGATTCAGATTTCAGAGTCTAATGGAGAAAGAGAACTTAACTCCCCAAAATCCTGGGTCTGCACAAGAAAAGAGATTGAGCCAGGCGTGGTGACTCCCTCCTTTAATCCCAGCTATTCAGGAGGCAGAGATAGGAGGATTGTGGTTTGAGACCAGCACTGGCAACGTTAGCACAAGAACCTATCTGAAAAACAAACTAACAGAAAAAGAATTAGGAGGCATGACTCAAGAGGTAGAGGGCTGGTTTAGCAAGGGAAGATTGCCGATTTTAATCCAGTATTGCAAAATAATTTTTTATTTATTTATTTTTTTGCGGTACTGGGGTTTGAACTCAGTACCACCCCAAAAAAAAGAAAAAAGAAAAGGAGCTTGAACTTGATTCCCCCATCTGCAGAAAGAAGGGGCTAGGGAAGGGGACGCAGGCTCCCTTGGCTCCTGCCTTCCACCCCCTCTCCTCCTCACAGCACGCCGGCAGTGAAGGAGAGCTGTACCCCCCCTTGGAGTCACAGCCACCAGTTTCAGTTTCTGGACCCCCTGAGGACCCAGAGGATGCTGGGCCCCCCTCGCTGGACCCCTCAGGGACCTCCATCACCGAGGAGATCCTGGAGTTGCTGAACCAGAGGGGTCTCCACGATGCAGGGGTGAGCTGGGCATCCTTGGGACCCTGGGAGGCAGAGACCAGGGACCGGGTGGCCAGCCCAGCCTGATTCCGTTGGCTTCTTCCCCCAGCCGGTCACCCACGATATTCCCAAGTTCCCTGGAGACTCTCAGGTGCCAGGCGACAGCGAAACTGTCACATTCCAAGCCCTGCCCAGCAGAGACTCTTCTGAAGAGGAGGAGGAGGAAGGGGAGGAGGAGGAAGAGCTGGAGCTGGATGAACGGGAGCCCTCCCCACTCCACGTCTTAGAGGGTCTGGAAGGTTCCAGCACCGCTGAAATACCCGACATTCCCTGCCTTGCCAAGATTCCTGATTCAGTCACCCTCCCTGCCATTCCCGAAGTTCCCCGCCTCCCCAGTCTCTCTGACATTCCCGGTGTTTCTGAAATGCCATGCCTTCCAGCAATGCCTAGTGTCCCCGACCTTCCCAGTCTGTCCAGCCCTCCCACCCTGCCTGGTGACTCCTGGCTGCCAGGACCTCTGCAGGAGTCAGCTGAGGCTCTGGCCACCAGGAGAGAACCATTTTGTGCAAGCAGTCCTGGGACACTGGGCGAGCCCGCCCTGGGAAGCAGAGTAGGGCAGGAGGAAGAGGGAGGAGGACTGTCCTTCCCAGCTTTCCAGCTTCAGGATGTCACTGGAGCCCAGGGATTCCCAGATGAGCAGGAATTTCGATCTTGCTCAGAAATCCGGAGTGCCTGGCAGGCATTGGAGCAGGGGCAGCTGGCCCGGCCAGGCTTCCCAGAGCCCCTGCTGATCCTGGAGGACTCGGATCTGGGTGGAGGTGGCGGGAGTGGGAGGGCAGGAGTTCCGCATTCAGAGAGGGCAGCGTCCCGGGTTCGAGAGCTGGCTCGGCTCTACAGCGAACGGATCCAGCAGATGCAGCGGGCTGAGACGCGGGCATCGGCCAATGCTCCCCGCCGCCGACCCCGGGTCCTGGCCCAACCCCAGCCATCCCCCTGCCCACCCCAGGAGGAGGCTGAGCCAGGTGAGGTCCAAGTACATGAGCAGCAGAGGGGCCTAATCTGGGGCATCACTTCTGACTTGATTCTCTCTTCTTTTTTTTTTTTAGCAGTGGTGAAGTTTGAACTCAGGACCTCGTGCTTGCTAGGCAGGCATTCTACCACTTGAGCCATTCCTCAGCCCTTTTTGCTTTAGTTACTATCTTTCAGATAGGGTCTCATGCTTTTTGCCTAAAACCAGTCTCAGACTGAGATCTTCCAACCTCTGCTTCCTGTATAACTGGGATTATAGGCATGAACCACTATGCCTAGTTGTTTTTTGGGTTTGAACTCAGGAACTCAAGCTTGCTAGGCAAGTGCTTTACCACTTGAGTCACTCCACCAGCCCTTTTTTTTTTTGAGTATTTTTGAGATAGGGTCTCAAAAACTATTTGCCTGGGCTGGGTGCAAACCATGATCTTAATTCTTGCCTCCTGAGTAGCCAGGATTACAGGTATAAGCCACCAACACCCAACCTACTTGTTCTTTGAGAAAGGGTCTCACTTTTTGCCCAGGTTGGCCTCGAATTGCAATCCTCCTGTGTCTCCCTCCCAAGTAGCTGGAATTACAGGCTTGAGCCACTGCATCTGGTATTGATTCCTCTTTTCTTTGCACCCAGGGTCCCTGCCTGCCTTTGGACACGTGCTAGTGTGTGAAATGGCCTTCCCACTGACCTGTGCCCAGGAATCTGTTCCTCTGGGCCCTGCTGCTTTGGTTCAAGCTGCCACACCTTTGTCTAAGCAGGGAGGCCACCTGGATGGCCCCAGTGTAAATGTTCCACATTTGCCTCAGCAAGACCATATGGGCAGCCACATTCAGCCTCCTGTGCCTGAGCAAGGAGACTTCTGGGACAACCAGGCTCCAGCTACATCACCTTTGCCCAAACAAGAAGGCCCTCCAGACGTTCAGGTTCCAGCTGTTTCAACTTTGCCTGATCAATGCCAGCCACAGAGCCAAGTTCCGTCTCCCACCTGCCTTCCTGAGCAAGGATGCCACACGGACGTTGAAATTCCAGCCACCACAGTGTTGCCCAAACAGAGAGGTTCTGGCATCGTGGTTCTAGCTATCACCCCTTTGCCCAAGCAAGAAGGCCACCCAGACAGCCAGAGCCCAACCAATAGCCCAGAGACTCAGCAAGGGGACTGCAAGGATGATAAGGGACCAGCCCCTGTCTGTGACCAAGCCGTCAGCCATTCACCAATGTGCAGAATCAGCATGGACCACCAGATCCCAGCCACGCCCCCACTGCCCTTGTCACGTGATCTCCCAGACACCCAGTGTCCAGATGTATCCTCTCTGTCTACACATGGAAGACACCTGGACTGTCACATGCCAGCCAGCACTTCATTGTCTTGGTCAGAAGACCTCCCAGACATTCAGAGACCAGCCAACATCCCCTTGCCCCAGCCAGAAGGCCTTACGGATACCAGGGTCCAAGCCCTCCCACCTTTGCTCAAGCAGGAAGGCCCCCCAGATACCCAAGGTCCAGCTGCTACCTTGCTTCTTCAGGAGGGCTGCCTCACAGACACTCAGGCCTCCCAAGCCATACCTTTGTTGGCCCACCACCCAGACCACCATCTTCTGGCCACCACATCTTTGCCTGAGCAAGGAGGCTCTCAGGACCTTCACAACCTGTTACCCACTCCAGTTCAAACCACCATGGTCTTACCCAAACTAGGAGGCCCTTTGGTCTCTAATTTGGCAAGGTGTGAGTCTGCAGACTTGACCCCACCGCACAGCCCCCCGCCCCCCACTCGTCAGCTCCTGGGCCCCAATGCAGCCGCCCTGTCCAGGTACTTGGCAGCCTCCTACATCAGCCAGAGCCTGGCTCGGCGGCAGGGGCCTGCAGGGGAGGTCCCCCTAGTTCCCCGGGGCCCCTGGCCCTCCTCTGCTCCCACATCCAGGGCGCCTTCACCACCACCCCAACCCCAGCCCCAGCCTCCGCCACCACCGGCCAGACGACTTAGCTATGCCACCACTGTCAGTATCCAGGTTGGAGGTGGGGGGCGGCTGCGGCCTGCCAAGGCCCAAGTTAGGCTGAACCACCCTGCTCTCTTGGCCCCTACCCAAGAACCTGTGGGCCTTCGCAGGGCCCAGGGGGCTCCTGATACCCCTTTCCACATGTGAGCCAGGACGTTGGGCTTCCCCAAAACAAGGACTTCAGCCAGGTGCCACACACTTTCAGAACACACGGTCGGCAATTGTCTGTGGTTTTCCAGCCCTTAGATGGCTTCTTTTTGCGTTGAAGCAATGGTGATGGGAAGCAGATGTCATTATTATTTTGTTAATTAATATTGTGAAATTCTGTGTGTTTTCCCATTCTGGAGGAGGTGTGGAAGACAGATATGAATGGGAAGGGTTGATGAAGCAGAATCAGTGGTGCCGAAAACTTGGGGAAACTTGAAAGGCAGAGATCAGGGGGATTGTGGTTTGAGGCCAGCTCAGGCAAAGTTATCGAGACCTCCCCATCTCAGTAAGCCAAGCATGGTGGTGCCAGCTCAGGCAAAAAGTTATCGAGACCTCCCCATCTCAGTAAGCCAAGCATTGTGGTTCCAGCCACACGGAAGGCTATCAGCAGGAGGATTTTGGTCTGAGGCTAACCTAGGCAAAAATAAGTAAAACTGAAAAAGCAGGAGGTGGGTCTCAAGTGGTAGAGCACCTGGCTAGCAAGTGCAAGATCCTGAGTTTGAACCCCAGTACCACCAAAAAAGAAAAAATTAGGGAGGGGCTCACAAGCCAAGTTAAGAATCTATTCAAACCCCACACCTGTTGTCCCAGCTACTGGGGATGCTGGCAGGAGAATTATGGAAGCCAGAGTGGAGTTGGAGGCTGGTCTGGAAAGCAACGAAAGCATTACAAGTAGATTTGAAATTCATTCCCTTAGCGATTTATCCAGTTTGTGTGTACCACCACCATCCATTCTTACCTGCCTCACCATCTCCTACCTATCCAATGTGACTCCATCTTTCTATCCCCCTGCTGTGTTATCTAGCCATCCTCCAGTCTCATATGCTACACATCTGCCTTGCTTATCCAGCTGTCTCTACTCTTCATCTGTCCATCCATCATCCCACCTATCCAGCACTCATCCATCCTTTTCTCCGCCTTTCCATCCATCCACTGGTTTTTTTTTGGTGGTACTGAACTCAGGCAGGCACTCTACCACTTGAGCCATTCCACCAACCCTTTTTTATGTATTTTTGGTTTTTTTGAGATAGGGTCTCATGAACTGCTTGCCTGGGCTGGCTTTGGACCATGATCCTCCTGATCAGCTAGGATTACAGGTGTGAGCCACTGGCACCCGGCTCTCCTTGTTCTTGCTTCTGCAGAACTTCAGAGAAAGTTCCATACTAACATCAGGGCAAATTGAGTTTGGAGCTCTGAGAAGTCTGTCCCATGTCTATGTGATTTCCCTTGGCAGCCCTCCCCGCCCCCCCAAACTCATAAAATCCCAATTCTTGTGCCCACCCACACATTTGGGACCTCTATAATTCCTGCCTCCCACAAAATAATTCAGGTGGTGGAGACAAAGGCTTTTATGTTAGAATCCTTCTGCCCCTCCCACCAGTGGTGTGGTGTGCCCAGTGCAGTCATGGCTTCAGCATTTGCTGGTGGATCAGCTTTTCCCATCAAACACTAAGTGCCTTTGTGCTTTAGCACACTATCTAATCTTGCCTGAATTCTGAGGCACCCGTGTCATGGCTTTGAATTTGAGTTTCTTCTCTTCTATGTGGTGTGTGACAGTGAGCCTCTGGTTTCCGGTCTGCAGTGACAACAGTATTTGCACCCCCCAGCAATGAGCTCAGTGTGACTACCCACTTCAAAGTGTGTCTGAGCCTTTGGGACATCGTTCATGTCACAGGTCTTCCCAGAGCTGGTCTGAATCTACAGGGCAGAACCTGCAGGATAGGTGCCTGGGAAATTCAGCAAAACGTTAAGCTTTAGTGAATGCTAGCTGCAGGCCACTAGTGGGGCTTTAAACTTACTTATTTCTTGTGGAACTGGGGCTTGAACTCGGGGCCTACACCTTGAACCACTGGTAGGTATTTTCGAGAAGGTCTTGCAAACTATTTGGCCAGGCTGCCTTCAAGGACTGACTTCAAACCATGATCTTCCTGATCTCTGCCTCTTGTGAGTAGCTGGGATTACAGGCGTGAGCCACCGGCACCCAGCTGGGGCTCTAAATTTAATGTGAACTCATTTTGACTTTCACAACATTCCTAAAAGGTTAGCAAGGGTGATTTTTGTTGTCATTTTCGTTTTTGCAGTGCTGGGGATCCACCTCAAGGTCTTAAGCATTCTAGCTGAGCTATTCCCCTTAGCCTGGTGAGGATGGTTTTCAGTCACTCTAGGGGAAACTGAGGCACAAAGATAAGGGGCTTGCCCTGCCCTGCTGCTAGGAAGGGGCAGGGCTGGGGGAAATCCTGGCCTGACTCAAGAGTGCCTGTGCAGTGCCACAAGCTGTCCTTGCCCCTGGGAGGGAGCAAGAGGGAAATACAAGGAAGTAGCCAACACAAGACTGAGCTCAGTAAACATTAGCCCCTGGATCCAATTCACTCTGTTTATTGGTGACTACTGTGCACCAGGGCGGGTGCTGCATCCTGGGGTCCTGCAGAAGTGGAGGTGGACCCCTTGGCCTGCAGGGATCCATGACTATACTTCGGCCTCCCCAGGGTCAAGACCAGGCCAGCCCTCCCCTCCTCTGCCCTCCAGCCACCCCCAGCTGTACATTCCCTGCTGAAGGAAAGTTCCCAGGCTGGCCTGGGCTTCCAGCAGCGCCGGAATTCCCGGTATTCGAGGAGGCCGGGAGGGAAAAGGGACTGTCTGCTCCAAGGCTTGGGGCGGGGAAGGAGAGGCGAGCCCCTTTTCCAGATGTGTTCCAGCTGTGCCCCTGGGAGGCAGCCAGAAGCCTCAGTAAGGGGGTGGGGGGAGTTCTCAGGACCCTCTGGAGAAACTATGGGTCTGGGCCTGCTCCAGGCCCTCTTACTGTGAAAGGCATCCCCCTCCTGCCCAGTGCTTACCTCTGCTTCAGGGCCCAGTGCCGCCGTCTCAGGAATGCCCTCCTTGCTGGTCAGCCTGCAGAGACTACAGTCAAGCTCAAAAAGGGTAAGGTTGAAGGCGGTTGTGGCAGTGCACCGAAGTCCCTTTACACAGGAGGCTGAGGCAGGTGGATCCCTGGAGCCCAGTTCAGGGCCAGCCTGGGTGATGTAGCAAGACCCCATCTCATAAAAAAGTAAGAATGGCACCTGCTGTTCTTAGCCAGTTCTTGTTATCTTCCAGCTCCAGGGCAGAAACTCAGGGAGCTACACTACTGTCCTATCAGGGTCTTTTTCCCACATGGTAACACAGGGACACCTGTGTCACCAACCTCACAGGGCCACCTCAGGACCATCCAGCAATGCTGAGCCCAGCTCCTAGTTGGTGCTCGCTTCCCGATTCATTTGTGACCTTGGTGATGGGAATGTTCTGAGCAGAGCAGTTCAGTGCCCACTGTGGCAACTGTGTACTTGGTGTGGGACTCTGTCTTGGGTAGGGCAAATGTGTAGACAGGGCCACTGGACAGTGAATAGCAAGCCATCCAACTTTCCCCAGGCTACACTGGAGTGTGATACCAGCAATAGGCTGCCCAGGCTGACACTGGAGACGTCCACTGTCCCTGACACAGCTCACTAGCTGCCTGCCAGTCCAGTCCATGGCCACTCTGCTAACCCAACTCCTCCTCCTCCAGCAATAGCATTTTGGCTGACTGCCTGGAAGAAGTAAGTGGGCTGTGTTCACTGCAAAGTCCCCACATCAGCACATGGCATGGAAGAGGTGCTCAAGGGGTACAGGTGAGCCAAGTAAGGGGAAGATTAACATGAGGAAACTAAATCAAGACCAAATGGTCTCTCTGCAGATATGGGCTCAGCTTTCCTCTTCACCCCACCTCAGCCCCTCCCCTCACAACCCTTCCAGGCTGGGCCAGCACCCCTGTAGAGTTCCACTGCCTTGGGCTTTTCCCCACAAATTGCTCTGAGGGCTGTAGGGTGGAGTCAGGGACTCTACCCTGGCTCAATGTCACTTCCATCTTTTATGTAAGCTACTTCTACTCTTCCTTCCACTACAAAATGGGAAAAAACCCAATGTGACTTAATCCCATTATGTAGCCCAGGCTGGCCTCAAACCCTTGATCCTCTTGCCTCACCCTCCCCAGTGCAGGTATTACAGGTGAGTACCACCAAGCAGGGTTTTGTATGCTAGCTCTTACCATACCACAGGCATGAAAAAGACAGCCTCTTGAGGCTCTGTGAGGAAAAGATGGACCCTGTAAAGAGAAACCTTCCACACTGAACACAGTGGGAACAAGCTTAAGGAGGCCAGGGAAGAGTTATCAGGAGTTAGTCAGTCATGAGCCAGAATGACGTCAAGAAACTACCAGAGGTGGGGGACTGGGGTGCATTTCAGTGGTAACGTAAGAGCTTACCATGTCCAAGGTCCCGGGTTCAACCCACAGAACCAAAACAAAATTCGTCCACCTACAAAGATTCAGAGATAGCAAAGAGCAGAAAGGGAGGCCAGTATGGCCTAGATGGAATCTGCCAGGTCTACCGACTGCCTAGAGGATGGGAGATTCCCTTTTTTGGGCTGTACTGGAATTTGAACTCAGGGCCTTGTGCTTGCTAAGCAGACCTGGCACTTGAGCCATACCCCCAGCCCTGAGGACTTCTTAAACCTGTGAGGCCCCCCTCCTCAGGTTAGGCCTCACAGATTTATCAGTATCTATACTGTAGGTAGACACTAAAGCAACCAAAAACAAGCCAGGCACAGTGGCTCACACCTGAAATCCTACCTATTCAGGAGACAGAGATTAGGAGGATCGAGGTTCGAAGCCAGGCCAGGCAAATAGTTCGCAGAAACCTTATTTTGAAAAAAATCCATCAAATAAAAAGGGCTGGTGGAGTGGCTCAAGATGTAGGCTCTGAGTTTAAACCTCAGTACCTCAAAAAAAAAAAAAAAAAAGTATAGTGACTCACACCTGCAATTCCTGCACTCAGGAGGTTGAGGCAGAACCATTGAGTTCCACCACAGGTCAGGTAACATCAAAAACCAGGACTGGAAGTGTCTCAAGTAGTAGAGCGCCTGCTTTGCAAGCATGAAGCCCTGATATCAAACCCAGTCCCACCCCAAAACAGAAGCCTGGTGCTGGTGGCTCACGCCTGTCATTAAAAGGACAGCCCAGGTAAATAGTTTGCAAGATTCCATCTCGAAAATACCCAATACCCCAAGGGCTGACTGAGTGGCTCAGGTGGTAGAGTGCCTGTCTAGTAAACCTGAGGTCCTTAGTTTAAATCCAAAGTAAACAACTTCTCAAACCAGCTATGATCCTCAGCTTGATTTCAGCTTTATAACCAATTTATCCTTGCTTTTTTCATATTAAAGATTACAAATCTCCTCTCCTTTCTTTGCCATTAAAATAGGACTGGGCTTGGTGGTTTGACCCTATAGTTCCAGCACTCAGGAGCCTGAGGCAAGAGGGATCATTTGAGCCCAGGAATTCAAGTCCAGTCTGGGCAACTTGTTGAGGCCCTCTTGAGATGAGGGAGAGACAGCAATGGATTGGGGACCAGAGCTTAGTGGTAGGAGCACAGGAGGGAGAAGAGGGAGACTCAGCATAAGTAAGGTGCTGGGTTTGATCTCCAACACCACAAACAAAATCAGATAATGGGGTAGAGCACTTGCCTAGCATGCACAGACTCCTAGTTTCATCCCCTGTACCACACTAAAGCAAAGCAAAACAAAAGGAAAAGAAAAACCCGAGAGTGACACACTCCTATAGCCTCAGCTACTGGGAAACTTAAAACAGGGTCTTTTGAGCCCAGGAGTTCCAGGCCAGCCTAAAGGAGTCAAACACACACAGAAGCACTGCCACCTCTGCTCTGGACTCCACTGGAGGGGGGTGTGTGTGTGTGCCAACAGACTGCATCTGTTCCTACCTGCCATCTCCACCATCCATACCAATCCAGAGTGGTTGGTTAAAATCAAGACTAGTGTCAGGCAGCAGTGGCTCACACTGGTAATCCTAGCTACTCAGGAGGCAGACATCAGCTGGATCAAGGTTCAAAAGACATCCCGGGAAATCATGAGACCCCCCCATCTCAAAAAATTGGGCTGGTGGAGTAGCTCAAGGCAAAGACCCCGATTTCAAGCCCCAGTACTAGGGGGTGGAGGGTGAAATCAAGACTATCAATGGCCTGGCAGCACCTCCTGTATCCCAATGACCCACCGCCACAGAAGACAACAGCACAGTCCTTGGAACCTTAAAATCCCATGATGTTTATTACAAATGTGACCTCTGATCTTTGTGAAGGGCTTATCGGTAAGATTTCTGGTAGCGGGCACGGGCACCAGGTCCTCCAAATTTCTTGGATTCACAGCGACGGGGGTCAGCTACCAGCAGTGTCCGGTCGTACTGGATCAGGATATCTTTGATCTCCTTTTTAGAAGCCTCATCCACATCTGCAGGTAAGAAAGGGAAAGGTTCAGATAATCACAAAAGGTTTGTACCCCAACCCCCACCACCCACCAGGAAGGACCACTGTCACTTACACTTCTGGTAATAGGCCACCAGGGCTTTGGAGATCGACTGACGGATAGCTGTGAGAAAGATACACATTGACAAAGGGTTACAAGAACTGTAAGGAGCCAGGGCCTTGCTCCCAGGGCCACCTTAGAGCCAAGTGCAGGAATCTTAGTACTCACCGTATATCTGGGCGACATGACCACCACCCTTCACACGCACCCGGATGTCCACACCAGCAAACCGCTCCTTGCCCAGAAGCAGGACAGGCTCCAGTAACTAGAGAAACGGGAATGAACAGCAGGGATTTAAGTCATAACTTGTGCAGCTTAGCCACATCACTGAGCATTCCTCTTTATCTCCATCTCTCCGTGTGGCTTCTGCCATCAACAGCCCTTGCACAGTCACAGGAGAAAGGAAGACTTTGAAAAGTCAATTAAGTGACTGCTGAACTGGCAAGGAACATAGGCAAACTAAAGGCAACCTGAACTGGGCTCCCTCCTAGTTGTGGCCCTCTCTGGGCCTCAGAGTCCTCATTTCTAAGCATCAGGCATGAATGCACACCTGCGATGCCAGCATTAAGAGCCTGAGGCAGTAAGATCTTGAGTTTCAGGCCAACCTGGGCTACAGAGCAAGATCCTGCCTCAAAAACATGGGCAGAGAGAGGGGAAAACATGCTAAGCAGTGAGGTGTGCTCTAAGGCACCACCCAGGGCAGCCAGCCATCCCTGAGTTCCCCACCTGAGCTCCCTCCCATTCCAGAGTCTCATGCTGATTTCCAAAGACTCAACACTACAGCTGATTCCAGGTTCAGACATTTGTGGTCTTGGCCCACAGGTCTCTTCCCTTCATCCTTCTCTCGCCTTCATCGGGCTCCACACCTCAGCCCTAACCACTTTGGATCAGTCCATCTCCACTAGAGCCACAGAGCTCCATGAGGGCTGAGCTTGGGGCCTTCTGGGTCACTGCCTGTCCCCAAACCTCAACACAGGGTATACATATAAATCCTTCAAATAAACTGAAAGCCAACAGCAACAGACCACAGTATTCAATGTCTGCTGTACAAAGAACTCTCACTCGCTTTCTTGTCACATCCTAACTAACCCTGCAATTTAAGTTTTTCCAATACACCTTCACACAGGCCAAGGAGCTTAGAGAATCTTAGCTTGTCCACTCGATAACCCTTACAAATAGAAATTATCCCCACTTTACAGATGATGCAATAAGTAGCATAATCAGAGGAGGCATAAGCCAGATTGCTCATTCACAGCCAAAAAAGGAAGAGGCCACAATTCAGATCACAGGAACCCTCACAGCCACGTATTTAAATATACCCTAATTTTTGCTAAATGACCTTTTTAGTAGCATTACGTGATGTCCAGACCTTAGTTCAGACACTTGAGATTCATCAGGTACATAATAATGATCCTTGTCCCTGGGAATCCCTACGCTTACGAATGAAAACATAGCGGCAGCCTCTCTTAGGATCCCCCCCGCAAACTCTGGAGGCCCTACTCTCCCGTTTTACGTTTTTCTCTCTCAGTAAATTCTCCCGCTTTACTCAAAAAGGAAAAAAAAAAAAATCAAGTCCACAAGTTCTGCTATTCCCCTGCCCACCTGAGTCAGCTCCATTGGGTGGGCTTTCTAATATCCCAGTTTTATCAGCCCCTCTCCCAGCCTTCCACGTTTTCATTTTCCCTATTCGGGTAAAAGCCCCAAGTCCAGATCTAAATACCCCGTATTTCCTCCCCCTGAAAACTCAGACCCGTTTCCCTGTTTCCAAGATCTTTAACATGGCCTTATGTTCCAGAGGCCTCCGCTCCACGCCCTTCCCGACCCCAGCACCTTGTATTGCAGCGTGCGCGGCTCGATCATCTCCAGGGGACGTCCGTTCACCTTGATGAGGCCATTCCCACGTTTGCAGTGCGCCACGGCCGTGGCGGTCTTCTGTCGGAAGCAAGGGAAACAGCGGGGCCATGTGAGAGGTTCGGGTCCTGGCTCTCAGGTACACACACACTCCTTATCGACCGTCCTCTCCCGGGTTCGGGCCTCCCCCGTCTCCTCCCATCCCGCGCTTGGCTCACCTTGCGTCCGAAGACCTGCACAGACTGCAGCGGACCCTTGGACGGCATGGCGGCGAACGAAAACTTGAGCTCCACACCGCGCCGCGCCGCAACCGGAAAAGGGAAGTTCTGGGCCACCCCAGCCGATTTTCAGGGTCTGCGCAGGCGCTTTGAGCGCTACGTCGCGACAGAAAGGAGCTTTACGGCTTTACGTTGAAGCTGGGGGCGGGGCCTCTGATTGGCGGCGGGAACGCCCCCGGGAGTGGAGGGGCGGGGCTTATAGGTGGAATGGTCTGAAGTGTGCAGAGTGAACTTGAGTGTGCTCTTGGAAGACTCGGTGGTTATACCTTTCAGCCAGTTCTCTGTGGCATTCGTGCTCTTTGATAATCTCCCTCTGCCCCGCCCTGAATCGATTGGAACCCTCCCACCTCTGGCAATCTTCCTTCCTTCTGTACCCCGTCCTCCCAGAATCCCAAATCAGTCTTCCCTCCGGAATCCACTGCAAAAAGTCAAACTAGCTGCATGCCGGTGCCTCACACCTATAATCCCAGCTACTTAGGAGACAAAGATCCGGAGGATGGCGTCTGAGCCCAGTCTAGGCAAATAGTTCACGAGATCTTATCTCTAAAGTTACCAGAGGAAAAATGGCCTGGAAGTGTGCCTCAACTTGTCTAGCACCTGCTTTACAAACCCTGTGTTCAAACCCCAGTTCCATACAAAAATAAATAAATAAAAGTCAAGTTGGATTCCCAGAATATTGGCCCCCAAACCCACTTCCTCTAGAGTCTTAGAATCCTTTTCCCATCAGCGCTCCCTTTGCCAGAATCTGACTTCTTTCAGTCTTCGCAGAACCCTGGGCTCCCAGAGTTTTCCTCCAAAGTCCACCCAACCCCCTCCTTCTTCAAAGTTCTCACTGGAGGCTCCCTTTTCCCCCTGAGTCTCCTTCCACTCAGGCCCTTCTTCTCCCCAGTCATCCTTTCCTCAGGACCCACCACCCTGGAATCCCCCTCCAGATTCTCCCTTTCCTCCCAAATTCCCAACTCCCGGAATGCCACCCTTAGAATCCCCTTCACAGCATCCTCTGTCAGGAAAGTTCAAATCCCAGTACCAAAAAAAAAAAAAAAAAAAACCTATTTGCACAGGCTGGCTCTGAACCACAATCCTCCTTATCTCTGCCTCCAGAATATCTAGGATTTCAGAAGTGAGCCACGAGCCACCTGGCCTGTATTTTGTTTTCAACACTGGGTGAACTCTCCATCCTCCTGCCTCCACCTCCCTGGTAGCTGGGATTACAGATAGCAGCCACCACACTAGGCTGTATTTTTTTCTTTCTTTGGCAGTACTGGGGTTTGAACTCTAGACAGTATGCTTGCTAGGCAAGTGCTCTACCACTTGAGACACCCCACCAGCTAGACAGGTGCTTTTCAGTGAGACCACAAATAACAGAACACACACTGTGTCTCCTTAGTGGTCTGATAGTATGGGATGGGGAGTTCAAATTCTCCAGCTCTGAGGGCTGTCTTGTATCTTACCTGACATTGTGTGGGGAGGGGGTAGCAGGGGGTCAGTGAGCCTACCATTCTCCGAGTTACCATTTTCCAAGGCCTCTTGGGCACATTCCCTGGATATCTGGCTTGAGTGGAGCTGGCAGGAAAAAGGCAAGAAAATTTCTTTTCACCCTCTCCAGTCTTCCAGTTCATTCCCACTCTCTGTACCCCTCTTGCAGAACTCTGGGCTGGGGACCAGAGTTCCCAGTGCCTGGGAGGGACATGGGAGTGCCCATGTGGTCTCTGTGGGCCCCCCTCCTGCTTGTGGGACCCTTGGAGGAACAACTCTTTCCCGGGGGACCTTTTTCTTCCTCCTGGTCTGGCGAGGAGGCGTTGGATTCAACAGATGAGACATGAGTGGAGGGTGTGGTGGGGGTGTATGAGGAAGGGCCAAGCTTTATATTCGGGAAGGTCTGATTTTCCTCTTTATCCAAAAAGTGTAGGGAAATGCAGGGTGCTGGTGGCTCACACCTGTAATCTTAGCTACTCAGAAGATAGAGATCAGGAGGTCTGAGGTTCAAAACCAGCCCCAGGGCAAATAGTTCATGAGACCCTATCTCAAAAAAAAAATCCATCACAAAAAATAGCTGACAGAATGCCTTAAGTGGTACAGCACCTGCCTCACAAGCATGAGACCCTAAGTTCAAACCCCAGTGCTGCTACCAAAAAAAAAAAAAAAGATTGTAGGGAAACAAAAACAACGGGACTTCCTATGCCCCAGATAATCCTGGCTGAGTGTTTCAGTAGCTCCTTCCCAAAGTTGGAAATTTAGGGAGAATCCACTGGGCTCTGTGAGCATATTGGCAAAGAAAGAGCTGGACTGATGTTCTCAAGCTTCTGATTTACTCCCCAGCCTTGACAGGGTCTATGCAACCCAGGCTGTCTCGAACTCACGATTCTCCCGCCTCACCTCTCCAATGCTGGGATTACAGATCTGAGCCACTATGCTGGGCAGCAGATATACTTTGTTCACTGCTGTTTCTAGTCCCTTTACTGCTACACTTAGTGTGTCAGCTACAGCCTAATGTTTTTAAGTATGTTAGCTTATCTGCTTGTCACATCAACCCTCTGTGGTAGACAGGTCTGCCACCCATGGGTTACAAACATTGCACACTGCATAAGGATTTGAGTCCAGAACATTGTAGATTGCATATTTATCAACTTCCAGCAGATGGTGGTAAAGTATCTTGTTCTAAAAAAGTTTGTACCAGAAGTGTCCCAAGCTGCAGAATCATAGCCAGTGAGGTTTATCCAAGGAGTGATTGAAAACTTTTCCCAGTACCCTGCCATGACGATTTGAAATATAGCTGGCATTGGCAATTTTTTTTTTGTGGTACTGGGATTTGAACTCAGGGCCTTCACCTTGAGCCACTCCACCAGCCATTTTTGGTTTTTTTGAGATCGGGTCTCGTGAACTATTTGCCCAGGCTTGCTTCAAGCTTCAATCCTCCTGATCTCTGCCTAGCTTCTGCTGAGTAGCTAGGATTACAGGTGTAAGTCACTGGCATTGGCAATTTTTGAGTCTCTATCTATGGAGACTGAAAAAAAAATTGTCTTAGGAAGGAGGGTCTACGGTTTTTGTTGTTGAGGTTTTTTTTTTAATAGTACTGGGATTTGAACTCAGGGCTTTCTGCTTGCTAGACAGGTGCTCTACCTCCTGAGTCATACCCCCCGCCCTTTTTGGCTTTAGTTATCTTTCGGATAGGATCTCATATTTTTGCCTGGGGGCCAACCTGGATGTATGCCTCCCGCATAGCTTGGATTACAGCTATGCACCCACTATGCCTGGTATATTTGTTGAGATGGCTGACCTCCAACCATGATCCTCCTGATCTCTGCTTCCTGAGTAACTGGGATTATATACATGAACCACCACCCCCCACTTTTTTTTCTGAGATCTAGGGTCTGTCTATGTTGTCCAAAGTGGCCTGGAACTCCTGGGCTAAAGGATCCTTCTATCCCAGTAGTTGGGACTACAGGTCCAGAGGAAAGAGTGTCTTTTTCTGACTTGTACACAGGCACAATATGAACTAATGTCATCCCAAAGGTAGTAATTATTTGAAGGCCCATTGTGCAGATGAAGAAACTGAGGCCTGCTGGTGCCAGTGGCTCATGCCTGTCATCCTAGCTACTCAGGAGGCAGAGATCAGGAGGATCACAGTTCAAAGCCACCCCAAGCAAATTGTTCGTGAGACCCTATCTTGAAAAACTCTTCACAAAAATAGGGCTGGAGTGGCTCAAGATGAAGGCCCTAAGCTTAAGCCCCAGTACTTCCAAAAAAAAAAAAAAAGAAAGAAAGAAAGACAGAAAAAGAAAAAGAAACTGAGGCCTAGAAAGGTGAAGGTGCTTGTTCCAGGCAACAAATCAGAAATCTTGGGGATGGGGAGTTTTGGGATCAGGCCCCTGCCTGGAGACACCATATCACTTGAATAGTAGATGTTGAATACTGTGGTTTATTGCTGTTGGCTGCTTGAAGGACTTGTATGTACATCCTGTGTTGAACTTTGGGGACAAGCAATTACTCAGATGGCCACAGGCCATCCTGCTGAGACTCTAAACTGCTTCAGGCTTGAGCTGTCTGTGACTGGTTTCTTAAGAAAAGTCTATCTGGGGGAAAAAAAAAAAATCTGCGGGAATGTGTGTGACTCATGCCTGTAATTCTAGCTTCTTGGGAGGCTGAGATTGGATGGAAGTTCTAAATCAGCCTCCTGGACAAATAGTTCTTGAGACTCCATCTCCAAAATAACCAGAGTAAAAGGGACTGGAGGTGGGGTTCAAATGTAGATCATCTGCTCTGAAAACACAAAGCCCTCAGTTGAAAACATCAGTCCTATTAAAAAAAAAAAAGCCCATCTGTGGGGACAGCTGTGTTCTCATTACAGAGCCAGCTGGATGCCCAGGGGTCCTGGCTATGAGCAGATGATCAAGGCACCCAGTTAAGCTATGAAGTGTGTCCCCAGGGACATACATGTAACTTGTTCTAGCCAAACTCTTTTTTTTTTTTTTTTTTTTTAGTACTAGGGGCTTGAACTCAGGGCTTCCACCTTGAGCCACTCCATCAGCCCTTTTTTGTGATGGATTTTTTAGAGATAGGGTCTGGCAAACTATTTTTTAAACTTGATCCTCCTGATCACTGCCTCCTGAGTAGCTAGGATTACAGAAGTGAGCCACCAGCGCTTGGCTATTCTTGATCTTCTTACAGGGGACTGTACTTGGCACTCTTCTAAATAGCATGAACCTTGAGGGACACAAATTTCTAGGTCTTTCAGGAGAAGCTCCTCTTCCTTCTAGGCCAGAGAGCCCAGGTGGGCCCCAGCAGCCAAGGGGCAGGTGAGAAGGAGGAAAGTAGGCAAGATCTGAACCCTGGAGTCTCTGGTCTCCCAGAGGGAGTCTCTTGCCCTCTGTTTCAGATACTCCCTCTCCTCCCCTCTCCCAGGAAGGGACAGAGCTGTGCACAGGTGTCCTCTCAACTCATCTGAATCTCTGGAGGGCAGGAACAGTGCTGGGCTCACATCCCTGGAGGCAAGTAATTATCACCTTTATTTATTTATTTATTTATTTAAATATGGAACACTTCACGAATTTGCGTGTCATCCTTGCGCAGGGGCCATGCTAATCTTCTCTGTATCGTTCCAATTTTAGTATATGTGCTGCCGAAGGCAGCACTAATTATCACCTGTAGAACGTTCTTTTTTTTTTGGCGGGATGGGATTTGAACTCACGGCTTCATGCTTGCTAAGCAGGTGCTCTATCACTTGAGCCTCACCTCCAGTCCGTTTTGCTCTGGTTAATTTGGTGATGGGGGTGGGGTCTTATGAACCATTTTCCCCACTGGCTTTGAAGCGTGATCCTCTGATCTCAGCCTCCCAAGTAGCTAGGATTACAGACATGAGCCACAGGCACTCAGTTTTCTTTCTTTTTTTTTTTTTTTTTGGTACTGGGGTTTGTTTGAACTCAGGGCCTATGCCTTGAGCCACTCCACCAGCCCTTTTGTGTCTCACGAAGTAGTTTCCGGAGCTGGCTTCCAACCGATCGTCCTGATTTCTGCCTCCTGAGTAGCTAGGATTACAGTAGTGAACCACAGGCGCCTGGCTTTTTTTTTTTTTTTTTTTCCCTTAAAGTTTTTCTGAACTTTTGTTCCCTCCTTTGTAAAATGGGAGCAATTTAAGAGACTAAGGGTCTTTTAGAGGATCTATGGGAGAATGAATAAAAAGTTCACTGAATTTAAACACGAATTCCAGGTTAGAAGACGGTGGGTCCTGAGCAGAAGTCTTTTCCTTTCTTGACCTTCCCAAGATGTCTGGCCCACACGCCCACTTAAGACAATCTTGTCACTCTCAAGATGGCAGCAGGAAGTGCGTTGCCGGGGGAGGAAGGCAGCTCCGGAAATCTCGCGTTAGGCGAGGCCAACGGGTAAGCTCTCGCGAGAGAGCGCTTCAGCCCAGCCAGGCGTCGTGCGAATAGCAGCTGGTCGGGAAGGCTGAGGTGGAGCCAAAGCGGTAAGGGGGAGTGCTGAGGTGGTCGACCCCTAGGCTACTGGCAGCCAGCCAGGCGTAGAGACCGGGTTTGGAGACTCTGGATATATTAGCAAGTGGCATAGAGAGATTTCCCCACTCGGGTTCGCGACTGCTAGAACGAAGCTGCCGGAAGTGCGCTAAGGGATTTTTCAATTCTCCCAGGGAACTGCGGGGGAAACTGAGGCTCGGGGTAGCGCTCTGGGTTGGGGGGATGCGCTGAAGCTGCAGTTTTTCTCTGCAGGAGCGGAAGATGTCGGACAGCGAAGACAGCAACTTCTCAGAGGAGGAGGACAGCGAGCGCAGCAGTGATGGCGAGGAGGCCGAGGTCTGGAGCTGGGGCCCTGGGAGGGAGGACATTGCGTCCCGGGACAGGGCCGGGGCAGAAAGGCCCTTCGTTTCTGGGAGCTTCCAGATTATCGGGAGTCACAGCGCAGTAGAGGGGCAGATTCTGGGCTCCTCCGGTAAACATAGATTTTAAGATGCAAATAAACATAGTTAGTAAATAAAGGAATGCTTATTTGCTGATGTGAATAAACATGACTGATCAAAAGACCACTTATAGGTTGAGCATCCATGATCTGAAAATCCCAAATCCAAAGTGTTCCAAAATCTGAAACTTTTTGAGAACTGACAGGATGCCACAAGTGGAAAATTCCACCCCTGACCTCATGTGATGGGTGGAAGTCAAAACGCAGGTGCACTAAAAATACTGCATAAAATTCTCTTCAGCGTTGGGCACTGGCGGCTCACTCCTGTAAACCTAGCTACTCAGGAGGTAGAGATCAGGAGGATCACGGTTGAAAGCCAGCCTTGGCAAACAATTCTTGAGACCCTATCTCGAAAAAAATCCATCACAAAATGGCTGGTGGAGTGGCTCAAGGTGTAGGCCCTGAATTCAAACCCGGGTACCACAAAAACAAACAAACAAAAAAAAAACCAAAAAAAAAAAAAATAACCCAAAAAACAAAAACCTCGCTGTATTTATAAGGTATATATGAAATAAATGAGCTTCATGTTTGTTTGTGGGGTTGTGTCCTCAAGATAGCTCATTATGTGTGTACAAGTATTCCAAAAATCCTAAAAAACATGAAATCCAAACACTTGTGGTTCCACACTTTGGATAAGGGATACTCAGCCTGTGGTAAGCTAGAAGTTACTCTAGAGAAAAGTAAGAGCAAAGAAAGGGAATAGGAAGTCCTAGTTGTACTTGGAGTAAATTTAGAGAGTGACATTTGAACAAAGACTGTTGGATGTGAAGGAGTGAGTCTTGTGGGTATCCGGAAAGGAGTGTGTTTGGGTAAGAGAGACCATCGTGTCCAGCTTGGGAGTATGTCTGCCATGTTCAAGGGGGTCCAGTTTGACTGCCTCAGAGCTATTTTATTTCAAAGAAGTAACACGAGCCAAATAATACAGGATTATTATTATTATTATTGTTGCTTTTGGTTTTTTGAAACTGTCTAGCCCAAGCCAGCCTTGAAATCACTGTCCTTCTTCAGTCTCCTGGAATTATAGGCACGTACCACCACTCAGTTTATTATTACTTTTTAGCTGTAAAGAAAAAAATGTTCCGAGCACTGGTGGCTCATGCCTATAATCCTAGCTACTTAGGAGGCTGAGATCAGGAGGATCTTGGTTTGTGGCCAGCTCAAGCAAATAGTTTGTGAGACCCCCATCCAAAATAACCAGAGCAAAGTGGAGTGAAGGTATGACTCATCTGGTAGAGTGCTGCTTTGGAAACCTAAAGCCTTGAGTTCAAACCCCAGTCCCACCAAAAAAAAAGTTTATTTTGGCTTATGGTCAGGTCCAGTATCAGAATCTGGTGATGGTCTTTTTACTGACACAGTCCAAGGTGGCCCAGGGAATCACTTAGGAAGAGACAGGGATCACGTGTGTGTTCACCATGGGGTGAGGAGCATGGCCTTAACCAAGTAAGATAAAGCTTTGAGTTGGTTTGAACAAAGGAGCGATGTGATCTCATGTTTTCAAAGATCAGTTCCACTTTGGGTCTGTTGAATGTTTCAGGAACCAAAACCAAACTTCCAGTTTCAAATATTCTTTTATTAACTCTTATCTTTTTTTCATTTATTACTCTTTTATTCATCTGTTGAACACGTAAATGGTTTGAGCCTCTACTGCTATGTTCCAGTTCCTTTCCAGGTGTCAGCAAGTAGAGCAAGACAAATACTTGTTTTGCGGGGTTCACATTTAGGAGGCAGCAGTCAGAAGCCAGTAAACAAAAAGATGACAGGGTGACGACAGGTGTTTTGTTTGATGCACAGAAACTTAAGGTTACTTTAATTTTTGTTTTGTCTTATCCCAGTTTGAATTTTTTTGAGACAGCATCTCGTTATTTGCCCAGACTGGCCTCGAGCTTGCCATCCTTCTGCCTCTGCCTCCTAATCCTCCTGCCTCTGCTTCCGGAGTTCTGGGATTGCAGTTCTACACCAGCCTGACATAGAATTTTTTTTCTCTTTTTTAAAAATGTTCTTGGTGTGGAACTCAGGGCCTTTTGCATGCCAGGCAAGCATTCTATCACTGAGCTATACCCCCTAGCCGTTTACTTGGCCTTTTTTCCTTTTCTTTTTTTTTTGAGACCAGGTTTCTTGCTGTGTAACCTAGGCTGGCTGGCTTCAAACTTGAGATTCTCCTGTCTCAGCCTCCAGACTGGTGGGATTATAGATGTGCTTATATTTTTTTCAATTTACTTTCCATATGCTCCCTCTCCCCCCATTTCTCCCTCCCTTTCTTTGTGCTGGGGATGAAACCCAAGGCCTTTCCCTTGCTAAGTATGAGCTGTACCACTGAGCTACTCTTCCAGCCCGCCTCAAATTTACTTTTTAAATTAGTTGCCAGCACTTAAAAGGGAGATTTCACCAAAAAAAGAAAAAAAAAAAAAGAAATCCGGATTTTCAGCAGATAGCATGGGATTCAGCATCTCTGCTCTAGAAGGGGCTGTCCCCTTTAGCAGGCATTTTCTGCAGTTGCTGGGATATTTCGGTTCCCATTTATCATCATGTTTGCCTCATGGCAGAATTGGGAAAAGGAAAGATTTCATATACTGGTCTTGGAGAACATGAGGCAGAGAGTGCCATAGGTTTCCATTTGTGTGCTCCTCTTACTTATGTGGCCTGCTTGCCCTCTGTGGGTATTTGGTTGTCAATCATTGTGCCTTTGTTTTTGAGAAAGGGTCTCGATACGTAGCCCAGGTGGCCTGGAACTTTTGATATTGCCTCAGCCTCTTGAGTGCTGGAATTAAAGGCATGCTCCACCACACCCAACTCCTTTGCCTTTTGGGGGCTCCTCAGCTTTCAGGGAAGAGCTGTAGGCTACAGGATGCCATGGTGGGATGTGGAAAGTGGGAGGATGATGGAATGGGCCTTTGCTTCAAACTGTAGCACTGGGTCTTTGACTGTGGCTCATGGCTTTAGGTCACTGCTGGGTGGTTGAAGCCTAACGGTAATGAGAACAGAATTCCTGATTCCTTCTCTTGCTGGGATATTCTGGTTTGCACTGTGCTTACTTCCCCAGTGCCACACAACTCTTGAGTCTCCTTTGGATTGGCTGCTGTCACCAGGTGAGCAGGAGGGCAATGTGAAGCCTGCCCTCATTGCCAGAGATAGGGCTAGATGGACTTTTCAGGTGGCCAGATGTCAACGTGCTCCTGAGAAGACAGGGTTCTGTGGATAGATGGGTTGTGAAGGCTGTTGGAACCATCCATAGCCCTACTCTCCAGTTCATCCACCAAGCGATCCTGGAGGTTCTGGTATGGTGGGGTCACAGCCTCCCTCGCCAGGCTGTCTATCTCAGGGCAGAGATAGTTTTATGGGTAGTTGTTACTGTGTGTGGGGGGGAGGGGGAGGGTTGAGGGCAGTATAAGAATGTTTGAATGTGGTCCAGTCCTGAGGGACACAAATATAGTAGTAGTAGGAGCTCTTGCTCAGGGAGGAAGGAACCAGGTGTGGAAAGAAGTTTCTGGGACAAGGGAGCATGAGGTACGATGACAGAATTCCTTGAAATCAGGATGTGGTTGTGTTACAGTTTGGACCATTAAAAAATGAGACATGCGGGGTGCTGGTGGTTCACATCGGTAATCCTAGCTACTTGGGAGGCTAAGATTGAATGGATGGTGATTTGAGGCCAGCCTGGGCAAATAGTACATGAGACCCCTGTCTCCAAAATAACTGCAAAATGGACAAGAGGTGTGGCTCAAGCAGTAGAATGCCTGCTTTGAAAGTGTGAAGCCCTGAGTCCAAACCCCAGTACTACCAAAATAAATAAATAAATAAATAAGTGAGGGATTATGGGCTAGCGAGCACTACGCATTAAGCAAATATTCCTAACTCTCTGTGTGTAACCCTGGGCGGGTGACACCCAGTGGTGTCTGAGAGAGCTAGGCCTGCTCTTGGGAGCAACAGTGTCCAGGGCTGCAGTGGAGAGAGCCCAGAAGATGAATCAGCCTAGTTCTATCTAGGGGAGGAAGGCAGGGGTGGCTGTCTGGAAGAGGGAAGGGTTTTGTTTTATTTTTCTAGTGTCAGGGATGAATGCAGGCTTCAGAGCCACTGAATGCAGGCTTCAGAGCCACTGAACTATACCCTCAGTCTAAGTAGGAATATTTGACTAATGCATGAGTGGGAGGCAGCAGAGTATGACTTTTTGTTTATTTACTTACTTATTTGCTAATTTCAATTTTTTGGCAGCACGAGGGTTTAAACTCAGGACCTTGCACTTGCTAGGCAGATGGTCTACCATTTGAGCCCTACCACCAGCCAGCCCTTTTTGCTTTAGTTATTTTTCTTCTTCCTTCTTTCCTTTTTTGGTGGGCTTGGAGTTTGAACTCAGGGCCTCAGGGCTTTGTGCTTGCATAGCAGGCCTTCTGCCTCTTGCCGTGGTTATTTTGGAGATGAAGTCTTGAGACCTATTTGCCTGCTCCGGCCTCAAACCTCAGTCCTCCCAATCTCAGTCCCCCAATTAGCTAGGATTACACATGTGAGTAACCAGCATTGGCTGATCTTGAACTCTTGATCTTCCTGCTTCCATCTCCCGAGTGTGGGATTATAGGCATACACCACCATGCCTGGCTGTTTCTTAAATATTTATTTTATTGTTATTATCATCACCATTATTAGTTTTTTGTTTTGGGTTTTTTTTGATACTGGGGTTTGAACTCAGAGCCTCCACTTGATCCATTCCTCCAGCCCTTTTTTTCGAGATAGGGTCTCATAAAGTATTTGCCTGGGCTGGCTTCGAACTGAGATCTTCCTGATCTCTTCCTCCTTAGTAGCTAGGATTACAGGTGTGAGCTTCTGGCGCCCAGCTGTCTGGGGTATTTTGGAGATAGTCTTGCAAACTGTTTGTGTTGCTGGGGATCTAACCCAGGGCCTTGCACAACCTAGACAAGCACAAAGCTAGTACACCATTCTGAGAACAACTCTATATAGAAGGCCAGCTTAGATGATGGTCAGTGTTAAGCGTGTGGTGCTGAAGGAGTTTGATTCAGTGGTAGAGCACATGGTTAGCATGTGTGAGGTCCTCATCACCAGGGGGGGAAAAGCCTCAGCGTCATACAAGTAGTTCAGTGCAACAGAGTCCTAGAGTTTGGCAAGGCGAGTTCTAAGAGCTGGGCAAAGAGGTGGAGTATGTGCTTCTGGTTTGGCCCTGGCAAGGGAACAAGTAGTCAGAATCATGTTATAGATCATAATTTCCCAGCTCAGAGTGATAAGAGGTACTTTCAGGTGGAATAAGGATCAGACCTTAAGCCATGTTAACTCATGTAGCAAGACTGTTATTTCCTTCATAGATGTCTGTTCTGTGTTTTGGTTGGATCTTGGAGAAAGTTTCATTTTGGTGCCACTGTGTATTGAATACCTCTGTGAGATTTGCTAGCCAGGGTGTTTACCAGTCCTCAGGCATAGATCCGGTAGCAAACAGTATCTTGCTAGACTTAACATTGTTTTGCTGTTACCTTTATGGTCACTTTTTAGTTGTAACAAGCAAAACTTCCAAAAAGCTTTTAATAATGAAACATTTTAAAACATAGAAACATTTCTCTCTGTCTCTCTTTTTTTGGTGTTACTGGGGCTTGAACTCAAGGCCTCACGCTTGCTAAACAGGAATCCTATCTTTTGAGTCACTTCACCAGTCCTATTTTATGTTGCATTTTTTCGAGATAGGGTCTTGTGAACTATTTACCTGGGCTTGCTTCGATTCAAGATCCTTCTGATCTCTGCCTCCTGAGTAGCTAGTATTACAGGTATGAGCCACTGGTGCCTGGCAAAACATTTCTCTTTTAAATTAAATGAAAATGTGTGGCAGGGCTGTCAGAGTGACTCAAGTTCAACCCCCAGTACCACTACCAACAACAAAAATGTGAGGCAGCTAGGGATGGTGGTCATGATGGTAATCCCAGCCACTCAGGAGGCAGAGGGAGGAGGATCTGGGTCCCAGGCTAGGTCCAGCAAAAGTCTGGGACCCTATGTGAAAAACAAACTAAAGTAGAAAGGGTTGGGACCATGGCTTGAGTTGTAGAGCACCTGCCTAGCAAACACGAGACAAAAAAAAAAAAAAAAAAGTGAATGGGTTTAAAGAAAATGTTAGGCGAATAGGTTATAGCGAAGTCAGGTGCAGGTTACTCACGTTAGTAATGGTAGCTACTCAGGAGATAGACTAGGCCAGCCCAGGCAAATAGTACCCAACATAGCTGGGAGCCGTGGTTCATGTCTGTAATCCTAGCTACTCAGGAGGCAGAGATCAGGAGGATCATGGCTTGAAGCCAGCCTGGACAAATAGTTCACAAGACCCTGTATTGAAAAAACCCAATGCAAAAAACAGGGCTAGTGGAGTGGCGCGAGATGTAGGCCCTGAGTTCAAACCCCAATACCGCAAAAAAAAAAAAAATACAACACGAAAATGGGGTGGCACAGTGGCTCAAGTGCTCAAGTGGTAGAGCACCTGCCTAGCTAGTGGGAGGCCCTGAGTTCAAACCCCAGTATTGCCCTCCCCCCCAATAAAAGGGGGAATTGTAGTTGATGTGGGAATGGAAAGAGTCATGAAGTTAATGAGCTAAAGGTTGAAGTTTGGCAACATAGTTTGGAGGCCAGGGCAGGGACCGAGGGTTGCAGGCTGGTATGAAAATGTGGGCTTTGGGGAAGGGGTTGGAGTGATGGCATTTACAGACAGAAAGGAGAAGGATCTGGTGTCTGGGGAGCTAGAGGAGGCTAGCACAGGTCTCGGGGATGACACTAAGGTCAGTATGGGACTCGGTGGGTGTGAATATTCAAGGGGCAGGTGGGGGAGGTGTCCAGGAGGCTCCTGCATGGGGGGATGTCTCTAGTGTTGGACCAGAGGTGCATGGGGGTGTTGTCCCCTGGGACAGGAGCTGAAGTTATGGAAGGTAATAGGGCCCAGGGAGAGAGTGCAAGGAGGGAGAAGCAAAGTTGGCCCCTGAGTTGCCCTGGGAACTGAAGCTGCCTTTGCAGGGTGAGCAGAGGGAGAAGAGGAGCAGCAGGAGGTGGAGGAAGCAGGGAGGGCACAGCACCATGTGGCAGAAGCCAAGGGAGGAGCATGTCCTTGGAGGGCACTGCTGGGTTGGTCTGTAAGAGCTACAGGAAGTTCCCTCACTGAGCAATGGGGCAACCAGTATTCTTGGCTAGCAGTGAGTCTCAGAAACTGTAGTCACATAGCTGTTCACCTTAGCTAAGGGCTGGATGAGTTGGCCCAGGGGACTTTTAGGATAGATAGAGACTGAGGGCTAAGGACTGAGCCCTGAGGAGTAAGCACTTACCAGCCAGGTGAGGGTGAACAAAGCCATTAGTGGAAGAAGGGGCTGGGTCTAGCTCCCAGGTATTGATTGGGTGGCTGGGGTGTGGTGGTGCTGTCACTGAGTCAAGATGGTAACTAGAAGCCTGGCCAGAATGGGAGAGGGCATTAGAATGCCAAGGCGGGTATGATTGGCCTGGCACATCTGATGTCAGGGCTTCTGCATCTGGAGATGGTAGAACCCTGAGACCCTAATGCTATCTGACCCCTGCAGGTAGAGGAAGAGCGACGGAGTGCAGCAGGCAGTGAGAAGGAAGAGGAGCCTGAGGAAGAAGAGGAGGAGGAAGAGGAGGAGGAATATGATGAAGAGGAGGAAGAGGAAGATGATGACCGGCCCCCCAAGAAACCTCGCCATGGTGGCTTCATTCTTGATGAGGCTGGTATGTCATGGCTGGGCATGAACTGAGTAGTGCGCTGATGGAATTCACACAGGTGCATGAGACATTAGGACCTCTGTGGCTCCATTTCTTTTTCTTCCTTCCCTCCTTCCTTTCTTCCTTTTTTGTGGTGTTGGGGATAGAACCCAGGACGCTGCATTGCTATGCAAATGCTTTACCACTGAGCTGTATTCCCAGCCCCTGAGTGTACCTTTTTTTGTTTGTTTTTTAATGATGCTGGGGTTTGAACTCAGGGCATCATGCTTGCTAGGCATGTGCTCTACTGCTTGAGCCATTCTACCAGTCTTTTCTTTTCTTTTGTTCTTTTCTTTCTTTTCTTCTCTTTTTTTGATACGCTTTGCCTATGTAGCCCAGGCTGGCCTGGAACTGTCTGTCCTACTGCCTTTGTTACCCAAATGCTGAGATTACAGGTGTGCACCACCATGCCCAGTTGTGGCACTGGGGTCTGAACTCAGGGCCTTGCACTTACTAGGCAAGTGCTCTTACTGCTTTAGTCACTCCACCAGCATGATCTTATTTTTTTTGGTTTTGTTTTTGTGGTACTGGGGTTTGAACTAAGGGCTTCACACTTGCTAAGCAGGCACTTTACCACTTGAGGCACTCCAGGAGTTCAAAGGTGGTTTTTTTTTGTCTTTTTGTCTTGGTGCTGGGGATCGAACCTAGAGCCTCATGCATGCTAGGCAAGCACTCATCCACTGAGCTACATCCCAGCCCTCTGATCTTATTTTTAAAGGGATATGTGGGGGTGTGGTGACTGTTAGAGTCAGATAAATCTGCATGTGACACTTGACCCTGCTGTACCAGCTCTGTGTTGTGGCCTTGCATTCAGGGACCTTACCTGTCTGAACCTCAGTGGCCTGGTCTATGGAGTGGGAATTTGTAGGGCCCGTCCCAGAGGAAATGCTTCATTTCTTGGGAGCTGTTGTCGTAGGGTCACCTTTGCCTTTGCCCCAGCTACTCTGACTTCTTGGCCTTCCCATTTCAGATGTGGATGACGAGTATGAGGACGAAGACCAGTGGGAAGATGGAGCTGAAGACATCCTGGAGAAAGGTGTGTGTGGGCCCTGCTCTGCAAGACCACTGGGAGGGGTATGCCAGAGAGGGTCTTCTGAGCCCCTCCCCTTCCCATGCCCTGCACCACTCCAACCCCCACCCTCTTCACCTCGCTTCTTTCTGTCCTTGCCAGAGAGATGGCTCCCCACCCTTTTCCTTTAGGCCCATGAGTGGGGGGTGTGGACTCTAGGGCGGTAGGGTGTGTTGTAGGGAGAGCACTCTGGGACCCCAAGGGCCCCAGTAAATCCCTTTTGGGGGGTTGTAGGGTGGATGCCTGTCCTAAGATACCCCCCACTTCCTGGGCCAGTGCTTTCCCTTCCCTGTTATTTCCGTTTTGTGCGCCTCATACATTTCGGCTTCTCCTGAACCACCTGGTGCCTGGCCTTTACTTTTGATTTTCGGCCTTCCTGTGTCCTTCCCTTCCCCCAACCCATTGGTTGATTTTGCTGCTATAATTTGGCTCATACTTTGTCTGCCCTCGCCCACCACCACCACCACCACCACCACCACCATCATCTCCTCCTCTTCCTCCAAGTAGAAGAGATTGAAGGTAAGAAACTGGGAAGTGTGATTTGTGATCTTCCTCCCATATTTTGCCGGTTCCGCCTTCCGGAGCAGCATCCTGCCCTCAGCCCCGCCCCTGGCCCCTGGCCTAGGGCTCTGACTTACATAGGGCCCAGAGTCAGGGAGTTCTGGGGCCAGGTCTCCAGCAGTGGTTGACCTGAGAAACCTGCACATGGTTTTTGCACCTGAGCATAGGGGGCGGGCAGGGGTGTGTGGTGGGGGGTGCTCAGGGTGTACTTAGACAGTGGGTGAGATGGGAGACTGTTGGATGCTGCTCCCTGGTATCCGATCCTGTCCCCAGGTCTTCATGATGAGAAGCAGGGTGCTGAGTAGGATGGAAGGGGGTGAGACATTAGATCAGTGAAGTGGCTGGCTTCCTGCCCCAGGGCTGAGCTCTAGCCCTCAAGTCCCCACCACTGTCTGCAGGCCCCTGATAATCACCCACTCACCCTTACTCACCCATCTGAACCTTCATTTCCAGCCTCCAACATCGATAATGTTGTTCTGGATGAAGACCGCTCTGGGGCCCGCCGCCTACAGAACCTCTGGAGGTGACCAAAGAGGAGACCGGGGAAGGGGAGACGTGGGGACTGACCCCCTTGGGGACCATACTCCTTTCCTCCACCTTCAGTTGTGTTTGCTTTCTCCCTTGCATCCCAGGGACCAGCGAGAAGAAGAGCTGGGCGAGTATTACATGAAGAAATATGCCAAGTCGTCTGTGGGAGAGACGTAAGGGCCCTGCGGAGAGCATGTGGTCCCAGGCATGAAGGGGCAGGAGTCTGACAGGGATCCCCTTAATCCCAATGTCCTCTCTCCCCAGGGTGTATGGAGGTTCTGATGAGCTCTCAGATGACATCACCCAGCAGCAGCTGCTCCCAGGAGTCAAGTGAGGGCATGGGGCAGGGATGTGGACTGAGGTGGGAATCTTGTGTGGGTTGAGGATGCCCACACTGGTCACTTGCTGGAATAGGGCATAGTCATACAAACAGGCAGGACAGTCAGTTGGTGCTCTTTACTTCTGCTATGGAAGACAGTGGGGTGGCCCTAGGGAGTGGAGAGGGGTGATTCCGGCTTCTTGGTGAGGACATGGTGTTGCTAAAGAGCTCCCTTTTCCTCTGCTGCCCAGGGATCCCAATCTGTGGACTGTCAAGTGTAAGGTATGTGCCTGGCCTCAGGGCTTGGTGAGATGGGGCATGGGGTGCTGCTTGTCAAGAACTGTTTATACTGGGCCTCCTTGACCTGTCAGTCTCTTGGTCTTTTCCAAGTCTGTTTGTCTCCCTTGCCCCAGACACAACTTTCTTCATCTCCTCCCTTTATCTCTTGGACCCCCTTTCTCTCTCCCTCTTTTGTTTGCCGTACTGGGGCTTGAACTCAGCCTTCACCTTGAGCCACTTCACCAGCTCTTTTTTGTGATGGGTTTTTGAAGATAGGGTCTCATGAACTATTTACCCAAGTGGCAAATAGTTCCTCCTGATCTCTGCCTCCTGAATAGCTAGGATTACAGGCAGGAGCCACCGGCACTGGGCTTTTTTTTTTTTTTTTTTTTGATGATACTGGAGTTTGAACTTAAGGCTTTAAGCTTGCTAGGCAGGTGCTCTACCCCTTGAGCCACTCCTCCACCCCTTTCTCCCTCTTCCTCTTCCCTCTTAACTACTGTCCATCCCTGTCCCTTCTCCATCTCCCATCCAGTATTGTTGCCCCTTTCTCTCCTTCATCTTTCTGGCTCACTGTCCCTCCAGCTGCTCTCTCCTGGCTTCTTGCATGCTCGGTCCTGTCCTCCCTCTTGTCAGCTTTCCTAAAATCTGCCTCTCTTCTTCCAGATTGGGGAAGAACGAGCCACAGCCATTTCCTTGATGCGCAAGTTCATTGCCTACCAGTTCACAGACACGGTAGGTCGGGTTACAGGCAGCTTGGAGGGTGAGGGAAAGTCCAAACCCAGATAGGAGGACATAGTCTCTTACAGTACCACATGCCCTTGTGTGAGCAGAGCTGCCCTGTAAGTGAGCTACTTCACCTGGAACAAGACTAGTGCCTGAACTGGGGGGTTCTTTGTGTCCTCCCAGAGCTACTGTTTGTCTGTCTGTAGGTAGGTAGGTAGGTGTATTTGTATGTATTTATGTAGTGGTACTGGGGATTAAATTCACGGCCTCATGCTTGCTAGGCAAGTGCTATACCACTTGAGCCATGCTCCCAATCCTTTTGTTTTTAATTTGTTTTTCGGGTGATGGTCTTGGGCTAAGTTTGCCTGGGCTAGTCTTGCTCCTCGATCCTCTTACTTCAGCCTTTTTTTGGGAGGGAGAGGTAATGGTACTGGGGATTGAATTCATGGCCTCAGCTTGCTAGGCAAGCTTCTATCACCTGAGCCGCATCCCAGTCCTACTTCCACTTTCTGAGTAGTGGGATTAAAGGTGTGTGCCACTGTGCCAGGCATTTTTTTTTTTAATTTTTATTTTTTTGGTGGTACTAGAGTTTGAACTCAGAGCTTCACAATTGTGAGGCAGGCTCTATACATTTGAGCCTTGCCTCCAACCCTTTTTTGCTTTGATGATTTTGGAGCTAGAGTGTTGTTTTTTGCCCAGGCTGGCCTGGATCATGATCCTCGTATTTTAAACTTTCTGCCATTGCTGGAATGATAGGCACGTGCCACCACACCCTGTTTTTTTTTTTCTGTTGAGAAGCGGGGCTCACAAACTATTTTACAGGTGGGCCTGGAACTGAGATCCTCCAAATCTCAGCCTCCTGCATAGCTTGGGATGCCAGGCATGTGCCATCTTGCTCAGCTGTTTGTTGAAATGGAGTCTCCTGAACCTTTTGCCAAGCTGGCCTCAAACTTCAATCCTCCCACTCTGAGTCTTCCAAGTAGCTAGATTATAGGTGTGAGCCACCAGTGATTGCCTGTAGTCTTACTTGTTTGCTATAATAAGCCATGCTTCAGTGATTGTCCCTGTTTGTGTCATTGGGCCATCATGTTTCTGTGGGATAAGTTCTAGAACAGAAGCTGTGAGTGGCCATGATTGCTGTTACCGGCAGCAGTGTCACCACCTCCTGTTCCCACTGCTGTTCCCACAGCCCCTGCAGATTAAGTCAGTAGTGGCTCCAGAGCACGTGAAGGGCTACATCTATGTAGAGGCCTACAAGCAGACGCATGTGAAGCAGGCCATAGAGGGTGTGGGCAACCTGCGGCTTGGCTACTGGAACCAGCAGATGGTGCCCATCAAGGAGATGACAGATGTGCTCAAAGTGGTAAAGGAGGTGGCTAACCTGAAGCCAAAGTCCTGGGTCCGCCTCAAGCGAGGAATCTACAAGGATGACATTGCTCAGGTGCCAGAAGGTGGCAGGGCAGCCAAGAGCCTGGGCCTCCTGGGTTCTGTCCTCTCCTTTCCTTTTGTCCTTCCCTCTCTCTCCTGCGGGTAGACAGTCAAACCCCACTCAGCTGGGAAAAGCAGAGACCTGATTTGGCTCCGAACACACAGGAAGTGGATGGCCATCTTCTCCCATATCCAAAGGCATGCTCAATAAGAATTGGAGTGGGTCGGCGATGAGCCTCGTGCAGTTCTTGGGGCGAAGTATGGTAGGCAGAAGGACCAGCATGTGAGCTAGGACGTTTTCTGGCTGGAGCAGAGGGAATGAAGTATGAATGCAGGAGATGAACTCGGGGAGGTGACAAGGCCTAGCAGTCTGTCATAGGGTTTTGGCCTCACTGTAGTAAGATGGGAGGGTCCTAAGGGACACAGCCCGAATTGGGTTCTAATAGGATTACTGGGGTGACTGTTGATATTAGACCACAGTTCTTAGGCTGGGCACTGTTGCCCCGGGGGAACAGTGTGTCACCTGTTTTCAGTGTGTCACATATGGTGGGGGTGGATGATTCTGGCCTCTGGTGGGTAGAAGCCAGGGATGCTGGGAACATCCTACAATGTGCAAGATGTACAGTAACTGCCCCAAACAGGGTGAAATGCCAGTAGTGCTGAGGCTGAGAGACCTTGGAATGGGCTGAGGGGCTCTGGCAGGAGCAGGGAGCCCAGGAGGAAGCAGTCGTTACAGCTTGGGTGCCAGGTGCTGGCAGAACAGGATCCAGGCCAAGGTAGTGGAGGAGGAAGGGTGGGATTTTTGAAGGCATTGCTGAATGGGATTCACTGAAAAATTGGATATGGGTGAGTGAGAAAGAAGGGAATAAAGAATGAGCAGCCTGTGGCCTGAGCAGAGCAGAGTGGGACACAGTGGAGAGGGGCAGTTTGGAGAAAGCAGTCAGCTGGGGCTGTCCTGGCTTTGAGGATCCTTCAGACACCAGGTGGGGTAGCAGACATTCAGACTGAACATTGAGTCTTGGGCTGGTCAGAGAGGGCCTCCTGGGTGTTTTCAGTTGGTTGATGTCTTCCTCACCCCCTTTACCTTTTCCCGGTACCCACCTTTTGGGGACTAGGGTTGGAGGGAGGGCCAGGCCCTGCTGATCTTCTACTTGTCGTCTCAGGTGGACTACGTGGAGCCCAGCCAGAACACCATTTCCCTGAAGATGATCCCTCGCATTGACTATGACCGCATCAAGGCCCGCATGAGCTTGGTACCATGGGGTCCGCTCCTGGCTGTGGGGGTGCTCCATCCCCACTGGTGGCGGGGTCCTCCTCCCTCATTCTTCCCACCTATGGCCCTTGTCCTCTGCAGAAAGACTGGTTCGCCAAAAGGAAGAAGTTCAAGCGGCCTCCACAGAGACTCTTTGATGCTGAAAAGATCAGGTGAGCACAACCTTGGGGTTGGCTCTGGGCCCTGGGTCATGACAGTGTGCTTTTGGTGCCCTTCTAAGGGATGGGCCCACACAGGTGTACTATGTGAGTGGCTAGCTTGACAGCAGAGCCTCAGGCAGCCACTTCTGGTCCCTGTGCCTCAGTTTCCTCTGGAACAGAGGTGGATAATGATGATGATGCCAACCCTGGCTTCCTAGGATTGTAGTGAGAATTAAATTAATATGCATGTGTGCCCAGAGCAGCACACGGCTTGGTGAAGTCTCTTCCCTGATCTCCTGCCCACCCGAGGTGGGCTATAGAGCCCATTCGCTCAGGACACCTCAGAGTGGCGACTTGGAACATGAAACGGCTCAGGGGTTGCAGCATCTGGGGCAGCCCTGGGCTGTGATGGGGCAGGCAAAATGGGGCAGAGTGGGGTGGGGGAAGGCCAGAGAGGCTCAGCAATGCTCTTTTTTCTGGTACTGCTCTGGAACTACTTGTGTGAGACAGACAGGCTGCTTTTTGGTTTTGGTGCTGGGGATGGACCCCAGGGCCTCAAGTACACTAGCCACAGTGTGCTTACCACTGAGCCACACCCCCAGTCCTGCCCCACAGGTTTTCCATCTGGTAAAAGTTGGGTTGTAGAATGCACCTTTCAACCTATACCTGAGGGCCTTGCCAATCCTTCATCTGGGTGTTTCTCTTCTTTTTTTTTTTTGGCAGTACTAGAGCTTGAACTCGGGGCCCCACACTTGCTAGATAGGTGCTCTACCACTTGAGCCACTCCACCAGCCATCATCTAGATGTTCGAATTGGACCCATTTATGCCACCTGGTTCTCCGCTTGGCCAGCCTTCCTTCCCCTTACTGTGTGGCACAGTGACCCTGACAGGGAGACCCTCAACATGCCCAGCAGAGCACTCTGGTACCCATGCCCAGATTCACCCTGTGGAGAGAGAAAGGTTAAGCGAGTGGCAGCAGCCTGGCCTGCTCCTCCATTGCATTTCTCGTTTAGAGAGTGGTGGCCACTGTGCCATGCTGGGAGCCTGTGCCAGGAACTAGGTGCCTGGAACCCATGTATGGGTTTGGGGCACAGATGGAGCAGGAGCCAGCTAGTTAAGGCACAGGCCTGAATCCACCTACTCATGTTGGAATCCTGACTCTCAGATTCTGCCTCAGCCACCTTGGGCAAGTGGTGTGGCCTCCCTGAGCCTGTGTTCCCTTGCTGCAGGTTGAAGAGCACATCTCCCATTTCACAGGGCTGAGGGTGCTTAGTGCAGCTATGAATTTGCTGGCCCCATCTGAATGCTCCAGAATCTTAGCTGTCACTGTTGCCTGACACCAGTGCTTGTAGGGCTGGTGTTCTAAGTTCCCCCTCCTGTGTGCCCTGCACTGCCTAGGTGATAGGAAACAGCAGTGAGAGGAGACTACAACCCTGCCTTGCCAGAGCCAAGTGCTGGTTAGGGAGGGAGAGCATGCAGGAGCTTACCTGGTGAACTCTGGTGTGCTCATACTGCTCTGGTGACAAGTGAGGCAGAGAGGAATGTGGGGGGTGGGTGCTGTGTGCCCTCCACGGGGCTGGCTGGGGTCTATGAGAAATCACTCCTGCCTTGAGGATGTGTGCTAGAGGGCTGGTCAGCCTTCCCATCTCTCTTCCTTTCCACCTGAGGAGACTAATTCTGTTCCTGACTCCCCCCTCCTTCCATCTTTTCTCCCCCACAAAATGCCAGGTCTCTGGGGGGTGATGTGGCCTCTGATGGTGACTTTCTCATCTTTGAGGGGAACCGTTACAGCCGGAAGGGTTTTTTGTTCAAGAGCTTCGCCATGTCTGCCGTGGTAAGGGTCCTGGGGATGGTGCTCATGGCGGGGGGTTGGGGGAGGTCTCTGCTCACCAGGGGGCTGTGCTGCTGACCCACGTCCACCTGTGCTTCCTGCCCTTACCCGGGGGGCTTAGATCACAGAGGGTGTGAAGCCCACACTGTCTGAGCTGGAGAAGTTTGAGGACCAGCCGGAGGGCATTGACCTGGAAGTGGTGACTGAGAGCACAGGTATTAGGCCCCATCAGTACCCATGCCAGGGAGAAGGGTAGCCCTAGTGTGGCTGCCTGGTCAGCCCTATGACTGTTCCCACAGGGAAGGAGCGAGAACACAACTTCCAGCCTGGGGACAACGTGGAGGTGTGTGAGGGTGAGCTCATCAACCTGCAGGGCAAGGTCCTCAGTGTGGATGGCAACAAGATCACCATCATGCCCAAGCACGAGGACCTCAAGGTGGGCACTGCAGCTTCTCTGGCAGGGCTGGGTCTGGGAAGCAGGGCTGGGGAATATGGATGTATGTGACCATCCAGGTGGTGGCGTACTTGCTGTGTCACTGTCTTGAAGGAAGGTAGTGGACTTTGCAGTGTTTCCTGGGGCTGATGGGCATCTGAGGCAGTAGGTATGTGCAGGCCTGCTTTCTAGGATGTGGGAGAGATGGCTGGTTATGTTTCTAGGGCCTGGTGTACAGGTTGTTTAACTCCGGGGGCTCCTGGTGTGTGTGTTTTAGTGGTTGGGCTGTGGATGCGTGGGGTCTGCATCCACTTTCTGTCCTGGGTGCAAGAGAAGACAGGGTGATAGCCACACACATACCCACCCTGCGTGTGGCTGTTTAGGAGAGGAAGGATGTTCATCCTAGGGATGATTCTTTTCTTTTTTTTTTCACACTTCTGAGTGCTGAGGTTTGAACTCAGAGCCTTAAGCTTTCTAGACAGGCACTTTACCACTTGAGCCACTCTTCCAACCCCAGGGATGTTTCTTATGTGTGGCCGAATTGTTGAAGGGCCTATGTCATTGTGTTTGCCACAGGAGAGTAACATGGACTGTCTTCTGTTTCTGAGAAGTGCCGTACCTGGGTCTGTATTAGGTAGTGGGTGGTTAACCATGCAGTAGCCTGAGATTGGTGTCTGGTTTTAATTGCTTAGAGGTGTGTCTGAGTGTGTGTGTCTGTGTGGCATGTCTGTTGTATATGTCTGAAAGGCCATACAGACAGCATGGTATACCTGAAGCCTTGTCCAGGAGGGCCCTGTGTGTCTGGGAGATAAGCTGTCCCTATGTGGGTGCAGATAGGTGGCATCTCGGGTTGGCTGTCTGTCTGTGGGATAAAGTGTTCTTCAGGTAAATGTCCTGACCAAGGTTAGCTGTCTATGAGGCAGAGTGAGGGCCTCAGGAGCCTGCAGTGGGTCTTGGCCAGGGTCTCTTGAGAACATGAGGAGATGTTGAAGGCAGAGGTGGGCTGTGGTTTCTCTCACCTGCTTAATTGTCCCCATGCCCAATCCCCCAGGACATGCTGGAGTTCCCAGCCCAGGAACTTAGGAAGTACTTTAAGATGGGGGACCACGTGAAGGTGATTGCTGGGCGATTCGAGGGCGACACAGGCCTCATCGTGCGGGTAGAGGAGAACTTTGTCATTCTCTTCTCCGACCTCACTATGCACGAGGTAGGTGGATGGAGGGGTGCGGTGGGGGGATCTGGGCCAAGAGGAGACCCCAGCGGAGGAGCCATTTGGACCTGCCTCCCTCCCCGGATCTCTCTCCACAGCTGAAGGTGCTCCCCCGGGACCTGCAGCTCTGCTCAGAAACAGCCTCAGGTGTGGATGTTGGCGGCCAGCATGAGTGGGGGGAGCTGGTGCAGCTGGACCCCCGCACCGTGGGGGTCATTGTGCGATTGGAGCGGGAGACCTTCCAGGTGTGTATGTGTCTTACTCAGTGGTGGGGACTTGCTTTTAGGGCTTCCTCTCCCACAAGGCCCTCATTCCAGGAGGTGGTAGAACACGGTGGCTGAGACCCCCAGACTGTGCTGGTTTACAGACCTGCTGAGGTACACTTGAAGCTGGCTGTGTGACTCTGGGCAAGTGGCCAGTCATTTGTCCTCCCTGTGCCTCAGTTTCACACCCAGTAAGATGGGGATAATAGTAGCATCTATGTCATTGGCTGTGAGATAAGTGTACCTCAAGATTTGGTGCTCTCAGTGATGGGGTGCTGCAGATTCCCTCCACCCTTCACCCTTTTCTATTGGGTTTATGTGTCAGAGAACACAGTGCTTAGGACCCTGGATCCATGTTTCAGTTCTGTGGTTTCTTTGCTGTGTGACTTGCCCTCTAGGCCTGAGACTCCTTACCCTCATTGCACCCCACACCACCCCCACACACACCGAGCTACCCCTCACAGATGGGAGTCATGGTAGCATCCCTCTCAGAGGGAAGTTTGTGAAGAATTTAGCAAGGGCCTGGTGCAGCGAGGGATGTGTAAACAGTGAGCTGTTGTGTTTATCTCTAGAGCTTCTCACACCCAAAGAGGTAGGGTCTTCTCCCAAAGCATGTTTTGGAAAGATCAGGGACATTTCTTTGGTTGACCCAGTGCTTTGGGGGTAGTGATATGAGTTTACCTCGTAGCCAAGAAGTCAGGATGTCTTGCAGAGCTTAGGACAGTCTCCCACAAGGAAGGGTCGTCCTGCTTTAGGGAGGCTTTCACCCCCTTACACTTTTACCTGCTTGACATCCCCCTCTCCCTCTGAAGGTGCTGAACATGCATGGGAAGGTGGTGACTGTCAGGCACCAGGCTGTGACCCAGAAAAAGGACAACCGCTTTGCTGTGGCCCTGGACTCAGAACAGAACAACATCCATGTGAAGGATATCGTGAAGGTCATTGATGGCCCCCACTCAGTGAGTACTAGCTGCTGCCCTCCAGTCACATCTGAAAGAGTTGGGGTAGGTCAGTCTTCGGCCAACCAAGTAACCACCCCCCATCCTGCCTAGGGCCAGGAGGGCGAGATCCGCCATCTGTACCGTAGCTTTGTCTTCCTGCACTGCAAGAAGCTGGTGGAGAATGGAGGCATGTTTGTCTGCAAGATGCGCCACCTGGTGCTGGCCGGGGGCTCAAAGGTGAGGTTGTGGGCCCTAGCTGCCAAGGTCTACTTAGGCTCTCCAGACTTCCTTGGCCCCAGGAGGGACAAGACCGCTTGTGGGGGTCTAGGAAAGCAGGTGTCACTGTCAAGTTCTTGGGAAGGGGCAAGAGGGTTTCTTTGAGTTTCTCAGTCATTCATGCATTCAGTATCATTGACCACCTCTTGGGGGGTCAGGCAGTGGGCATAGCTGTGAAGGACACAACAGTCTGCCTTCCTAGAGCTGGGACTTGAGATGCACACATGGCACAGTGTGAGGTAGTGGTAGGAAGACAGTGAAGGGGGCTGCTGCTTTAGGTAAAAGAGGGGACAGGTTTGAGCAGAGACCTAAACAAAAGGATGCAGAGTCACATGAGTAAATTGGAGAATAGCAAGCACCAAGGCCCCTGAGGCAGGACTTAGAAAGTTGTGCAGAAGCAAGTATCAGACAGGAAGGTAACCATAGGGCCTTGAAGGGTGACTTGAAGTTTGGTGTCACTAAGGGACTTAAATTCCTGATTTATCATGGTTCAACCCCACTCCTTGGTGGGGGAGGTCCCGCCTCTTAATTGACAGGCACATAGAGGCAGAAGGGTGGCAGTTCCCCCAAAGAGAATTGGAGGCATTGTCACCAGAAGGAGGAGGGGTTAAAGGAACTGGGCTGGCTCAAGCAAGAACTGTGCCATGTGGTGACAGTCAGTGTGGTGCGGGGCCAGATGCCTATCACCCTCATCCCTTGCCCTGCAGTTCACTCCCTGCCCCTCCCCTAGCCCCGAGATGTGACCAACCTCACCGTGGGTGGCTTTGCCCCTATGAGCCCCCGGATCAGCAGCCCCATGCACCCCAGCGCTGGAGGTGAGAGGGGGGCAGAGGCCAGGGATGTGTTGGGGAGGCTGGAGGGGAGCCTTGGGTGTTCAGCCCAAAGGGCTCACAGCCCATAGGAGATGGCCCCAGCCCCACAGTGACAGCTCAGACTGGGGATGGGAAAGCCCAGGCAGTGGGGGGACAGAGGAGGCTCCTCACACAACTTGGGAGGTCAAGCAGGTGGAAAGGGGTTTGAGGGCGCCCTGGCTGTGGGCATAGCATGAGAAGGGAGAGCATTGGTCCTGGGGGACTGGTAACATTCTCCTTCCTCACCAGGTCAGCATGGTGGCTTTGGTAGCCCTGGTGGTGGCATGGGTGGTGGCCGAGGGCGGAGAGACAATGAGCTCATTGGACAAACTGTACGCATCTCCCAGGGGCCCTACAAAGGTGAGCTGCCATGTTGGGGAGGCCTGGGGGCTGTGAGGGGTGGGGAGCCTACCTGCCTGACTGCCTGTCTCCCTCTCCCTAGGATATATTGGTGTGGTGAAGGATGCCACAGAGTCCACGGCCCGTGTGGAGCTGCATTCTACCTGCCAGACCATCTCTGTGGACCGCCAGCGGCTCACCACAGTGTATGTCTTCTGGCCAGAGAGGATCAGAAAGGGGTACTAAGCAGTGAAAGGGCCCCACCCACCCCTCTTATTTTCTATGTCCACAGGGGCTCATGGCGTCCAGGTGGCATGACCTCAACCTACGGACGGACACCCATGTATGGCTCCCAGACGCCCATGTATGGTTCTGGCTCCCGCACACCCATGTATGGCTCCCAGACACCTCTGCAGGATGGTGAGCACTCCCAGAGGACTCAGGGTCAGGGAAAGCAGGGTGGTGGGAGGATCAGGTGATAAGACTGAATGATGGGCACACTTGTCTCCCCCATTCCAGGTAGCCGCACCCCACATTATGGCTCACAGACACCCCTGCATGATGGCAGTCGCACTCCTGCCCAGAGTGGGGCTTGGGACCCCAACAACCCCAACACGCCGTCACGGTGAGGGCCATGTCTCAGGCAGGCTGTGCAAGGGGTTATGCTGGGATTTGGGGGATGGAGAGCTCTGTGGGGAGCCCCTAAATCTCTGCTCCTGGTCCCACGCTTATCCCTGGGCCAGAGTGGATGTGGCTGGGGTGGGAAAACTCACTGTAGTAGTTGTGACTACTCCTGGGTTAGGGCAGATTGCCCGGTGTGTGACCTTGGGCAGGCAGCCTCATTTTGCATATCATAGCCTCAGCTGTGGAATTGCCATATGTCAGCAATGCCTGTGGCTGGGGCTCCTATCAGAATGAAGTTACCTCAGTTGGGGCCCTGGTGTGTAATGCTGTTCTGGAAATATCCACTGCATTGTTCTGTCCCCAACAGGGCTGAGGAGGAATACGAGTATGCCTTTGACGATGAGCCTACTCCATCCCCACAGGCCTATGGGGGAACTCCCAACCCCCAAACACCTGGCTACCCAGATCCCTCATCCCCCCAGGTCAATCCACAATACAACCCACAGACGCCAGGGACGCCAGCCATGTGAGTCCACCAGGGCCAGGCCTGATCAACTCCTGTTCATACCCTCCCCACTGCCCTGAGCCCCCAATAAATGCTCCTCTCCTGTGTTTGCAGGTACAACACCGATCAGTTCTCTCCCTATGCCGCCCCCTCCCCACAAGGCTCCTACCAACCCAGCCCCAGCCCCCAGAGCTACCACCAGGTGGCACCAAGCCCAGCAGGCTACCAAAACACACACTCTCCAGCCAGCTACCACCCCACACCCTCGCCCATGGCCTATCAGGTATGGAGGTGGGGCTGGGCTGGCCTAGAGGGATGGCTAGGTCAGTGACTGTTTCAGTGGTGAATTCCCTGTGTCCTGCAGGCAAGCCCCAGCCCGAGCCCTGTTGGCTACAGTCCGATGACACCTGGAGCCCCCTCCCCTGGTGGCTACAACCCACACACACCAGGTTCAGGCATTGAACAGAACTCCAGCGACTGGGTAACCACTGACATCCAGGTGAAGGTGCGGGACACCTACCTGGATACACAGGTGGTGGGTCAGACAGGCGTCATCCGCAGTGTCACGGTACGTGGGTGCCTGGGATGGGTGGGTAGGCAATTGCTTCTTAAGGGCTCCAAATCTCTGGGTTTTTTTTTAAGCAGGGCCTTGTACTTGCTAGTCAGACGTTCTACCACTTGAGCCACACCTCCAGCCCCTCTTTTTTTTTTTTTTTTTTTTTAATTAACTTCATTGTCTAGTGCCCATCCATTGGTGGGCACACAGATGTGTAAAGGTTTGGGATGTCACTCCAGGAGTGGAGATTTCTCCCTGCTGTTCTCACAGCTGAGGCCTAGGGCCTATGTGCCTGACACGGGAACATGGTTACTTTTTTGTCACAGTCCTTTGGAACATGCTGTCTGTCCCAGGCATCCTACTCCTATGCTTTCCTGCTCCAGGCCTCCTGGCCTCTCCCTTCCTCACTGAGTTGCAGTGAAAATGCTTGTTCCTGTCTTCCTTCTATTCTGTGTCTGGCTAATGCCCACTCAGTCTTCAGGGAAGCATCTACACTGTCTCAGCCTGTATCTTACAGGCCATATAGTTCATGTTATTCACCTGCTACCTAAAAGCTTAAAGTTTACCCTGGTGGGATTCTTTGATTACAAAGTATGATTTTTGGGCTGGGGGTGCCCCTCAATGGCAGAGCACATGCTTAGCACTGGGGAGGTCCTGGGCTCCATCCCCAGCACCAAACAACAGAAAAGCTTGTGCTTTACTCCTCAGGAGTCCTAGTTCCTAGATGAAGGCCCTGCAGCTTCTTGGCCCTCCTAATAAATATTGATTGGATTAATTACCATCAGAGCCAAGATAGCCTCAGGCCCTGCTTACAAGGACCTCACATTCTTTCACTGGGGGGGCAGACATGTCCCCAGACAGTGACTGTCCAGAGTGGGCAGAGCTGGGATGAAGCAGGCCCAGAGGGCAAGGAGAGCTAGGTGAACCCAGAGGAGGCACCATATTTGTGTTGTGGGGAGTGTAGAACGTTTCTGGAGAAGGAGACATCTGAGCAGAGACCTGAAGGGTGAAAATAACAGGTTAAATGTGTTCAAAATGGAGGGAGTTGCATGTGAAAAGGACCATTACTGAGGGAAAATCTGGGGAACCTGAGGTATGCTTCTGTGATTAGAACATGTACAGCCAAGGAGAAAGTGAGCAGTGAGGGCAGAGAAGTGGTTGGGCCAGGTCACATGCCAGCCTGGGCAACTTTGGTAGTCTAGAGGTCACTGGACAGCCAAGGAGGAATCTAAGCAGGGAGTAGTGGGATCAGATCTGAAGTTTGGAATTACTTCTCTGTGTGGCAGTATCAGGGGTGGATTGGTGGGGAGGTGAGTTGGGGGTCTGGGAGCCCATGGGGAGGTCAAGCTGCTCTGTGGCAGAGCCATGGGTAAGGGGTGAGAGGAGAAGGGAGAGGACATCAGGAGGCTAAATGACAGGCCTAAGCTGTAGGGTTGTTGGTGAGGGAGGTTACCAAGACAAGGCCCAGAACTTGGCTGGGGACTGAGGCTATCCCTGAGACCAGGGTCCAGAGCGAGGAGCGGTAGAAGGAAGCTGAGGCCAGTTCATGACATGATGAGAAGCAGGCCCCCTTTAGCCTTAAGTTGCTTGCCTTGCCGACCTGGTCATCCTGCTGCCTGCCACACACCATGGGCCCCAGGCCTCAGAGCCTCAGCCCTTCCTGCTCCCTGGTCACCTTGGGATTGAATTTATAGAATGAGTGCTGCACGTCTGTTCTGGGAAGGGTGGTCTCAGTCCTGTGTTAGGAGCAAGACAGGCTGACCAGGCTTCCCACCCCTAGGGTGGCATGTGCTCCGTGTACCTGAAGGACAGTGAGAAGGTCGTCAGCATTTCCAGCGAGCACCTGGAGCCCATCACCCCCACCAAGAACAACAAGGTAGGGGCTAGGCCAGGACCCAGGGGAGGGGGCGTGAGGCTGCTGACATGGAGCCGTGACACCATGCCCACTGCTCCCAGGTGAAGGTGATCCTGGGTGAGGACCGGGAAGCCACAGGTGTCCTGCTGAGCATCGATGGTGAGGATGGCATCGTCCGCATGGACCTTGACGAGCAGCTCAAGATCCTTAACCTCCGCTTCCTGGGGAAGCTCCTGGAGGCCTGAGGCAGGCAGGGAGGTGGACCTCGGCAGGTGACCCTTGATCCAACCTGGGATCCTGGCTCTAGAGCAGGCTAGGCTGATCATTCTGGATTTCCTTTCCTTTCCTTTCTGGGTTTTCATCTCCCTCCCTGATGCTCATAGGAATCAGAGTAGAGCCTGGGAAAGGGTCCCACCTTCTTATATCCCTACCCCAGCTTGCTTTTGTGTTATGGTCTTTCAATAAAGAGAAGCTGTTTGGTCAAAAGTCGTGTGTGTGTGTGTGTGTGTGTGTGTGTGTGTGTGTTGTTTGTAGTTTGTAAGTGGCATTAGTGGTTTACGGCAAATAACTGGGTCATACCTGAGCCTCAGTCTCCCCATCTAGAAAATGATGCCAGTGCCTGTGTCAGAGGGCTGAGAGGAATGTGTGAGGAGATGGGAAAGATGGTTAGGACAGGGCTTGCATGTGCTGATGGAATGGCAACCAGTTCCAGCATGGATTACGCTGAGTGAACATCACAGCATCCTCCAGGAGACCTGATTCCTCCTATGTGCAGGGTGCAGCACTTGATGGCCCTTTATCTGGAGTCCCAATGGCAGTGACCTTGGGAATTATGTAGCTTGTCTGATACCTTGGGGGCAGTGTAGAGAATGGGACTTCACCCTCCTTTCCTCATTTGATATTCACATGTATTAAAGTATTTCAGGTATTTAAAAAGACCATTTAAGGCCCATGTCCCACCACTCAGCTTAGGAAACTGTGTACTAGGTGGACCTGTTTTAGCAGCAGCACCCTTAAACCCATTCTCCAGAAGCAACCATAACTCTGCCTGACTTTGAACTTAGTACTACCTTAGTACTTTTTTTTTTTTTTTTTTTTTGCAGTACTGGGCCTTGAACTCAGGGCCTAAACCTTGATCCACTCCACCAGACCTTTTAGGTGAAGGGTTTTTTCGAGATAGGGTCTCTGGAACTATTTTCCTCAACTGGCAGCCAGGGGGATCGAACTTTGATCCTCCTGATCTCTGCTTGTGAATAGCTAGGATTACAGGTGTGAGCCACCAATGCTCAGTGGTACTGTTGTTTCAAGATCACATGATGGGCTGGGATGTAGCTCGGTGGTACAGCGCTTGCCTAGCATGTGTGAGGCCCTGGGTTCGATCCCAGCACCAAAAAAGAAAAGACAAAAAAAAAAAAACCAAAAAAACCTCTCCCCCTCAAGTTCACATGAACAGTATCATTTTTTTTTCCCACTGAAAATAACTTGGGGAACATTCGTGGCTTTCTGTAACCATGAATTTGCTGATTTCTCAATAAGCCCCATCCATCCAGAGGTGAGCCCAGAAATGAATGGTAGACTCTCACACCCTTTATAGAAACTCCTGGAGCCAGGAGCCAGGCACCGGTTGCTCACACCTGTACTCCTAGCTACTTGGGAGGCTGAGATTGGGAGGATCAGGGTTTGAGGTTAGTCCAAGCAAATAGTTTGGGAGACTCCATCTCCAAAATAACCAGAGCAAAATGGACTGGAGGGGTGGCTCAAGAGACAGTGCACCTGGTTTGCAAGACTGAAGCCTTGAGTCCAAAGCCCAGTCCCACAAAATAAAAATAAAATTTAAAAAAATGGTGAGGGAGGAGAAATGGCCCAAACAATGTATGCACATGTGAATAAATGAATTTTAAAAAATGGTGAAAGGGACAAGGGGTTCTGAGGACAGGAAAGAAGGCAGATTCTACCTCCCACCCGCTTGTGAGGGTCTGGATTTTCAGCCCACTTTCTGGGCCTGTTTCCGCTTCAGGACAATTGGGAAGTGAAGGCAAACCCTCTGGGGTGCAATAAGCTGTTTTGTGGACAGATCACTTAATAATTGGGTTCTTTAGGACTTCTGCTTTACTTCTGAGCAGTGGGTGTGATTGCTGTCCCGGCCAGGAGGCAGTGGCGTTCCCTAGGCTCGAGGGGGAGTGGTGCCACAGTTGCCGCGACCCGGTGCACAAAGAAGAGTCAGGCAAGCGCGCCTGCCGCAGTTCGCCGCAGCCTTCTGTCCCTCTAGGGCTCCCGTCCACCGGTCCCTCCTCGGCGTGGGGATTGGCCGCAGCCCCGGGCCGGGGCGAGTCTAGGGGGAGCGAGTGGGCGGGGCCGTGTGGCGTCAGCGCAAGATGGCGGCCTCGGCAGCGCTCTTCTCGAGCTTGCGGAGCAGGCTCCGGGTGGGCGCGCGGGCTCTGTGCGCGAGGCTTGCGCCGCCGCCCCCCCGGGCGTCCGAGCAGGTGAGCCAAACTGTGGGGGCGCTCCGGGTGCGGGGTCCCTCTCTGAACGTCGGGCTGATAGCCGCCGCCCGCCGGTTCTGTGATGCGGCACATCAGGGTGCCGGATAGAACGCCGCCCGCGTTTTGGGGTGCCGTCCTGTTTCCTGGAAGGACACTCGCTCCCCTGGGCTGGACGCGGGAGGCCCAAGTGCATTCTCCGGATCCCTCCTCCCACCCACGTGGACGCTGGGGGAGGTCATTTGTTCCCCGTGTTCATGACCGCTGTGGTGATGCTCGAGGGGCAGGGTTCAGGGGCCCGGGACGCTGGGGTCCGAGCCTGGCCTTGGGGAGATTTCCCCCGCTTTGTTGCTGTGGGCGAGTTATACATCCTTGCTTCCTATTCGACCTGCTTCCATGTTGACAGGACTCAGCCATTCTGACCTCCAAGGCCATCGCTTCTGTGCCCTAATTCCCCCAAGCCCCAGACAAGTCCTTGCACGTCCCCGCCCCCACTCTCAGCCCGTCCCCTCCAAACTCTGCTACCTTGAGCCCAGGCTTCGGGATGTCTTAACTCACTGTCCCCCATGTGCTTTCTGCCCTTCAGTTTCAGCTACGCAGTGTTTAGGCCCCCTGACCCCTATTCTGAGCTCTTTTGGACTCCAGACCCTCCAGCCCTGGGGCTCTTGGAATCTGGGCCATCCAGCCTTTGGGCCTTGAAATTCTGGTGCTGGACTGTTTAGTTTTGACGGTGGAGAGGGCCAACCTCTCAGCTTTCCCTTCACAGACACAGCGCTGGGGAATGTATGGGTGTCTCCTTCCTGCTCTTGATCTGGGTTCTTCTTGGACCAGAGTAGAGGTCACGGTATCCTGACCTTTTCTCTCTCCTCCCTTGGCTGACCTCTCTGTCTCTACCGCAGGTTGCAGAGATTGGGAGCCGTGGGAGCACAAAGGCCCAGGGGCCACAGCAGCAGTCAGGCTCTGAGGGACCCAGCTATGCCAAAAAAGTTGCACTGTGGCTTGCTGGGTTGCTTGGGGCTGGTGGGACTGTGAGCATCGTTTATATTTTCGGTGAGGGACATACCCCCCCCCCAATTTTGTTCTGTTGGGCTCTCAAATTCCCTCCTGGAGCTTTCCCTGTAGGGACTTTAGTCATGTTCATTTTCTGGCCCCTCCCTCAACAGGGCTACCAACTAGGACACCTCCCTTGGAAACTTGAGAAGTCTCCTCCCTTTTACCCTACTGCTGTACCAGGCTACAGGGAGCCAGTTGGAAGAAGGCAGATGGGGAAGGCTATGTCCTTCATTACCCAGAAAGTCCAACACTTCCCTTTGTCCCTTCATCCCCAAGACACCCAGGAGACCCAGCCCCCTTTCTCCCAGAGACCCAGGAATCCTGGCTCTCAGCCCACACCCCCTCCTCAACCAGGAGGCTCTCCCTCAGACTCGGGTCCAGAGCCCATGTTTCCCTCTGCCTTCAAGACCCAGCAGCTGGGTCCTGATTTCTCTCATTCATCTCTGTCTCTTTTACAGGAAACAACTCTGTGGATGAAACTGGTGCCAAGGTAAGGGGGAAGAGACTCCAGAGGCCTTGCTGGGAGTCTGTCCTGGGGGTCAGGGTGGGTTGCCTTTGGTCTGTTCAGCCTCTCCCTCCCAGGGAGCTTCGCCTGCTCCTCTCAGAGGTCTGGAGATCGTTTCATGGGTGCCATGGGGTCCTGCCTCTGCCAGCCCAAACCTTCCATTTTTCTTTCCCTCTCCCAGATTCCAGATGAATTCGACAATGGTGAGGAAATGAGCATGGATCCTGGGGTCCCCTGATCCTCCCAACTCTGCCAGTTTGTAGAGAAGGTGCCCTCTCCATCTGGTGCCCCCAGCTCCTCCTCCTCCTTTGGGGAGAGGGGGAGCAGCAGCTGGATGGTTTGGGGGAGGGGTGTTACAAAGCCCCAGCCTCCCTGGTCCTTTAGCCCTGGAGCAGATGGTCAGGGACAGATGGGGAGGGGAGGGTAGGAGGGCTTGGGGAGACCCAGCAGCTTATCTTTAGCCACATGGGTTCCTGTGCCTTAGATCTGAGCATCTGCAGCCCCTAACCCACTCCTCTTTATGATAGCCTCTTTTTTTTTAAGCTCCTACCCTACCCTATCCTATCCAGCTCCTCATTTCCAATACAATGCCTGTTTCTCCCTCCCCCTCTTCACACCCATCATTTGGTGGAGAGCTTCTGACAAAGTGGATAGTAGAGAGTAGTTGGCAGTCTGTCACACCTGACCCTTCCCTGGAGAAAAGTGAAATTGGAGGGTCCAGAAAGCAACCTGTTAGTGCTGGGGAACTTTGTAGATAGGCATGTTATACACTGTTGTTTTACACTGCGGATGGGTAAATATGCGTTTGAACTGGGCAGATGTAAATCACAGTAGCTTAAACAAATAAGCATGCTGATTGAAATGAGGGAGGTAGATAATGCAGGTTTAAATGTATTCGTTTACTTGGATAATGTGTGCCAGTGTTGTTACTTGAAGAGCAGGCCCATCCATAGAACTGGACTGAAAATACTGAATTAAAATAGGCACTCATGTACATTACTGTTCTAAGTGGGTTCAACATATTAATTTAAACTAGGGCTTTTCACCCTCGGCCCTGCTGACACTTTGGACTGTATAACTCCTCGTTGCGGGGAGGCTGTCCTGTGCATGTTGGGATGCTCCTGGGCATCTGTCTTCCCACTACACACCAATATTGTGACAATTCAGAATGTCTTCATGGGGCTGGGTGTGGCAGGGCATGCTGTAATCCTGCTACTCAGAAGGCAGAGACAGGAGGATATTTCCCAGGGGAAGAGAAGAGAAATTTGTTTCTAGTTAAGAGCCATTGCTTTAAAGAGCACAGATGAATGTCTGTATTCGTTGTGCTGTAATTAGACTGAGCACACTGGCTTAGAGCAGGGAGATTTCAAAGCTTAGTAGATCAAAATGGCCCAAATACTGGCATAATGTCCGCAGATTGATATGCCTGTGAGTTTTAAGTGGGCTGATGGATAGACACTCTATTTTATACTAGGCATAGTGTGTGGGTATGAGTGTTCAGGCTAAAACTGAGCAAGTGAATAAAATGTCCTTGTTCCTACCTGGTGGTACTCCTTACCTTCTACCTTTGGACCTAGAAATAAGCTGCTTCAGACCAGGTGGGTCTGCAGACCTTTTTGTACCTGGTTTGTCTGGGAGGCTGAGCAGCAGCTCATCTTGGAATCCCTTTGCTCTGGTGTTCTAGATCCAATCCTGGTACAGCAGTTGCGCCGGACATACAAGTATTTCAAAGATTATAGACAGGTGAGCAGGGGCCTGGGCCCAGTCCCCATCCCTTGTCCCCAGCCTCAGCTTCTGTATCTGAGCACTCCATCTTCTGCAGATGATCATCGAGCCCACCAGCCCCTGCCTCCTCCCAGATCCTCTGCGGGAACCATACTATCAGCCGCCCTACACACTGGTCTTGGAGCTCACTGGTGTCCTCTTGCACCCTGAGTGGTCGGTGTGTCCTGGGGAAGGCAGTGGGTTGGTTTGGGCCTAGGCAGCTGGGTTGTGGTGCTGTGGGGATCATCCCATTTCTGCTGTGTGATCTTGGTGGGGGCTGTCCCTCTCTTCCTGCCTTGCTTCCCTCAGTACCCACTGTGCAGGGTTGTCTGGGTGTGGATTAGCACAAAGTAAATCTATCAAAAGAGTCAGTTTTTGTTCCAGACCTTTGGGCACAGCCTGGGCTCTTGAACCCCCAAGAGCAAAGAGCACCCTGGTGCTGGGAGCCCTCGGACTGGGTGTTGGGCTTTTGGGTTCCTGGTCTTAGTGACTTGCTGTCCTCACTGCCCCGCAGCTGGCCACTGGCTGGAGGTTTAAGAAGCGCCCAGGCATTGAGACCCTGTTCCAGCAGCTTGCCCCTTTGTATGAAATTGTCATCTTTACATCAGAGACTGGCATGGTGAGACTCCGAGGCAGAGGAGGCATGGTCAGTGTGGTGGGGTGGGCTGGGGCCTGGCCTTACCTTTCCTCAATCCCCCCAGACTGCCTTTCCACTCATCGATAGCGTGGACCCCCATGGCTTCATCTCCTACCGCCTGTTCCGGGATGCCACGAGATACATGGATGGACACCATGTTAAGGTGCCATGTGAGGGGTCACTGTGGGCCTCTGGGGTGGACTTGGGGGTGCTAGCACTGCCCCAGAGAAAGGGCCCTGCTCCAACCCCAGCCTCAACCCTGCTCGTGGTTCCACCCAGATCTGATTCCCCCTGGCAGGGTGTGAGCCTGCCTCTAGCCTGGACAGGGCCAAGGCTCTTCTCCTTCTACAATCTGGGGGGCATGAGAAGAAATGGGGGCTCCCTGAAGGAGACAGTTAAGGGTAAGGGGCAGGGCCTGGCATTTGTCTTATCTCTAACCAAGTATGAAATTTAAAAAAGTATATATTTTATTATCAGATTGTTGTACTAGGGGTACATTGTAACATTTACGTAGTTAAATTCACTTCCTCCATCATTCTACTTTATCTCTCCTTCCCTCCAAGTATGGAATTACAATAGATTCTGGGAGCCGCGTTTGGGGCTGCTTTGGCCTGGGTCAGGCCCCAAGTACCTGTGTGTCCAGGTGTCTGTGGGCTTCCATCTGTATCTTGCTGGCCTGGAGGTCTGAGTTTTTGGGGATTCAGCAGAACATGGCCTGGGACTAAGGGTCTGTGTGTGTCTTTGTCACTCCTCTCATGTTACTGTGAATGTGTCTGCAGCATGTCAGTTACCCAGGGCAGAGGTGGAACATGCTAGTGGCCACACTACTCAGGCCCCTGGCTCTGGATATCTGTGGCCAGATCCCCAGTTCTTAGGGGGCTTACTGCAGCCGCTCGTGTCCCCCAGTCTTTGAGAGAGCCTGCCTACCATGCCGACCAGTATGAATGGTACTGTCTGTCTCTGTGTGCCCCCAACAAGGAGCGAAGGGGCACAAATGATGACCTGAACTATCATCCCCTCCCAGGACATTTCATGTCTGAACCGGGACCCGGCCCGCGTGGTAGTTGTGGATTGCAAGAAGGAAGCCTTCCGCCTACAGCCCTACAATGGTGTTGCCCTGCGGCCCTGGGATGGCAACTCCGATGACCGAGTCTTGTTGGACCTGTCTGCCTTCCTCAAGAGTGAGACTGAACCTTGGCCTCTCAGCCTCTCACCCCAGAGCCTTTGACCCTTAAGGCTATGACAGACACTTGATTCTTGTCTTTCACGTGAAAGTGGGCAGTCAAGGGGCAGGAGGTCCTTGAGCATTCTGGAGTCTTCCAGGGCTTCCTGGAATGTCTGATGCTCTGGGGTGTTTAGGGGCTTCTTAAGAATGTTCAGGGGAAGCATCCAGGGAGTGCTGACTCCCAGGCTAAATTTCTCCTGTGGGCTCAGTGACCACCCGGTGTTGTGCCCACAGCCATTGCTCTGAACCAAGTGGAGGACGTGCGGACAGTACTGGAGCATTATGCACTGGAGGATGACCCCCTGGAGGCCTTCAAACAGCGACAGAGCCGGCTCGAGCAGGTCAGGCTCAGATCCTGGGCCTGGGGCAGCTGTGGAGGCTGCCAAAGGAGGTGCCCAAGAGCAACTGTCTCTGTGCCCCTGGCTGTACCTGGGGCTGTCGCCAAAAGGGGATGGGTGGGTTCTGCAGCCTGAGCTCTGAGCGGGAGGCAGGAGATGGCCAATGTTTGAGGTAGGCCTGGAGCTGGTGGTCATGAGTAGTTCTGGGGATGCCTTGTGGGTTTAGGTCGTCTGCAGAGAGCACCAGAGGGACCCCAGCAACTTGGAGGTGTGGTGGGGACTGTGGATTGAACCCGAGCAGCAGGTGCTTGGCACTGGTTCTTGGGGGTAGGTCAGGAGCCCCTGAGAGCCCAAAGAAATCCCTGGAGATTTGAACCTTGGAGTCTCCCAGGTATAATGGAGTGGGTGCTGGGCGTGCAGGGCAGTGCAGTCTGGTGGAGAAGCTGTGGGGTTTGGATCTTGGGCCCCTCAGCATCCAGGCTGAGGCAGTAGGCACTGGGATAGATCCCCAGGCAGTATCAGGAGAGAGGTGCCGGGATCTGGGAGGGGATGGTGAAACTTCAGGGCCTGAGAAACTGCCGAGGCGCGGGCTGGACATCCTGAGGGCCTGGGAATTGAGGTTGGCTGGTGTCCTCCAGAAACCTGAGGCTGGGCTGCTGGGGCTCTGAGCTGGCTCTTGAAAATGACTGGGCTGGGGGATGGGGCCTGGGCCCTCCCGTGTTGGGGCTAGTGTTCTGTTAGTTTGGGGCGGGGAGGCCAGGCTGGGCCGAAGTCTAAAGAAAAGCTGGCCCGGGACTGAGGGCCGGGAGGAGGCGCTGCCCACCCCAGGCTGACTTTCCTCCTCGCTTTGTCTCCAACCCCAGGAGGAGCAGCAACGCCTGGCTGAGCTCTCCAGGTCCAATAAGCAGAACCTCTTCTTTGGCTCTCTCACCAGCCGCCTGTGGCCTCGCTCCAAGCAGCCCTGACCTCTGGGCCTCCTCAGACTCACTGCCTGGGCCTCTGGCCCCTCTGTGCCCAGTCCAAGGCGGCCTGGCCAGTCACGTGTCCAATAAAGTGCATCCCAGACGCCTCACCTGTGTCTGCAGTCTCCAGAGGGGTCACCGGGGTGTCTGGGACTCGGGTCATCATCACAGCGGCTGGTCAGCTGCCAAGTACAGAGTATGTGCTTTATTGGAGCAGGGCTGATTTTTCACCCTGGCCTGGAAATGGGAAAACCTGGGTCTCTGCTGTGCTGGTCATTTGCCAAAAGTGGCTCCAGATCCTTGTTTGTGGAGAAGAGAGGAGAGGATGGAACTGTAAAGACAGCTGCCGTGAAGATGTGGTGATGTGTGGGCTCGGGGCCCAATGGCTCTGGTGGGTCAGACGTTGCCCATCTCAGGCGGGTGCCTGCCCCTGTGCTCCAGCGGCTGTGTGTGGCCTGTGGGAAGGTTGGGCCTGGAGCTGTTCCACCTCCCATTCTCAGTAGAAACCAGAAATTTGGATTATTTTTTCTTTTTAAGAACCAGCCTTGAACTTTTGGGCTCAAGAGATCCTCCCGCCTCAGCCTCCCAAGTAGCTGGGACTACAGGTGTGCAGCACTGCGCCCAACTAGAAATTGGGAATTGTTAAATATTAAATCTCACTGCTTTTATTTACTCATTGTTTTGCGGTGCTGGGGAATGGAACCCAGGGCTTTGCACATGGTAAACAAGCATTATCACTGACTCACACCCCAGCTCTGATCTGCCTGTTTTATTTATTTACTTTTTTTTTAAGACAAGGTCTCACTGCAACCCAGGCTGGCTTCAAACTACAGTCCTGCCTCAGCCTCCCAAGGATTAGAGTAGGCACGCAGCAGTATGTCTGGTGGATCTTTCTGTTTTTAAATGCTCGTTCCTAAGTGAACCCCAAAGACTGTCACAGCTCTGTGCTGTGGCCTGTGATGCTTACTCCATGTTCTTTGTGTCCTGTGCCCTCTAATATGGCAGCCATCAGCCACATGGGGCTGTGGAATAATTGAAATGTGGCTGGTGTAACTGAGGAATGAATTTTAATTTTGGATCATTTTAAAGGGCTGTGTGTGTTCAAGCCTCAGGAGGATCACAAGTTCCAGGCCAGCCTGGACTACATGGTGAGACCCTGTCTGAAAAAAGAAAAAAACTGCCACACGTCTCCTGGCTTGTGCATCGAACAGCACATCTGTGTTGCTCAAGTATAGGGGCTCTAGATAGTTCAAGTTCAAATCCAAGCTCTCCCACTTCCTGGCTGGCTGTGTGGTCCTGGGCAAGTGAGTTCTACTCTGTGCCTCAGTTTCTACATCTGTAAAGTAATAATAGCTTCTGCCTCATAGATTAGGCTTGAGAGCCCAGGCCTTCCCATGGTAGCTACACATGTGAGGTGACTGCCTCAGTTTCTCCACCCCAAAAATGGGGTGATGGATCTGTTTGACTTGACCTGTCTCCCACCTAAGCTTTGCACTACAGTCACCATCTGCTAAAGGTTTTGAAAAGGCCTTTTTTTTTTTTTATTCTAAGTACTGAGGTTTGAATTCAAGGAGTCACACTTGCTAGGTAGGCACCCTACCACGTGAGCCCATTTTTGTGTTATTTTCAAGATAGGGTCTCATGAACTATTTACTCAGGCTAGCTTTAGACCAGATTCTGTCCCATGCGTATCTAGGGTTATAGCTGTGAGCCACCAGCACCTGGTCTTCTCTGGTATTTTTGTGATTATTAAAATGTATTTGAGGGCTGGCAGAGTGGCTCAAGTAGAGTACCTACTTAGCAAGGGTGAGGCCCTGAGTTCAAACCCCAGTGCTGCCAAAAAAGATATAAGAGAATAAAATGTATTTGAAATTGTGGGCCAGATTGGATGTTTTCACTCTACATTGTTTCAAAGGCTAACAGGCTACAGAGAATGAAATGGTGTGGTGGTGCACACATATAATCTCAGCACTCAGAGACAGGAGGATTGATAATAACAGGCCCGTCTGGGCTACATAGTAGAACCCTATCAAAAAATTTTTAGCCTGGTACTAGTGGTTGACATCTGTAATCCCAGCTACTCAGGAGGCAGAGATTGGGGGATCATGGTTCGAAGCCTGGGAAAATTGTGAGACCCTATCTCAAAAGAACCCATCACAGAAAGGGCTGGTGGAGTGGCTCAAGGTGTAGGCCCTGAGTTCAAACCCCAGTACTGCAAAGAAAAAAAAAAATTAGGGCTTGTTGTGTGGCTTAAGCAATAGAGTGCCTTTCTAGCAAGCATGGGTTCCTCAGTTCAAATCCTGGTGACACCAAAACAAATAAGAAATAGGTGCCAACACCTATCAACAATAGGATCAACACCAGTCTGATCCAGAGGAGTGTCCCTGATTCCTGGAAGTCTGCAGCTTGAGAAAGTCCACTGGGACTTGAGGGCCCTTCAGCTCTGAGAGTTGAAGGCTGTGACCTAAGGGAAGCAAAGATGAGGGCAAAGCGTGTGTTTGGACCATGTGGGTCTGGGGGAGTGAAGGGGAGAGAGGGGATCCCACCAGCATTTGCCTATGGCAGTGGGGACATGCTGTGGAACCTTCTGAGGGGCCTCTCCCCCACCAACACTATGTAGCCCAGGCTGGCCTGGAATTTAGGATCCTTCTGCCTTGACCTCCTGAGTGCTGGAATTACAGATGTGCGCCACCATGCCTGGTGTGGCTCAGCAACATCAGCACCCTAGAGCATGAAGGAAGAAGTGTGATGGTAATGCCTTGGGATCGGGACTCTGGCACTCTGAGTGGCGTATGTTTTAGTGCCCACTGGGTCCCCCCAGACCTCTGGGTGCTGTCTGGTCACATGGCAAGAGGGGAGGGAAGGACTGGCCTTGCATGCAACAGACCTCTGAGTCACACTACTTGTTCAGCCAGGTAGGATGGCTCAACATTAGGGCATGCATGCCTCTCAGGAGCCCTGTCACCCGTCAGAATGAGTACTACTCCTCTTCCTTCCCTCCTGTCCTCAAGTACTTGTCAGATTTGGTTGCCTGCCCCGGTCTCGCCGTGGGGTTGCAGCAGAGGAGATTTAAGATTCTGCCTCATGGTGCTCAGGTATTTCTCCTGGACAAGAATGAGTAAAGCAAACTAAGGGCCAAGTGTGATGGTACATGCCTGTAATCCTAGCTACATGGGAGACTGAGATAAGGAGAATCATAGTTGGAGGCCAGCCCA